ACGAGAAAGGTACCGGGCGACCTTACGCTGGCCGGACGTTAGAGTACGCCGTCTCCTAGGCTGCTTGATGATTCTTCAAATGGGGACGAGGGGGGGGCAGTGACAAATCGTCCTGAGCCATTGTTGTTGCTTTTCCTCCCGCCTCTCCCGCTCCAACCGGTCAGTTGGCCGGTTATACTCTCTTGCGTCGTCTGTTGATGCCTGGGTCGCTCTCCCGGAGTCAACTCCGGGAGACGGAGGTGTCAAAGGGCGACGGCCGAACGGAGCCGGCGCTGTCCAAAACGTGCTCACGTCACACGCACTTTGTCTCCGGTCTCTCTTAGGTCGTTGTTTCGTCTTCTTTTCTTTCGCACTCTTCCATCCCCCCCATGCAAACCCAGCCGCCAACGCTCAAATGGCCCGCGAATCGATGTTACTGTTGGTGTTGGGCGTTGGCGTTGGTGCTGGCGCTGGCGTTGGCGTTGGTGCCCATGTTGTGCTGTTGCTCGCGCGGTCTTGGTCTGATTTCCGGATACACACAGGCAAGGACAGACGCCAGTGCTCTTCCAGGATTGTCTCTGGGGTATCCGTTGCTAGTGTGCTGCTCACAGAAAGGGACGTGTCTAGCGGACGAGTGTCGTACTATTACTCCTTTTCTTAGTTTCCTTGTTTGTTAGGCAGATGGCGCAATATCTCTTAGCGGGCGCCCTTATTCCGCGAAGGCGTCGTTGGGGGGGGGGGGAGGGGGGAGGGCATTGATCCCACAAAGGGCGTGTGTGCTCTTACAGGAGGTGTGTATATTCTTTCGGATGTGGGAGCTTCCTCTAGCTTCAGTATGGGGCGGCAAGGGGGCCGATGAGAATGGAGCCAAGGACGGAAGACAGAAGAAACCGGCCGGCGCTATGGAGTTAGACTGGCGGAGATGAGAAACAAGGAGAGCCAGAGATAATGAGGACCATGATCAGCAGGATGGGAAGATGAGGCTAACACGATAAGGAAAGGGGAGTGAGAGACTAGGAGGGAAAGGGTAAAAACTGTTGCGCATCTCAAGATACGATACACAATGCGCAGCATGTCCTGCGGCTAGAACAGGTCACGACGACGAAGAAGGGGAGGGGGGCCTGTAGGGCAACGGGCAACTAGGCGGGATGTCACAGAGCGCCAGTTGTTCCGTCCATCGCCCGTTCCAAATTGCCCAGCCTGTTTCCTCCCGCCCTCCGCCCCTGTATCTTTGCTACGCTCTTTGACTGTTTTTGAACAAACCCCCCCTCCTCCCCCGACCTACGGGCTTGCCATCTGGTGTCAGCTAATCAAAACGAATGTGCCAGCCAAGAAGATGAGAAGGTGGGGGGTAGGTGTGTGGGCAGGTGGTGTGTGACGACTAGAATAGAAAAGGCTCTCGAGATTCGCACATCCTACATCACGGACTTTTCCGTCAGGAGATAGGTCACTGCTCGGCGCTTGCAAGCTTGCGTGCGTACGTGCGTGTATGCGTGCGTGTGCTAGATGGCACACGAAGCTTACGCCAGCCACTCCTCCTGGGAGATGAGGGAAGGATGAAGAGAGACATGTGCTCGGCCGTCTGACGAGGGAACTGCTCGGTGAGTGGCAGCGAGCTACCGCTGTGGCCTGAGTTGTCAGACGAACTTTAGACTGATGGGTGATGGCTGGACGGGGGAAACGCTCGTGCGTGACGCTCTTGTTGTTGCTGTCCTTGCTGCTGCTTCTGGGGTCTGAAGGGGAGGCGGGCGTCGTCTGCGCTGTGCAGCCAGGGGGGGCTCGGCCATCCGATTCTCGTCCTTGGGTGGCTGTCGTTACCTGTTGTCCATTTGCCAGCACAGCAGTGCATTGCATTGTGGAGTGCAGAGTGCAGATGAATTTGAACAGACACAGCAGGTAACGGTCAAAGCACATCACAAGGAGAGGAGGGGGAAAGGGGGCTGGTCTCAGGTTAAGACTGATATTGTGGACTGCGAGATACACCCCGGTGTTGACTGCGCCCTTCTAACATTATGTCTTTCTTGCTGTGGTCCCCTCCACCTTGGCCTGCGGGGTCCCAACGCCGGTCACGAGAGGGTAAGAGGCTGGGCGAGCAGCAGGCGGGAAGTCTATGGGGGTCAAGTGATGCCGAAGTGCGGGTTCTGCAGGTGTGAATGTCACGTTATGTACAGCCAAAGTCAGTTCTCTCAACACGTCCTTCCTCGGCCAGTGCACAAGGAGTTGCTGCGGCAGATGTTTGTTGTGAGGCTGGAAGAGCGACGAAGTAGGAGAGAAGAGAGGAACGACCTTTTTGTCTGGCCTCGCCGCCTGCCCGAGTGTCTCTGAAGGAACCGAAAGGCGTGTCTCGACGTGCGCGAGGGCGTGGCGCGGCCTACTGCCTTGACAAGAGCCAGTCCGTTGAGGCCAGCGAGTCCGTCGAGTCCGCCGCGTCATCCCGTCTCTTGTGTCAACGTCCGGGGGCCCGTCTGTCAGATTTGACGTGGTGCGAAGCCACTGAGATGAAAGCAACCGGCTCTGGCGCTTGTGTTGATCGTTCCAAACGATGTTAGGACGTTGGAGAAGGATGGTACGAAAATCAGTATATTCCATAAATATGATGCGTGCTGTACTGTGTTTGGCTGCCGGGCTGGTTGCGGGAGTTGGTGTAATCGAGTTGCGGAGCCGGTTTCGATGCGCATCAGTTCAGACGGCCGTTTTACCTTCCCAAGATGGGTATCAAGAAAGGCAGTAGGTAGATTATGTCTATAACGCCGAGCTTCCAGCCTGTGTATGACTTTCATATCCACCAGAGATGCTCCAAATAATAGAAACCGGCATTGGTTCGTATCCGGCTCTTACGATTGAAATGGAGGCTTTAACGTAGGTTGAAGTTGACGGCTGCATTGAAACACAATGGTTTTCTGCCGAACGGGATCAGCGCAGCTTCATGAATTGGGAGACATTCAGACGCCAGCTATATCACAGGGCTGTTGTTGTAATCCATTGCATGCAGTTATAAGCATCGAGCCATGCTTAGCGTGTACAGATGTATGCAAAAAGGTATCAGCTGTGGTTCATTGAGAAGGAAGAACAAGACGACATACTGCGTGGAATTGAGGGCCACAAAGAAAGCTGTCTCCTTCAATTCAACCTTCGTCAAGACAACTGGTTGAGCCACACAACACACTTCTCACTCTATTTGAGACTCCGCAGAACGAAGTTCAGGTTGATAGATATTTGCTGGAAGAAAACTACCCTCTCTTGTTCTATGGACTGATATTGTTTCATGTCTCCGTCGCCTCACTCGCGTCGAGCCGGCATAACGTCCATAGCTGGCCACTCCTTGTTCTCGTCTGTAAGTGCTGCCGTTGTCGCGAAGAAGGCCTTTCTTTTTGTCAGACTATTGTCCTAGGTAGAACCGGCAAGACTGGGGCCGGGAAGATGTGACTGGAACTGCAGTGTTGGTTCTGATGAAGAATGTGTATAAGACCCAAGTCCATTCCGTGACGCTGCCTCCTCTCACCCCGACTGGCTTCTGGAGTAATCCCCAGACGAGAGACGGGTCGTGTCGGGGCTTTTTTTTCTGCTTGCCTATGCTTTTATTCCCGTACGGGATCTGGCGATGCACCGTAGGAATCATGATACGAGGGGCCGCGGTGTTTTTCTTCATACACTGGCTTTCCAACGTAAAAACGAACCTGTCCAGAGGAAGAAGATAGTTTCAGTTCACAACTGACATTCGCGATGCGGAAGCTGACGGGTCGAAACCAGGTAACCACGGGGGGGGATCCCGAAGAAGATCCAACCGTCTCCATACATGGATAGTTTGGAAACCTCTCCCGCGAGCTCGAAGCCCGGCGCCATGCTTCTCGGTGCTGTGCTCCGCGACTCTGCAAGGGTTTCCCGTTTCGGGCTGGACCAAACTCACTTTCGGAACTCTGTGTGCTGGCTGAAAACTCGCGGCCAAACGACGCCTCTTCAATTTCACATGGCTAGACGGCTTCAGATCGTGGCCAAACGGGCTGAGTGGGAGGACACTTCTGGCACCTCCATCTAAGGAACGTCGATAAGTATCATAGCCAAAGGCTTCACCGCTGGCTAGAGCTTGCTGAGATATGTCGTCCCCGCCATACGGCCCGCTCCCGAGTTCGGCCGGCGCCCTCGGACGTCCGCCGGACCCTCCTCCGGGACCCCTCCCGGCCCCATCCATCGCGAGCTCCATATCGTGGGCCTGTCTTAGGGTCCTCAAACCTCGCCCACCCACACACACCACAGCATCACCGCGATACGGTTGCAATTGGTCGGTTAGCTCAGTTGGTTAGAGCGTGGTACTAATATATCATCGGATATGTTGAGTGATGCCAAGGCCGTGAGTTCAAGCCTCACACTGATCATTTTATCTTTTGCCATTTCCACCGCGCTGCGGTCGGAGGTGGGAATGAAACCGCACTTTTTTGCACTCGTCGGTCGGTCTTCGTAATTTGCGGTGGTTAATTCAATAGCCAGACGTAGTAATTCATGGTTCATGCTCTGGAAGCATGTGCCAATGGAGTCGGGCATGGATGCCACCTGAACATGGAAGTCAGTTAGGTGAGGTGTGCTCTGTGACATAGAAGATATGGAAAACTGAGCTGGCGGGAAGGAAGGACGAGTTGTGTGTATTTGGGCGAATGGGAAAAGAGGACAGTGGTAAAGAATCGGGAGGCCGACCTCTGAGTGTTCATCCGCGCCAGCGTAAATCTCACATCGGCCTCTGTCAACCGAGGTATCAATGGTGCAGAGAAAGCGTTCAATGTAGTGTCCAACCTTGCCTGCACAGCGTCCAATTTTAAGCAAGAAGCGATTTGAACCACGAATATGCGTTCTCCTTCTAGCCACGAGTCCGAGTTGAGTATATTTATCATTAATGAGTTACGCTGGGTATCGTCTAACCTCTGAAACCAAAACTCACTACGAGCAATCCGTATTCATCGCTGAACAGTAAACCTACGGGTGCGACCTCCTACAGTTATTGTTCCTCCTGTTTTTTGGTCTCCTTCCGACTACTGGCTCACCCCTTGCTGGTCTTCTTCCAGCTTCAAACCCGAGTATCGCATGTGCAATCGATCCCTGAAGTGGTGGTGGCGAATCCCGTTAGGCCTTGCCGCTTTGAACGTGTCAATAGCTTCACCCACATCCATCCCGCATCGTTCGACCAAGTAGCACACAATAAAGTACCCGGTTCGGTTGAAGCCGTAGTGGCAATGGACGCCAATCACCTGCGTCTGGCCATCCACCTCCGTCCACTTCTCCTCCTCTGCTCTCGTCTTCTGCTGCTCCCGCAGCTTGTCCACCAGTGAAACGAAATGGACGACCTCGTCATCCTTGGGAGGGATTTTGGACACCGTCGCGTACTTGTGGTACCGGACACCGCCCTTTTCCATAGTTCGGGGGTCATATACTGGCTTGTCGTGGCTGATGTCGATGACGTCCTTGATGATGCCTCCCCAGTTCTTAACAAACTCTGCGGGAGAGTGCGTGTCGTCTGCTTCTCGAAGGGTCTTCATCGCCCTGAAGACTGCCGGCTTGCCCTTTGGGCCAATGGGTTGGGAAACGGGGACCACCCCCTTCCACTTGGCCAAGTTTTTGACATCCCATTTGCCCTCACGCGACAGGTACTGCAGTTGCCAACCAAGAGAAAAGCGACCAGTGACATGGTTGGTGAGAAAGTCGGACACAAGACCGGCGAGGACCCTGACAGTGGCAGGGTTGAAAAGTAGAGCGTGGTTGGCTGGAGCGGGCATGATTATCGACTTGACAACCTTGGTAGGATGCCTGGGCTGGGGAGGAACGTTTGCTGGTGATTCTTGTGGCGTAGACGGATCCTCGAAAGTGCTGTCCGCCTCATCGCTTGGCCGACGATCGCGATGGAAATCCTCGTCCCGAATGTCGTCTATGCTTTCGGGCCCGTGGTCCTTCGGATCCTTCGACAGGTTGGCAGTCGCCGCAGCGTCCACGATTGTCTCATGCCCGTCATCAGATCCGGTCTCTGGTGAAGAAGGAGCCTTTCCGGACAGATACTCCTTGATCTTCTCGACTTCGCTGGGGGGTGTCAGCTTGTCTTCTGCACCACCGACTAAGAAGACTGGAACGTCAAGACCGGCCCAGACGTCCTTGCCGGGGACGCCACCTTTCGCGACCCCAGTTTCAAAAGTCGGGAGTGAGCCCCAGGCCATCCTGCGCCATATGGGCGTCCGGCTCTGGTTATTGAAACGGTCCTGGAGCGTACGCAGCTCGAAGTCGGCCTCAGGGCCTACAAACCGACTGACGCTGGTGCTTTGCGGACCTCCCCATCGATCGTACGCTCTCCACAAGTCGAAGAGCCAGCCAGGAATCCACAACAGCGTGCGGAATATCTTCGTCTTCTGTTCCCCTGGGGGTCCAGCTACAGGACAGATGGCGACCAGGCCAACGACATGCTTCCGCAGCTTCGTCTTGTGCGCAACATTGCGACTAGCCAGCCGTGCACACAGGGCCGTGCCCATGCTATGGCCGATGAGAATAACGTTGCGATCAGGTTCTTTCTGACGGTAGTCGTCAATGATAACCTCCAGCAGCTCCCCTAGTGCTTCTGGGGTGTAGGCATCCCATGCCTGCTCGCTGAACTCGGAGCGGCCACACCCGGGCAGGTCGATGGCCAAGCATGACGATATGTGAACAAGGCTCATCAACAGCGGATGAAACTGGGCCACGGAACCCCCAAGCCCATGGACAAAGACCAGCAAAGGAAGAGGTGGCTTGGGTAGCTGGTCTGCTTGAAGGTGTCGCTTGTAGAACGTTCTGATGCCGGAGTATGTGTAGCGATCCGTGCTGTACTCACGGAACTCCGAGTTGTCCCTCAGCAAGGGCGGATCAGTAGCGTCAGGATCATGAGGGTTGGCGGAGGTCGGCTGTGCCGCGGCCTGCTGTTGATCTGCCATGGCGGACGCGGTGGGATTTGTGTTGTACCAGGATCCGGACGCGACGTGACTATCGGCACCGCCGGGGTAGCGGATATGACAGTAAAAAGCCACCGAATCAAGATAAACCTAGAGCGTGGGCGGTAACCAAAGCAGACCAGATAATGCGCGGGTATCTCTGAAAGTAATGCGCTACTGGGACAAAAGAATGATGATCTTCTGGGGTGTCAAGCGTGTGGTAATGTCGGGAGAAGACGTGTGTCTGGACGAAGTAAACAAAACAAGAAGTGAAGTGACAGGAATTATTTTGGCAGCGGCGTGGCCGGTGACACTTGGTGGGAATGTGAGTCAATCCGTTGGTCGAGGGTGGGTGGGAAGCGGCCCTCTTCCTCGTCGACTTTGAGCGTCTGTCGCACCTGGCGCTGCTGGGCGCAAGGCCCAGAGCACGGCAGGAAAAACAGGAGCGATGCCCTTTCTCTCCCTCCCCTTTCCTTGTTAGTTAGGGGCAGAACGGGGCAAGCGTCGTTGTTGGGTTCGACTGAGGCGGTGTTGGGCAACAACGTGGTCGAGGGAGGGCCGGTCGTTTCTAAGGCGCAAGATTTGTGAGCGTCGAGGAAGGGAATGAGTGAGTGAGTGCGCGAGCGAGCGAGTGGGCGGAAGGGTGAGTGAGAATGAGTGGAGAGGAAGAGACAAGCCAAGACGGCCGCCGAGGGCAGTAATCGAGCCTCACAAGCAAGACAAGCAAGCCAAGGTCCGTCCGTCCAGGCGCGCAGCGGGCACGGAAGAATACAGCAGAACAGACTTTTGCCTTTTTGGCAATTCATGTCACTGCTCACTTCTACTTCCAGCCAACAGTTCGTCATTCGGGCTCATTACTCCTCCACCCGGGACTAGCAAACCTTTGCTATTGGTTTCCTTGTTTCTGGAATTTTTGGCCAATTGCAACGCCTTGCGAACGATAGGGGTCCGGGGGCCCGCAACGCCGATTACGTACCTATCTGATGAAGCCGAGTTTTGGGTTGGGTATTTTGTACATATGATTCAAGTAAACAGTGCATTCAATATTACATGTAGTCAGTCCTCTCATACCGAGAGATGTTTCGTCTCTTGAGACGCTAGAGTAACGGCCGCAAAAACGCATCCGCCGAAAGCAGGCGTGCAGCTCGCCCGTCGTAATTTTTACATATTCGGTTCTCCGTGAGGTGCGACTTTGGCAATAGCCCTCGCCAAAATCCCAGAAGCTCGTTCCGCTAAACTTCACGGGCGTATCAGCTCCAGGCCTTGAAGATCTGGCAGGCAGGCAGAGTGCCATGCCTCTCTTTCTCCCCCCGTTTCGTGAATTATAGTGAAGTTGCCGTGTGAACCCCCCGCATCTGCCTAAGTGTCGGTAATCCCAGGAGGACCATTCTTCAACCAGTGATGAACTCAGTTGGTCGTGGCTCTTTCAGCAGTCAACTCACATGGCTCCCTTGCCATCAACCCATCCGATGGGAATCATGGCTCCCGCAACATCATCGACACCTCGCTCCGTAGCAAGCAGATTGAACTGTGAGGCAGCGTTCCTTGTGTCCAGGACCTCGACGCGGATGCCGAGCGAGCTAAGGTGCTTCTTCGTCGCCGGGCTGAGCGGTACAATCTTGGGACCGACACCGATGATGAGGAGATCTGCGGGCGAGTCTCGTTAGCCACTTGCCAGTCTTTTCCAAAAGCCAGCCGATGCCCAGACGGGGGAAACTCACCAGGTCTCGGCCAGACCAGCCCCAGCAGCCCGAACGCTTCCGCCGGCAGCTCGAACTGGCCCTTGGCATTGATCAGCTTCTTGGACCCCTTCGCCTCCCACGGCCGCCACGCGAACGCCTCGCCGCCGACGAGCAGCGCCGCGTCGCCGTCCATGACCTTGACGCCGCTGTTCAGGTGGAAGCCGTCCGGCACGCAGGCGTCAATCGAGGTCGAGGGGATTGGCGTATTGCCCAGCACGTCCATCTCGCCAAAGTCGGTTGCGCCCTGGTAGTCCTTGGGCTTTTCCCGCGACCGAATGGGGCAAGTGTGAAATTGGCTGCCAAGGCGGCCGAGCTGTGCGGGGGCTGTCGACGTCTGTAAGGGTGCAGCCGAATAGGCTCGGGGGACGGATCGCGAAAGGCTGAGCTGCGCCCGCGCGAAGGCGCGTAGCACGCGGGCGCTCGTTGAGGAGTGCATTGATTCGTAATTGGGGTCTCTTCTCTCCAATAGACAAACAGTTGAGTCTTCGGGTCCAGACGCGCGAAAGGAAAAGAATGATTTCGTGGATTGGTTGGTGCTTGGTAAGAGTTGAGTGCAACTCCGCGATTTTTTTTTTTCCGCCTCTCCCTCTCCCTTCTCGTCGACTAGTACCTTGAACGTCATCATTACAGGGTTGCGCTCCCAGCGCAGCCGCGAGCGACTATGGCAAGGGGAGACAGAGGACAAAACGCCAGCATGGAAGTATATGCATCATTTACATGTGCCAAAAAAGCGATAGAAAGTTGAATTCGCTGTCATAATCCGGATCTTGGGAAGTAAACCACTTTTGGGCGCCGAAACCACGACACCGCGGGGTCATCCCGTCACAGAACGACTAAACGAGAAACCCGACATGAACCAAACGAAAGGCTGATGCAGCGTTGAAGGGCTCGATTTCCGTTTTCATTCAGGTATCGAGGCCTAGAGAGTGCCCTAACGACAGCATCGGCAGAAGAATCCGTTTTCACTCCGCCTGTGGCCTGACGATTTCTTTGTATCATGCAGTTCCTTTTGCCCTAATGAACACCGAAGCAATGAACCAACCCCTTAAAATCCCATTCCTGCCAGTGTTGTGTTGACGTTGACCAAGAAGAGACATGTGTGGGTTTATTTCTTCTTCTCGCTCTGGCTCTGCTCCTTCAGCACCTTCTTGACGATCTTCTGCTCCTCGATGAGGAAGGCGCGGACGATGCGGTCACGAACGCAGTTGCCGCATCTCGAGCCACCGTACGCACGCTGGACGGTCTTCTTGGGCTTGGAGATCTGGGAGTACTCGCGGGGGCGGAGGGCGGGGACCTGTGAAATATTCCCGTCAGTACGCTGACCGTATTTGGGCTATGTCGTTCGAGACCGATGTTCGTTGTAGCCATTTGAGAGCGCTGGTTCCAATGCGATGTCTCCTCTCCATAGACATCTCCTCTCCATAGACAGCCTCTGGCCTGTCTGTCAAGTTCGTCCTTGTGGTAGACGCATTCGTGTCCGGCTAACACCCCACAGTCCCATGCTCCATCTCAAATGGCCCTTCGAATCGGTCGTTTCGGCTTCGGTAATGGGTGTTGGGTTCGGACTTACACCGGGCAGCTTGACACCGCAGTCACCGCACTTGGGGGCAGTACCGCGCTTCTTGATGTGGAGGATTCTCAGCTCACCACCGGGGGTCTTGACGATCCGGGTCAGGTTAGAGGTGGTGTTGTAGCTGCAGTAGAATGAGGGGGAACCCAAAAGTCAGCCATTTGCAATCCTCCAAAGACACAAGCATGCGATCAATCGGGCGGGATAAGAAACATCGTCGTTCGTTGCATCGATTGCAAGTAAAAAACTCCAGGAGCAGTCACTCACCCGTTGCGGCGGCGGTACGTGACACGGTTTCCGGCCATTTTGACTGATTTGCTGCGGGTTGGTTAGTTGGGAGTCGAAGATCGCGAGCGAATATTTCGTGTGGAAATTTTTGTGTGATGTGGAAAAGCCCGCTTAGGCGATGGGGACGCAGCAAGCCACATGTGGCTGATACTTTTTTTTTTGTGGGAAAAGCCCCGGAGCAAGCCCAGTTCACGTGCAAGGCGCGCTAGGTGTCGGTGAATGGTCGGTGGTGACGCCAACCAATTGGCTTCGAGGTTGCTAGAAAATGGCCCGCGGGGACAGCAAACCCACCGAGGGGCAGATTGGCATGTATAAGGTAACCAGATAGGTAGATCGACTGGTCCAAACCAAGTGCCCAGAGTACCTAACCGCTTCTGTGCAAGGGGCACCATCCACTTCTCGTATTGCAAGCCGATTCCATTCATGAAGAGGGAAAAAAGAAAAAGAAAAAAAAAACCCCTATTAAAATGCGCTTTGTTCGACATCGTCTGATGCGGTCTGTCGGTTTATATGCAATGTCCCTTTTCAAAACCTTTGCCCAGTTATCCCCACTACTCCGAAGCCAACCCACAACGATGACTCTCTAGTTCACACGCGCGAGCCGCCCAACGCCACACGCATACTATAATCCAGTCCGAAGTACGCTAGCGCTACGATTCCTCTGTCGTCGTCGTTGTCGTCGTCGGCGTCGGCATAGTCCATTCGGGATGGTCTATTGTTCGCCAAGCCTTGATACCGTTGGGTTCTTCTTTCCGACGCTGAGCAACATGGTCCATGATCTTGGTCATCTCGTCGCTCTTGCGAAGGTCTTGAAAATCCTGGACCTTCCTCTTAGCCGTGGCGACCGATTCCATGAACGAGTCGAACTCGACTTGGGCTAGCAGAAACATTTAGCAGGGGTTTGTGGCACGGGGAGTGCAAGCAACGTACGAGATGAGTGCTTAGTTGACAATGGCTCCAACATTATCGGGATTGTTGTGCGCAAACCTCGAAGCTTTGAAAAGGTCAGTTCCAGGCCCTGCCATTCTGCGCCGTACAGGAAAACAAACTTTGATGTGCAAGAGTTTGAGCTGGTCCAAAGCCAGTTCCAGACGCTCCTCGTCCCATGCCTCGCTGCCCTGGGCGCCGGTCTCTATCTTGATGGTCGGACCGTTGTTTGCCATGATGATACAAGTTGGTTGCGGACAAACGAGGATCTACCGAATCAGGAAACGAAAGCAAAGGGAGAAGGAGAGGAGGAACGGTCGAGTGACAGGCCAACCAGCAGGCAAGGCGGTGTAGTGTAGTTGGACCCGATGTCGACGAAACCGAGGGCCGCAATCCGAGGTGTTGGACCACACCGGCGCAGTTTAGGGATGGGTGGATGCAGCGAGCTTGAGGCGCAATGCGCAATCTCAGCACAGTATATCCAGAAGCAGCGCGTTGAATGTTTGCGAAGCGCCTCAAAGCGCAAGTTCGAAGAGCAAACGCGCCGCTATCATGCAGATTGCTAAATGGGGTCCAAGATGGACACGGCAACAGGCCGGAGGTGCTGTACTGTGTTTGATGGTGGTGTCTTCAAATCCGACCGGTAATGGACCAGGTGCAGTCAGTGTTCATCTGGGCTGGCGGACAGGGGCCACATTCGGCTCCTAGCAAAGGTCCCAACGGCACGTCGCGGTGGTTGGTGCGTCATTCTTGCGGTACCCCCACACTCTCCCGAGGTCGGTTCGACAGGCCCTAGTATATTATATCACGTGACGGCCATACTGCAAAACCAGATGGGGAGGTGCAGGTTGTCAAGGCTGGTAGGTTGGTTCTGGGAAATGATCAATCAAGGGAAGGAGCAAAGACACTTCTGGGCTGGAGAAGAAACTAAAGCAGCTATTCTTTGTCTTCGAATATCCAGCCGCTGTCTGTTCAGCTCATTCATTTACCAGTGGTAGTCTCAGCAAGACAGGACCACCGTTGCCGACAACGTTCTCTCTCTTTCCCTTTCTCTCTCTCTCCCCCTCTCTACCTGCAACAACCTCGAGGTCCTCCACTACGAAGTACAGCTATAGGTACGTCCCCAGGCACCAAGGTACGTGAGGTGCCCACTGCAGTGCCAAGGCCCCATAGTTTCGCAGCTGGATCCTGGAAGCTGGCACTCGCTAAAAAAGGTTAGCCGGAGGGCGGATTAACTGCTAACCTAGATCAGACCGTGCGGATTGGAATTCTCTGACTCCAACCTCTCCGTGTCTCCCACCCCTTCCGTCACGAACAGCTTCCCTACCTGCTCTTTTGGTCTCAAGTTGCATTCAGATCATCGCCAACTAGACAACCAGTCGCGCGCACATTTAACCTCAATTCGACCCCGCTCCCCTCTTGATTCTCCTTCTTTTTTCTGACGCATCCGCTGGCTCTTCCCGGATCCGTCATCCAACGACACCCTTTCCCCCACTTTCCCTTCTCAACCGCCAAGCTGGACTCCTCCGCAGTCATGTCGAATGCGCCTCCGCCGGCGCTCTTACCACCGCCCGAGGGTATCTTCCGGACCTTTGAGGACCTCCTGACTTCCGTTCAGCGCGTCGCCAAGGACCAAGGCTACGGTGTCGTCAAGCTCCGCGCTTCAAACTACCGCGATGGCAAGCCTACTCGGTACGACTTGGTTTGCGACCGCGGCGGCGTCAAGTACAGCAGCACTGCGAAGAAGCGCAACCCCTCGACGCGCAAGGTCGACTGCCCGTGGCGCGCAAAGGCCGTTTGCGAGGTCCAGCTGGGAAACCAATGGCGTTTTGCTGTTCAGGAGGGCAGCCACAACCATGAGCCTCGCGTCGCGACTGCTCCGCCTGGCCAGGAAAACACCCCTCTCGCCCAGTCGATCCGCTCCTTCACAAACAAGATCGATCGCCTCAGCCACGACATGGCCCAGGGTTTTATGCGCATCGAGCAGCATCTCGACACGATGAACAAGCGCTTGGAGAACCTCGAGAACCGCACCGGCGGCTATGAACCTCGCTTCCAAAACATGGAGTCGCGGCTACAGGGGATGGAGGCACGTGGTAGCATGGAGCTTCCTATGGACGATGTCGACGCCCGACTCCTGTCGTCGACGGTCATGTAGAGCTATGGCCTATTTGGCGAGTCGGACTCGATACATGCAGGATTAGACCTTGATTGAGCACCGGCAATACCCTCACGTCATTGACATCGGCTATGGACGCGACACAGTCAACAGATAGGAAGGACTACACAAGCAGACGAGGCACGAAACTCAGGAGTTTCACAGAGGGTGGTTATGAATAGGTATGCGAGCCGGGGTCGGATTGGCAGGGCATGTCATGTTATCAGGGCGTTGGACGGCGTCTAGGGCGTTTCGGACACATTCATCTTGTATTTCCTTCCCTTTTTCTCTCTCTTTTTCTTCCCCTCCACGTCATCCACGCCGTGATGCGACACGAGTCGCCGACTTAGGTGTTTTGTGCCTTGGAAGGCATTGTTGTCATACGAGTACCTTGCGATAGCATGGGAGGGCGGCTCTTGCGTTTCTAGCACAACGTTTTCTTGTGGAAAGTCTGGGTTCATTATAGTGAGCATTGCCCGTACGGGCGTACCATAAGTCAAGGAATAGCGCCAGAACGCTGCGATACGTACATGTATGTCTACAGTTCTATTGTTCCTTCCCGTGCATCTTCAAAGTCGGTCTGTCCTGCCGGAGCCTAACGTAACAGAGTGCAGCAACTATTTGACGAGCGGCTCGTTCTCCCTCTCTGGGCACATGCGTCCCAAAACATCTCTTCTCGTGTCTTCCCATCAATCCATCCTATCGTCCAACTCGCCACTCATTTGTTGTGCAAATTCAATACCTAACCCCTCGGCGACTTACACGGAGACGATTCCGAAGCACAGTATCAACTCCTGTGCCGAAGTCCAACTTCGCACGTCCGCGACGCCCACACTGTGAGGCCAGATCCCACACCCCCCCATGACAAGCTCCGGTTGGTGTCCTGATGCAAGCAAACAACGGTCCCAATCGAGGCATGCGCGCCGGTCGGCGGAACGTGTCATTTTGTTTTATCTTATTGTTTTATTTACTTTCTTGCTGCCCTTGATCCCGAGGCAACAGCCCTTACGCTACGATTCCCACGGAGTACCGTCCACCCCTGCGCTGCCCCGGTTTCCCTTTTTGGCCTTTATCGTCTCTCTCCGAAGAACCAGGGCAAATCCCTTGTCTCATGCTACACTGCGAATGACCGGACCAACGTACGGATACATCATGCGTATGCTTGATAAGGGGGATCGGATATCGGGTGCATTCCACCCCGGGCGTTATTCATTGGCCAACTTGGACACTCAAGTTTGGTAGCTAAATTCATCCGAATTGGCATACTACATTACATATTTGCCTCCCAGACAAGGGCTGCGATAGGCATTATGCAGTCTCTATCATCATGTATCTGCCCGCCCTCAATCGCGGCGCTCGTTGGCACCTGCATCATAACCGGCAGCGGGCAGCGTGGAACGATTCGTTTGCCATCAGATTCCGTCTGGCCAACAAAGACCACCCAGGCCAGCCATCATTTCGTCCTGATCAAGGCCGAAACACGCATGTTGTTATCAAAAACTACTTCCTGAAAGAAGGCTTGCTGTTCGGGGAACGGCTGCGAGCAATATTGTTTGCTAATGTTCTCGCGCACGCATTCCTACACGATCCTACCCTGTCCACCCTTGTCGGCTCATCCAGACTGTTGGGATGAAAGAGAAAAGAGACACTATGGCCAGGGTGTGAGATGCCAACACCAGCCAAGTCTCGTCCCACTCTCGTCTGTAGCAATACTCAGCGTTCCTCCATGCCTCCTCGCGCTATCTCTGCCTGGCGACGCCTAGGATTCGCTTATAACGACTGGGAGGCGGGGCAGTCTTAAGCTGCGCAAATCATCCGTTGGGCCCAGTGGACAACTATCAGACCAGTAAATCGCTGGCTCCCCATCACGAATAGGTAACCCGAAATTGACAACATGGTGGAAGGTATGGGTACGTACTAATAGGTCATAAAACAGGGCCTAGGAGTTGGCACTAAGGAGGGGTGCTTTTCCCTTCTGCATTATCATTAGCACCTAGTAAAATTAACCTTTTGTTTTAGTCCTCTTTAATTAGCACTAATTTCTAGTCTCACCTTCTAGAAACCTAGAAGATTAGGCCCTAGCCTGCTTCTATTTTATTTAAATTAATTAATTTAGTATAGAAATTAGTTAAAATTTAGCCTAAGATAGCCTTAAGAGCGTTAGCTTAAAATTACTTATAAATTAGTAAATTCTTACTTAAAATACACCTTTTATTTAACCTAATTAATTAGCACTTAGTAAAACCTCTAATTATAACTTAGTAGCCTTCAATAACTTAGTTAGAGAGGCTTATTAGATTAAGGGAGAAAATAGAATTAGTTAGTAGCTACTTTAAGGCACACTAGACTTAGTAAGTATTAAAGTAAATAGGTAAATAAGAGGACTTATTTAGGGCTAAGGAGTTAAGACTAAGTTTAAGAGAGTTTTTTAGTATCTAGGCTGTTCTTATTACCTAAAGGGTAAATAAGAGGAGGGTAATTAAGAGTTAGAACTAAAGTATTATAGGTAATACTTATTAGTAAGGGACATAAAAGGTATAGGTACGTACTAATAGGTTATAAAACAGGGCCTAGGAGTTAGTACTAAGGAGGGGTGTTTTTTTTTTTCTGTATTATTATTAGCACCTAGCAAAATTGACCTTTTGTTTTGGTCCTCTTCAATCAGCACTAATTTCTCATGGCTGTTGTCCGTTCTTGTTGGTTAAGCCCAACCGGATTCAATCGGATACACGAACAACCGCAAGCGGGAGCAGACCATCCTGGTTTTCCTGCGGACAATGAGAGCCCGTTCGAAGCCCAGTATCCATCACTACGGCCGAAATGCCGCTGAAAAAGCAACAAACAACAGACGGCCGAATCAACCTACGGGCAGCCGCAGCCTACTAGTTCCCCAACCAGAGATTTGTGCTTCACTTGACTTGGCGCACTCGATAAGACATTTAGGGGCCGTTGTGTTACACTCGAATCTATCCGTATTAGCCTCCCAAATCGCCGGTAACCCGCAGTCCACTTTATCACACGCGCGCGCACGCACGAGACTCCCGGGTACCTTTCTTACGGCCGAAAGGTTTAGGCTTCTGATTAGGCTGTCGGCCTGGTTCTGGCCCTTGTTGATGATATCGAAGCCAATGAGGATTCGGAAGACGATGTTGTGAAGAAGCATTCCTGCATCATGACGGAAAACCATCCTTTCTCTTTCCATCTGCCCAACTACTATAGACTAGTGACACTACACATATCGCTCTCGGCTAAACATGGTCGATGAAGGAACCGCCGACCCCCCAGTGTTCAAGGATGTGGGAGTGCACGAGAGGGGGGAGGGGGCATTCGGCGGACCCTGACTGATATGATGTGGCGCGTGTGGGGTTTGTGGAATTGGGCAGCACCTGCCGGCAATGAGTCACCACAGTCGCTGCATCAGCAGCATATCATCACATCACGTCTCAGAATATCTGGCGTATGCGAGTGAAGTCACGTCTGGGCGCGCTCACCACAAGCGGGGGAGATTGTCCGTCGACAACGACACACGACGCCGTATCGAACGCCGACCGTGGTTGCACTTGCCAAGGCCGACACTAATCGTGATTGGGGGTTGGCCGAATGCCCGTGGCTCAAGACCTCAGGGGTTTAAGTCGCCGAATGTGATCTGTGGAGGGCCCCCTGCTTATTGATTCACCGTCCCCTTGTGGGACGTGACTGTGCCATCCTTCACCCGCGTCGAGATTACGGCGAGCTTGTTATGGGTATCAACGGTCGGGCTGGACAGTTCCGTTGGCGGGACGGACATTTCCGTTGGTCGGGCTGGAAGTTTCCGTTGCCTAAGGGAAAGCTCGCAAACACTTCACGATCGGCCCAAACAGCCGTTTTCGGTCTCTTATGCCATGGGTTGTGTGATGTGAATACATGGTATAATTGTTTCTAATCTGCATGTTACTGCTATGCGTAGATCAAGCCACTGTGGATGGGTGGATGAAAGCGTCCAGTCATATGCTACGAAAGAAATCCTGTTAAGCCAGTCAACTCCTATAATGCCACATGCATAGACCCCATCCGACGACTCGAGGGAGACGTTCCCGACAAAAAAGAAGAGAGAGAGAGAGAGAGAGAAAAGAAAAAGGGGCCAGAATCAGGCCGCCCCAGCCTCCGAGGAGAGATGGGCGTACTCCTGGCTCTGGCTCCATGCATCGGGGTCCTCGGTCAGGCCCGGCAACTGCTGCTGCATGTCCACATTCATGACGCCCAGCTGCTGCTTGTTCATCTTCTCCTTCAGCTCCGCCGTGATGGCGTCAACGTCGACGTTGAGGTAGCCGCGCAGAAACTTGCCGATGTCGGTATTCTCAACGTTGCCGCGGATCTTGTGAGCCTCCTCGCCGCCGGTGCTGTAGACGTTGACGTCGAGCGCCGTATGGCCGTGGGTGCTCCAGCCGATGTGCGCGCGGAGGCTGATCATGGCGGCAAACGTCTGAACCGAGACATCGGGGCGGTCGACGAGGGCCTGGAGCTCCGCCGGGTGGGCATTGTCAATGCCCAGGCCGGGAATGACGAGCTTCTCGTTGACCCAGGTCTTGAGCTCATCCTTGTTCTTCGACTTGCTGCTGGCGACGTGCTGGATGAACTTCTTGGACAGCAGCTCGGCGGAGGCGGTGGCCTTTGCGAGCGCCTTGGGGTACCAGTTGTAAACGGGCAGGTGGCCGGGCTCCTCTATAGTATCGATTAGTTATGTTGCTGGCAGTACAAAGGCACGTCAGGACTTACGCAGAGCAGTCGCGAGGCCACCAGTCTCGTGGTCGCTGGTGGCCACCAAGAGCGACTCGGTCTTGCTGTGCTTGACAAAGTCCGAAACATGCTTGAAGGCCTTGTCGTACTCGAGGACCTCGCGGACCTGGGCGGCGGGGTCGTTAATGTGGCCGGCATGGTCAATCCTGCTAGCCTCGATCATCAGGAAGAAACCTTTGTCGCTGTTCTCGGTTGCCTTCTCGAGTGCACGCAGCGCAGTGGCGGCCATCTCGCTCAGGCTGGGGTAGACGTCGCTCATGTTGCGGCGGTCGATTTCGAAGGGAATATCACCAGAGGCAAAGAGGCCCAATGTCGGGAAGCTGACCTTGTTGCCGCCCTCGAGGGCGTCGAAGGCCTTACGGTCGCCGGCATAGTTCCAGCCGAACTTATCCTGCGCCCTGGCGATTACGTCGGTGTCGTCGAGTCTGCAGCTTCCCTCGGTTCCATTGGGAAGGAAGTGGCATCGGCCGCCGCCGAGCATGATATCCACAACCCTGCCAAGCGGGCCGTCGCCGACCTCCTGCAGGGCGATGTCGTCGCCCATGGCGCGGGTGAGGACGTGGCTTGCGAAGCAGGCGGGGGTCGCGTCGGTGATGTCGGTCGTGACGACTAGGCCCGTCATGTAGCCGGCGCGCTTGGCGGCTTCAAGGACAGTGCCGCACGGCTCATAGTCGGGAAGGACGGAGATGGCGCCGTTGTAGCTCTTCTTGCCGCAGGAGAATGCCGTGGCCCCGGCGGCGCTATCAGTGACAAGTGAGTTGGACGAACGCGTACGGCTGGAGCCCCAGAAATGGCGGTCGAGAGTGAGGACGTCGCCCTCGGGTAGACCCTCGATGTGCTGGCGGAAACTGCGGGTGAGGGAGAGCGAGGCAGGCCCCATGCCGTCCGAGACCATGAAGATCAGGTTGCGCTTCGCGTCAGAGGGGGGTTCGAAGCGCGTTTGACTGCGGTGCTGGGTCCAGACGGCGAGGACTATGACAGCGGCGGTGGCAAGGAGGGCCCAGACGAAGAGGACGGTTTCGCGCAGGCGCGAGGGCGCCGACGACGTGGAGGTGTCGGCAGTATCGTCATCGTGGCGGGGGCCGGGAATGAGGGGTGCCCGTTCGGAGGACTGTGAGTTTGCGGCGATGTTAGCCATGATTTGGAGGGAGGATGCAGAGCAGGAAAGCCTATCCGTTGATGTTGTTTGGAAGAGAGTTCGGCATTACCATTTCTGACGTGTTCATCTGGCCCTGAGGTCCTGACACAGACAGGTGGGTATGTTGGCCTGCTGTGTTGCCTCAGATCCTGTCGCAGGTGGGAAGCTCTGGGGTGGGAGAGGGTTTTGAGTCGGCGTGCGTCCTGACTCTTGTCCGGGTTGATAAGGACGGGGTCGGTGTAGGCAGCTAGCTAAGTGGGCAGGAGTAAGCTAAGGTGCACTATCGATACGAACCTTGAGAGCTCCAGCGGTAGGCAGGGCAGGTCGCATTTGGGCAATTGGTCACGGACTCTCTTCTCTGCCGCTCAGATACCCGGGTATCTTCTCAGACAGCCACCCTCCATGTGCCGTGACATCACGCCGCCGCCTGTCATCCCGTGGTCACAAGCGTCCGTCACCCTCTCACGCACATCGGATTAGTTTGCTTTGCTTTGGGGCCAGCGGATTGGGCGACGGGTGAGCTAAGCTGAGCCTCACCGACCTCTGCATCATGTGGGCCAATATATGTGCGGGGAAAGGTTGGGGATGGGTGGTGCTGTTTCCATCACCCTAATACGAGGCTTTCCAAACCAGGGTTAGAATGAGTCCGGTGGCCGTTGGTTACACTAACGGTCATTGGTCTCGTGGAAGGGGGATGGGAGGAGGAGGAGTCTTTGTTGGACACGAATGGCAATGCCGTTGATGAATAAAACCTGATGATGGCGGGCGCCCTCTTTCCCGTCCATGTCTTGGATATTCGATGAGGCCATCCTCCGATTATGATGTACGGGCCGCATTGAACATTGAACCAACCCCGAGCTTCCATCCAAGTTCGTGAAGGGTTAATGTTTAACAGCATCTGTAAGCTTGACTACCTTATATATGCATATGATCGCCAAAACTTAGGACCCTGAAGGCTGGCTTACGGTTCGTCCCTCTGAGGTGGGCTCGTGCTACTTCGCCGCCTCACTCTTGGGATCAACCTAAAATGCCAGGCAGTCCGGGGTCGGTGGTTTTTTTTTTCTTTTTCATGGCAAAACAATGTTTCCGCCGCGCCTGTCTTGTGAGTTTACCGTGACACAGCCGGTAGGACCGTTATATCAACTTAGTCACCGCACGCTAGTAGGCAAACGGGAAGCACCCGGGCTACTGGCAATGATAAGTGATGACCCCTGTCCATTCTTGACTGTCTCGATACTGCTACCCTTCATCGCCTACCTGTTCTCACTGGATCTCGTTACCGACCGGCTAAGCTCCTGGTGGGCATACCGGCCACACCTGGTCCTCACCACCATGTGTACCTACATTCTTCTGATCCCGGCTTGCCATCACCAGCCGCTTCTTCTCTTTGACACCTCTTGCCGCCTCAGACTTCAGGAGCTACAGCGTATCAATCACCGCGCCGCTTGGGATGGCAGCTCTCTGAGCGAGATCCCTTTCAACGTGCCCGAATCATGCCATCCTGGGACAGGAAACATCCGACCGATATATACGAGTGACTCGTGTCGATGGGACTGTCGGTACATACAATGCATCGCTTCTTCAGATATGCGCTAGGTTTAGTTTAATAAAATGAAGTTGCATGTTTAAGATAGTTGCCAGGAGTGAGGGCATCCAAACGTAATGAATATAATTCGTGATGGATGCTGCCCATGATCTGCCACCCACGGTGCTTCGGTGAGAGGACACTCGGTGTTGTATTCACGATATGCATTCATTCGGACAATGACAAGAATCACGTTCCTGGGCAAAGTAGTCGAGTGTGGACATCACAATTTCTTTCGGCCCAGCTCGCGGACTTGCATTAACTGATCGTGATACATTCTCCCAAGCTCCAGTTGCTGGGATTGAAGTCGTTCGAAGTGAGCTCTGAATCACGATGTAGCTAACCGGAACTCCTCCATGAAATAAACCCCCCTTTGGAGAACAGTCAAGCTTTTGCCGGACGGCCGTCAATTTTACTGGATTGAGACATCTTTCCAAATCTTTTCTTCATCATGAACCAAGCATGGGTTCGATCAGCCACACGCAGGCCCGCCAAAGTGGTCATTCATATCGACATTTGGGAGGCCATCTTCGATCAACTCGCTATCTTGGAGCATCACAGGACGTTGGTCTGTTGCGCCCGGTTGAGCAGGGAGTTGTCGTGGCTCGCACTTCGGCGTCTGTACATGTCAGTTCATCTCTACCACCCCAACTTGCTAGACTCCATGTATGCTTATCCGCATACTGAACTACCTCCATGGATCAATTTTCCTCCTCGGCAAGCTGGAGCATACAACTTGACGACGTCCTATAGACCACCTTGTGGACTTCCTCACCGAGTACCGAGAGCCCACAAACTACGCAACCTTACATCAACTACCTCCGCCATCTCGGATTCCTTAACCTCCTCTCCGTCAAGAACTTCATAAACTTTCTGCACCCTCACTTCATGACCGCCGCTCTCCAACAGACGAACCACCAGAACCTCAACTCCACAAACGACCAGGACATTATCGTAGCAGACCAAATCACAGCCAAAACACCTAGTATCGGGGTCCTCGCGCTACGTTTTCCTCGAGACCTTTGCCGAGTGGCTCGACGTCGAGACCTGCGGGTGATGCTCAAGAGTCTGACGATCGACAAATGGGCACATGTGCTCCCCGTGATATGCTCCTTTCAGGAGTTAAAACCCTCTCTTTGGTTTCCATGGAAGACTTGGACGCTTCCGCCGCGGAGGTGTTGACGAAATATCTCCCGAGATTAAGCGGAATCGAGTTGGTACAGGCCAGCGTGCCTCATACGTCAGCTCTCGCCTCCTTTCTCTCCCATCCGAAGCCTCGCCAGCTACGGGACTTCAGCTGCTCCATCAACAGGATCCAAGTGCCGGTCTTGCGGGCTATCCCAAAACAGACAAATCTTCAGAAGCTAAGCTTGAAGTTTCTCATCCATCTGCCTGTCGAAATGCACAGGTTGCTCGAACTCCAAACCCTGACGGAGCTGAACTCAAGTATTTGTTCCTAGCCGAGTCTCCGGACATGTTACTTGTCAACCCCCCTCTGGGGTGGAGGAAGCGTGGTGGGATCATCATGAACGCCGTGGCGGCCATGCCGGATCTTCAGGAATTGAGGCTGCATACCTACTTCCCTCCTGGATACAAAGAGCTCGAGAACATCGCGAGGCACGTACCAAAACTACAGACGACCTCTTTCGTTAGTCGTAAAGAGGAGGACCCTACTTGGACGCTTCGCGCCCTCGTACCTCATCACCGACCCGGCGACGGAGAACATCAAGAATATGCTGAGGTTCGTCGTCGTGTACTCGAGAGAACAGAACTACCGCGGGGAGATCTGGACGGGCAACGGCTACGAGTTTGACGAGGAGCGGATGCTTGTCCAACTCTGGGATGACATCAGAGGCTCTGCGGAAGCGCTGCAGCTGTTGAGGGGCTCCGGGCCGTATCCTCCGTTCCTGGGGTTGATGGAAAACACGGGCGCGCGCATTGCCTCGTGTGACTGATACGTCTAGTTGTGGGAGAGCCAGAATGGATATTCAGTGGCGCGAGTATTCAGCGGGCCTCAATTGAGAATGCTCAGTTGAGCGTCGAGCGTGGATTCTCGCATTGGTGGTGCTGATACCGTTGTGATGTTTGGATTACGGCTTCAGCGGAAAGCTCCTCTGTAAGGGGTGCACTGCGCTCGCTCCTCAGTGGGCCCGAGTGCCTGCCCCAGGGTGCCCCGCTGCACTTTACGCAACCCGACGCGCCTCAATGCACAGCGCCTCCCGCTCATCCATGCAAACGACATCTCCATCGGTATTCCGCTTACCCAACATCGAACTTCACATCCATGAGTCTGGCTTCAATGACATCATAGCCCTCACCCCCCGCCCTCTCACCGAGCCTACCATCTTGTGGTGTCACGATGGCTGTTCTTAACTTCACCCTTAGTGAGGATGCCGTCGCTGCTTTCCGCGATGTCTTGACCTGCATGAACAAGTTCAGCGACGACGTCTCCCTCGAGGCCAAGAAAGACAAGGTTCAGCCACTCCCCGTTCCACTCTTGACCGTGCTACGGGGACCCATTGACTAACTGGAAGGCTTCTAGTTGATTCTTACCGCTCTCAACCAGTCCAAATCAGCCTACTCCTGCTTCACCTTCGCCACCAACCGCTTCTGCTCCCGTTACCAGTTCGAAGGCAATGCGCAGTACCGGGACAAGTTCTATTGCACGCTTCACATACGTGTAAGTGAGCCTTCGATGCTCGTGGGAGTATCCCTTGAGGGCTTGCATTGAACCGACCAAACCGTGCAGTCTCTCGCCTCCATCTTCCGCAGCCGCGTGGGCGGCGATCCGCAACGCGACCGCGAGAAGGAAAGCACGATCGACCGCTGTGATGTTGCCGTTCAGGACGGCTCGGGCGTTAAGAGTCGGTTGATTGTGAAGCTGGCTTTCCGAAACGGCACGTATTCCCTATGATCTGGCTCACCCAGAAGCATTTGTTGACCAGTCTCAGGTATGACATCTACGCATCGACTGCCCTTTGAGGTTGCGGTGCCAGTCCATGCAAAGTTCGACAGTGACGAGGCCGTCCACCACTGGACCATTCCTTCACGAACCCTGAGACAGCTAATGGAACACTTCGGCCCCGGTGTTGAGCTGCTGGACATCAACTCGGACGGCGAGCACGTCAACTTTACATGCTTCACAGAGAAGACGACGACTGGAGATGGTTGGTTTGCATGCCATTTTTACCTGCAATTGATGCTCACGTTGTTCCAGAGGTTCTAAAGAAGCCGCTACACACATCGATTGCGATCGAAGTGGATGAGTTTGAAGATATCGAAGTCGAAGACAAGCTCCGCATCGTTGTCAGAGTCAAGGACTTCCGCGCAATTATCCAGCACGCAGGCATCACCGGCAACCACCTCTCCGCCCGCTATTCCAGCCCCGCCCGCCCCATCCGATTCACATATCCCGGCGACGGCATCAGCTGCGAGTTCCTGCTGATGACGGTCGGCGAGAGGGGGAATCCGGCCCAGAAGACGAAGAAGGGCAAGGCCAACGCTGCTAACGCCGCCCCACGACAGCAGCTCGAGGCCGCGTCTAGAAGACACAGCGCCGCGCCGTCCGAGATCCCGCAGCCCGTCGAACAGCCGCTAGCCCAGAGCATGCCGCCTCCCCCGCCAGCGGCGTCTGCGGCCAAGAGTGCCGTTGCAGCGCGCACATCACTGTTCGATTTGCGGCCATCCCAGCGACCGCCCCCTGCAACCAATCGTTCCGAGGGCCTGTTCGTGGATAATGACTACGAATGGGAGCCAGTTAGGGACGAAGAGGACGAGGATGCGGAGGAGAATGCTAGACTAGAGTGGGATCATAGTAACCAGCCCGTAAGTCGTACTCTGCAATATTGTTCTGTCCTCGGTTCGACGCTAACTCGCTTCTTCTTAGAATGTGTCTGCAACACACCTGGGCCGCGCTGTCGCTGAACAGAATAACGAATTCGAACCAACTCAGGCGAGCAGCGTAGGTTTAGAGCCCACACAGCGTATTTCCGATGTCAGACGCCTTGGCTTGTTTTACCAGGGCCCGTGAAAGCCCCGGACTGTTAGAAGGAGTTGGTATTTGATACCTTGCAGGTTGGAAGATTGAGACGTCCGTGGTGGATCGGGGATATGCATGGACCATTTGCTCAACCAGTGATGATAGTCACCCAGCTAGTCGCGCAACCCGCACCGATACCCGCGATCTGAGAACCGGGCGGAATGAACCTTGATGATGCAATGACATTCCACCGTCCCTTGACGTCGTTGTTCTCGACCTGCGGGCCGCAGTTGCCGTGCTCGCCCCATCCCCAGGCGAGTACGTCGCCCTTTTCAGTGAATGCGACGACGTGCTCGCTGCCAATGGCGATGTTTAGTAGCTTTGGCAGTTCTGGTGGCGGCAGCTGTCCATGGTCGTCCCTCCCCCACGAAAGAAGTCCGCCGTCCTTCTTCAGGACGTAGATGTTGCCCCAACTGGCACCGACATCCGACCACTCGGGTACAGACGCTGGGGCGGAGGATTTGATGTTCCACTTGTCGGATCCCAAGATCAGTAGCTTGCCTGACTCTGAAGCCCCGAACAAACACGTAAAGTCCTTTCCGCAGACAGCCCTGGAGATCTTGAAGTCGACGCCTTCGATCTTTCTCGGCGAGTGGACGACGGCCTCGGGGCTTCCGCCCTGGCCCTTGCGAATATTGCCCCACGCGTAGGCGTCGCCGTTGCTGAGGACCGCCACGGCATGACCCATACACGCTGCCAAATCTGCGACCTCGGTCCCGGCCGGCGGGAACTCTTTGAAAAGGGTGGCAGACGGCGAACGGAAAAGCAGCTCGCCAAGGCCCAGCTCGCCCTTCTGTCCAGCGCCAAAGCTGTAAACCTTTGTCCTTTTCCCCTCGGCATCCTTCTGAACGACGAACGAAGCCTCCCAAGTTGCAGCGATCAGGTCTATCTTGCCTGAGACGTTCTCTTGCCCTTCCTTGCTCAGCTGGACTCGCTGGAAGATCGGCTCACTGGTCTCTGCAGCGGAAGTCAGACCGCAGGCTCCGCTCGTAGCGTCCCCGCTCCAGTAAAGCTCTCCGAACTGTGTCAGGAGCAGCGTATGATTCCCGCCCGCCGCCACCTTAACTACCGGAGAGGCGGGGTGGTCTGGGAAGAAGATGGCCTGCTTGGGGACGGAGACATCTTCCTTATGGCCGATGCCGAGCTGGCCAGATCCGTTGGAGCCGATTGCAAAAAGAACCGACATTTTTTTTATTTGTTTCTTTTTTGGTCGAAGCTATCGTTTTGTGGTAGCCCCGACACTCGAACTCGTTCAGTGAAGATGAAGTAAGTATTCAGTGGTGGATGCCGGTCGAATATTACACTAAGCGTAGTCGTCCCCCACCAGGTTCTTGCATGTATCTATCCAGCTCAATGGAGGGGCTTTTCGGCCAATCATTCCCGCGCTTCCGCCGGCCGCGCGCCAGAAGATCAAAAAGCGGAACTCCAACCTGGAGTAATTTTTTTCTTTCGTCTTACACACTCACACACAGTCGGCACTCTCAGAGCTCCCATCTCCTCGAAAAGCTCTCGAAGCTGGTGGACCGGCCCTGCAGAGTTTTCCTCTTGCTCAGGATGTGAGAGATTTGCTTCGCGCAGACCTTTTGCAGCCTTGGAAAAAGAACGCTTCCGCTCGAGGCATTTTCTAACCTAGCAGGAACACACATCGGCACGATGGCATCTTCTGTTCCCGTACAGCCTCAGCCCTGCGGCGGCATCCCCGCGGAGATGGAAAACTTCGTCGTTGGCCTGATCGGCATGGGCGACATGGGGAAGATGTACGCGCAGAGGCTCTCTGCCGCTGGATGGAAGTGAGTAATTGTGCACTCCCCAGCCTGGGCCTCTGCGCTTTGCAGTTCTTTTGGTAAGCCACCCACCCACCTTCTCTATATGTCCTTCCTACACGCACACACAACATTCCCACCCCTTGGTCTTGATGACAAGAGCGCATTTGGCTAGAGTATCGCCCGAGGACTTCCTGGCCAGCCGTCTTGGCCCCAGGAAAGGCTGAAGGCTTTCCATGATGATACACCTAGCTACCTTAAACTTTACCTGTCTGAACCTACACAATCACAAACTCTTTCCTATGACCCTTTGTCTTGAAAGTTGCGAGGCTAACATGCTTCCCAGGAATCTGCAATAGCTTCATGCCTATCCTTGCTATACCAAAATATTGCACAGTAGATGGTTGAACGTGATGGAGATACTGACGCCTTGGGCTTCTGGCAGGATCATGGCGTGTGACCAGGAGGAAAAGTACGAGAGCCTGAAAGAAGAGTTCTCTGGAAATGTACGGGACAATGCTACACAAAGCCTGCCCTGCCTCCCTCGGTGTGCAAACCCGGCTGAGCAGTTTTCTCTTGATTAGAACAAAATACAAATCTGCCGCAATGGCCACTACGTCTCCCGCGCCAGCGACTACATCATCTACAGCGTTGAAGCCGCCGCCATTGACCGCGTGATTTCCCAATACGGCCCATGTATGAGTTTTCCTCCATGCTCGTCTGTACAAGACAGTGGTTTGCCTATCTGACACCGTTCTCCCGCGACTAGCAACCAAGCTCGGCGCCATCGTCGGGGGCCAAACGTCCTGCAAGGCGCCCGAAATCGCCGCCTTCGAGCGCCACCTCCCGACCGACGTCGAAATCGTCTCTTGCCACTCCCTCCACGGCCCCAACGTCGACCCGCGGAACCAGCCCCTCGTCATCATCCCCCACCGCTCCTCCCCCGCGTCCGCCGCAAAGGTCGAGACCGTCCTCTCCGTGCTCGGGTCCAAGCACGTCCACCTCACGGCGCTCGAGCACGACCGCATCACCGCCGACACCCAGGCCGTCACGCACGCCGCGTTCCTCTCCATGGGCAAGGCGTGGCACGCCAACACGCAGTTCCCCTGGGAGATGTCGCGCTACGTCGGCGGCGTCGAGAACGTGAAGATCAACATCATGCTGCGCATCTACTCTCAGAAGTGGCACGTCTACGCCGGCCTCGCCATCCTCAACCCCGAGGCCCGCAAGCAGATCTCCCAGTTCGCCCGCTCCGTCACGGACCTCTACAAGCTCATGCTCGAGGGAAACGCCGACGCCCTTCGCGCGCGCGTGCTCGCGGCCAAGGACAAGGTGTTCGGCCGCGACGGCAGCCCCAAGTGGGCAGACCGGCCGCTCCTCAACCCGGACCTGCTCGAGCGCTTCTCCCTCGGCCGCAAGGAGGACCAGACGGGCCCGCCGCGCGCCAACAACCACCTCAGTCTGCTGGCCATGGTGGACTGCTGGGCGCAGCTGGGCATCGTCCCCTACGACCACATGATCTGCTCCACGCCGCTGTTCCGGCTGTGGTTGGGCGTCGCCGAGCACCTGTTCCGCAGCCGCGACCTGCTCGATGACGCGCTGCGGACGGCCGTCGAGGACCACACCTACCGCTCCGACGACCTCGAGTTCACCTTCGCGGCGCGGGGGTGGGCCGAGTGCGTCTCGCTCGGCCACTTCGAGACGTGGAAGAACCGGTTTGTCACCACGCAGGAGTTCTTCCAGCCGCGCTTCAAGGACGCCGTCGCCGTGGGCAATGCCATGATGAAGGCCGTGCTGGAGAGCACGAAGGACTGAGAGACCTGAGAGGGAGGGAAGGGGATGTGTGTGCGCGGGAAGGAGATGCGGGCATTTACGGTTTACGGGGTGGACGTTGCGTCTTGGGGCGGATGGGTGCACTAGAGAGTGACGCGATTGCGAGCAATTACAGGGGTTTCCTTAGACAGAGTCAAGAAATGAAGGATGAGAAAAACAAGCTAGGGCCCCTCTGCTAGACGCTGACGTGCCGTAGTTGAACTTACCCCGGCCAAGAGTTCCGCTCTTGTTAAGTCGTCTGCTTAGCTCTCTTTTGTTTTTATCTTCAGCCCCTGAAACATTTGTAGCATACTTTGGCTGGTTCTGCGATTGCAAATTACGCCGCAAGCTGCATAGGCAGTTGCAAGATGTGTATATGAGCCATGCAGAGCTCGTGTCCTATCTTCCTAAAGGGCATATCGTGCGTGAAAGAATACCATTTAACACCTAGCAACAGGGGTATCTCGTACAATCCAACGCCTCGGTCACCAAATGCAGGGGATCAACACAATGATTCTTCCGTCTCTGTCGTCAGACCTGAGTCACAAGATCCGGAGCATGCCTCTCCACGCCTTCTTCCGAGACGGCCACTCCATGCGCAACCTCTAGAGGCTTTGCGAGAAACTTGCCCTTTTCCTTCTCGTGCTCCTCCATCGCAGTGGCATCCCCACTAAGCCGCCGGGCACTCGCGGCAGCCGGCAGGCCTATAGTGGAGGCTGTAGTATCCTGCCAGGACGAATCTATCTCACCAGTCTCCTGGCGGCCTGTAGCCTGGACGGCAAGGTTTGGGGAGCCTGGCGACCGGGGCAATTGGGCGTGTGGGAGAGGGTAAGATGACATGATCCTCGTGTCATTAGCCATGTCCGTAGGATCGAGCTGCGAAGCTAGCTGGCTCGCCAGTCGTGCGTCGTTAGTAATATCATTACTCGCAGCCGACGATGTACGGGAGAAGGCAGGCCCAGGAGCCCTTGCTGGCTGTAATGATGTCAGACATGTTGTGTATGCTTACGATGGAGGTGCTCACCGCTGAAGCTGGTCGTAAACCTAGATTGGCGACTAGACTGGAGCTGCAGATGGGTCTCTGGCGGAAGAGATGGAATCCATATCCGGTAGCTGCCGTAGCAGGAATGCTGCCCTCTGCGACACCGTCAAGACTGATATATGCTCGGTCCGCTCCACCAGGGCGGCAATAAGGGCATATCTTGTATTTGCACTCATCTTTGGCGTTGGGAACCCAGGGAGTTGATACGCTGCGGCCCAGGATATCGTCTAAATCGTAAGTGCTGCACTGGCGAGCACCTTCGTGCTCTTCCGTAGATGTCGGGTTCTTTCGGAACGACTCTTGACGGAGAATGTCTCCAAGCTAAAATGGAGGCATTAATTGATGTGTAAGCGCATTTAGAGCAAAGATACACGTACATGTTTGCGTTGGTTAAAGATAGTCAGAAGCTGGTTACTGGTGTAGGTGGTTGTGATGTCCCTCGGAGGCATCTCCTCAAGGAAGCAGGCGGCATTTCCAGACCGTTTTTCAGGACCGCGGTTCCTCGGCTGTATAGTTGCTATAAGCTTCCTGCCCAAGTCATCGAATGTGACCTTAACCCTATCAGCGTCGTCTCTGGCCTTGGATGGTTTCCACCTCACCTCGTCTCCGCTGAGAATGGAATCGCGCAGGATTTCCTCCTGATCCTGGGAGCAGCGATATAACCAGCCAAAGGGGCCGTAGTTGCCACAAGAGTCGCATCGAAGGATATAGCTGTACACGCGGACCATTGTGACGTGTGTACAAGCGGCGAAGGCACGCGCCGGGTGAGGGGCGGGCTGAGCGGCCATAACGGTACCAGATACCCCAGAAACGACCTCGAGGAGATGGCCAATTCAAGACAAGGATAGGTGGGTGAAGAATGTTTTTAGGATCGGTGTTTACTTGGAACGTTGTGAATTATTAGTCTCGCGTAGTGATGACTCTTGGGTACCTACCTAGTCTTGTGATCAGGTGAAGAAGGTCTTGAATGAACCGAGGAGGAAGGCGCGGTTGGGCTGGACAGGTCCGGGAAGCAGCACCTTGCTTTAGCAACAGTTCATCTGAATTAACTGGACCAGTAGGAGGACAGACCACAGCATTGGGAGTTTCGGCTCATGCTGAATTGAAACTAAAATTGCGACATGGCCTACGTAGGTGTATTTCGGTTTAATACAGAACTTGCCTTTTTAATACGATCCTGTTTCCCCGAACACATCAACTTCAGCCATCATCGGCCACAACGTACTGGGACTACCAGATTAACATGTTATATCACTTGTGGTGTTTTCGGAGAAACCAGAAATACTGGCGCAACAACTTCATCTGATGCCGAGGCTCTTTATCTGATGTTGCTTTGGCCATGGCAGAGAAACAGACTACATCGGCTCTCGACAATTAAGTATTAGAGACCATAGCTTTTTCTGCAGTCTGGCGGACAAAGTTACGCGAAAGAAGGAGATGTGCTCTCCGACTTGGACCAATATCAGTATCGACGGGCATCATTCCGTGTATCGAGGTCGACCGATACAAAAGCAGGCCACAGTCTTCATTCCTCTATATTGAGGGGAGTATACAAATCACAGCCCGTGGCAAGCGAGGAGTTTGCGCGTGGAGCACTCAGCTCACCGCATGTTTTGAGCTGCGGTGAGGGGCATCGATATGCATGCAAGATGGCGTGGTTCGGACGACATTCGGACGATTCGGGGAAGTATAGCATGAAGGCCGATCATCAAACTATCATTTGGGGAGGGACCACGTCGATGGGTCAACCCGGCACATCTAGGCTAGCCAGATTGCAAAATCGCGAAACTAGGTAGCATTTCCCATTTCTCAGTCTTTGCCAGTCAGTCATTGGACTGCTGTCAAAACGAACTGGCGAGCACACCAGTTCGATGCCACTGGATTGCCCCGCTCACAAAGTGAAAACAAAGCTCGGACCACTGGCAGAGAATGAGCCAATCAAAATCCACATTTGATCACACCCCTGCAGCTCCGACCAGCTCTTGCCCCGTTTTGCAACACCCCCCCGTCATTTCTTGCGTTGCCAGACAAATGAGCATCTCACACCAGAGCTCCAAGTCCAAGATTGCCCAGTTTGGCACCACCCCCATCAATTCTGTCAATTTCTTCCCCAGCCAGCCCAGCTGAGCCCAGCCCAGCCGAGGTGGTTCTCCCGTTCTTGCGTACCTAGAGCCCCCCTCCCCCCCAGTATGCGTCGCACCAGGCCCCGTACACCCCCCAGCCAGCCCAATTGTGTCAACCTCCTCAACCACAGCCACATCAACAACCCTTCCGTCGCTCCCTCTCTCTCTCTCTCCATTGTGCTGCTGCCGCCCAACCTCCCTCACTTCTGACGACGGCCCAGACGCTCAATTTTCTTTTTTCTTTTACAAATCTCGAACAATAGTATTTCAGTACGTTGCCTCAAATTCCTACCGTGCCCCCCGGGTCAGCCCGTCATTGCGATTGAAGTTTCCAGTGACCGAAGCTCTAGCCGCTCAATTAACCGATCATCCCCGGTCGGTCGGCAGAGCGACGCGGTAAACAAATTATTGGCTGCCCCCCCGGGCTTGTACTCTGGAGCCGCAATCAATTGACGAACGCCCCCCCGAAAATCCATCGCAAACACCCTCAAAGACGGGCCTTGAATGCTGATACTCCTCTCTTTCACCGCAGTTCCCACCGCGATTTCTCGATTACGTTAGCGATACCCCCGGAGTCTTAGCCCACAATGTCGGTCAAGTTCGAGAAGGAGACGATAAAGAAGGGTGTGGAGGAGGTCAAGAAGGGCCTCATCGGAGAGCCTCTGCCCGGCACCAGCGGCAAGCACCCCATCTCCGAGGCCATCGGCACCGCCGTCACCGGCGGCAAGAAGAATGCCGGAACCAAGGGTTATCTTGCGGTTTGTCTGCCAACCCCTCCGATGCTGCCCGCCGTGAATTGCGCGCGAGAGGAGCAGCATCGTGGAGCCTCGTGGAGTCTCGGAATGAGATGCTGACGTGCTTTTTATTACAGGCCTACATCAGGGAGCTTGAGAAGAACCCTCTGCGCACCAAGATGCTTACTTCTGGTACTCTCGCTGGTGCCCAGGAACTGATCGCATCCTTCCTTGCCAAGGACCGCAACAAGCATGGCGACTACTTCACCTCGCGCGTGCCCAAGATGGCTGCTTACGGCGCCCTCGTCAGTGCCCCTCTCGGCCACTTCCTCATCTGGGCCCTTCAGAAGACCTTCGCCGGCCGCACCAGCCTGCGCGCCAAGATCTTGCAGATTATTGTCAGCAACTTGATTGTATGTTGCCCTGTCGCTCATCAAAACCTGCTGTGCGCGTGCTAACTCGCATTCTACAGATTGCGCCCATCCAAAACTCCGTCTACCTCACCGCGATGGCTCTCATTGCCGGTGCTAAGACGTACCACCAGGTCCGTGCCACTGTCAGGGTTGGATTCTGGAAGGTCATGAAGGTCAGCTGGATCACATCTCCGCTCTGCCTGGCCTTTGCCCAGAAGTTCCTCCCTGATCAACTCTGGGTTCCCTTCTTCAACCTGGTTGCCTTTATCATCGGTACCTACATCAACACCATCACCAAGAAGAAGCGCCTTGCGGCTCTGCGGAAGAAGCACTTCGGTGACGGCCGTTCTCCCTCCATGGGAGGCCGCCCTGAGGACTACCCGGGCCCTAAGGACTACCCTGGCCCGATGGGAGGTCCGATTGGAGGTCCCAACCCCGCTTACTAAACGACTCTGCTATGGTGAAATGGTTGAGATGATGTCGATATAACGCCCACTTGATGAGAAACCCGGTAAACATCTAATGCGAAAATAAGCCCAGCCCTTTGGGGCGGCTTTCTGGAGTTGAGAGGCGTGGGGGGGCAGTGTGAAGATATGTGAGCTGAGGGAGCAAGCGAGCTCGGAAAGGTTGCAGCCGATCGCCCAGCGTCCTTGCAACTTTTGCTTGCTTCAAACGCTGCTGTCATGTTATATTTCCTGTGTCGGTAAATAGGTTCGAATGCGCTTGGATTTAGGCTCGAAATGTTTGGTATTGTCTACGCGCTTTTTCGTTCAAGTGGTCCCTAATGCTCTAATCCACATCTACGGCACATAGTGCAGTTACGATTATTCCAAGTCATATCAGCGTTTACCAACGCGTCATTGTGCGAGCCTTTTCATCGTGTCTCTCACGGATGGCTCCGGCTAGCACATAGGCGGCCTGGTCCTCTTTGGGATTTAGCCTTCACGCCTTACCTCAGGCGGGGGGGCCTTTGGCATTGCGTTGCTGGCTGCGGGTTGCAAATCGAATCGACGTGGCCGATGTCCGCCGATGAAGCAGCGGCGACAGCAGCCAAAACGGCAGGTCGAGTGCTTGGGTTGAATTTGCATCTTGGACTCACTCACTCCCTGTTTCATTCTCCAGCCGGCGTCTCACCAGTGTCCACCATGAACCCAGGACTCCAGTACTCCGATTCTGGACATTGCTTATCCACCCACAACATGCCCTCACCGAGAAGATCCTCCAATGCAGTTTGGGCTCGCGCCCTGGGCCACCGCAAGTTAATCATCAGCATTGAGATGCTCACGTATCCCAATACCTGCACAGCCTCCAGTACGGCACTCTGATCCGTGTTGAGCTCCTTGGGGACGCTTCGGATATACGACTTGCTGCCAACCTTGATCACGCTGTGTGAGCTGCCCAGCGGCTTCAGCGTGCCGACAGCCCTCAGCACATCGTCCTCGGTCACCTCGCTCGCACCCTCCATGCGCCCCTTCATGATCCGTTCCCTCACCTCGCGGACCCCGATCAGCCCGCCGTTCTCGTCGCGCGTCGCGCCGCACACCTCGACCACTCGCACCGCCAGCTCAAAGTAGAAGTCGTTGACCGACCGGCCCAGCAGCTGCGCCCAGATCGAGGACGAGCCGCCGCCCGAGGACGAGGACGAGGACGCGAGCGGGTCGACGCCGATGGCGGAGCACATGCGGGCGAACTGGGCGCGGAAAGACGGGTTCGAACGGATGTCCTTTGCGTGGGTCTGCGCGAACTGCTGGAGAAGGGAGCGGAAGACGGAGAGCTGGGTCTCGAGGGCTTGCGCATTGGTGTTGCGCAGATTCGAGCCGTGGGAGGCATACTGCGCCGAGGTGAGGCGGGAGCGATCGAAGGCCGCAAGGCCGACGCCTTTACGAGACATGGTCGCGTGTGTTGTGGTCGGAGTCGGGATGGGAGTTTAGGTAGAGTATGGGGGAAATGGGGAGTTTGGAGCGTGGTGCTTCACATGCGGAGGCGGGTGGAGGTTGCGAATAGAGGGGTGCGGTGGATGCCACATCGGGGGTCGTGGGCGCCGATGTCATTTGTGAACAAGTCGGGTCGTCCGCCAACCTCGAAAGATGACATAAGCATCTTCGGTCGTCTAGCGTTCCAAGGACCACCAAAGCCAGGCCCAGATCAGCGAAGCTCCTGCGTCACGTGCACGCAGGCTGCACGACCCACTCGGAGAATCTTGACCACTAATCGGGCATAGCCCCGGCAAAAAGGGCACCAAACCCTCTCTCAAATCCAAACGCAAAAATTACTGAAACCGAGCCTGACCAAAGCAAATTACACGCCCTGCCTCACGATCGCGCTGCGAACTTCCTCACAGAGTCTCTCCATCCACGCAGCAACATGTCGTCCACCCAGAGCGTGCAGTGCTTCGGCAAGAAGAGAACCGCCACCGCCGTTGCCCAGTGCAAGGTACGATCAAAACCCGATGTTCCCTCCGAGAGAAAGAAGACGAATACGGGAAGCGGATTGACGGAAAGAGGGGAAAGATAGACATTTATATCAGAATTGGGAAGGCTGACTTTTCCCCCCCCGCGCAATAGGCTGGCAAGGGCCTCGTCAAGGTCAACGGCAAGCCTCTCTCGCTTGTCCAGCCTGAGATCCTCCGCTTCAAGGTACGATTCAATCCTGCACGAACCCATTGACGAAAACCGGTTGGCAAGAAGAAAGGAACTGGATGGATTGGGAGGTTGGATGGAATGAAGAGCAAGCGCTGTGACGTTTGGCTCTCTCTACGGATGAGAAGAACGCGCGCATCGCTTTTGCTCTTCACCACCTACATCCACGAATCGATTCGAGAAGTCCTATAGCGATCGAGGCCCCTGCACACAGGGGGTGGGAAAGGCACATTCAAAAAGAGCTCAATGAAGGCTAACGCTATGGAACACAGGTCTACGAGCCCCTCCTCGTCCTCGGCCTTGACAAGTTCGCCAACATCGACATTCGCGTCCGCGTTACCGGTGGTGGTCACACCTCGCAGATCTACGCCATCCGTCAGGCCATTGCCAAGTCGGTTGTCGCTTACTACCAGAAGTTCGTCGACGAGCACTCGAAGAACATGCTCAAGCAGGCTCTCGTCCAGTTCGACCGTACCCTCCTCGTCGCCGACAACCGCCGGTGCGAGCCCAAGAAGTTCGGTGGTAAGGGTGCCCGCTCCAGATTCCAGAAGTCCTACCGTTAAACGGTATGGGTCGGATGGTTTCTTTTTCTTGCCCGAGCGGTGGTGGGGGAAAAGGGATATGCAGCACAACACCTTTGGGGGAAGCGCTGTGGGTTACCGGGTCCAGCATTTGATGTTTCCCGCGAAGAATATTTGGCAGTTACTGTTTAACGAGGGAGTCAAACGTGGATCAAAATATCTGGCTCGTTGGTCTCGCGTCTCTAGGGAAAAACGGACCGGGACTGCGGCCAGGGCTCGACACATGGGGGCGAGGGTCGTGCGTGGGAAGCCTAGCATCGCGCTGGTTCTCTCCGCCGTCGCGCTTCCGTCGATGCAATTGCATGGCATGCCTCGCGGTATCGCTGCTTGGCTTGGTTTGTAAAAAGGGTCAGGCAGGCAAATGAAACATTGAAACTTCATGACACGGCGTTTTGGGCTCGAGTTATGCGCGTGCTGTGTTTCGTTTCTCTTCTCTTTCTCTCTTTTTTGTCGTCCATGGCTGGGAAGCTCGCCATCCATGAGGCATCGGAGGGGGGTAAGGTGTAAGAGAGGAAGACGGTTCTCCAACAATGGCATTTGAACAACTACATGTCCCATATCCGCGCCGTTATGTCCTTCATGTCCGCGTCAAAGGCTATCCGATAACCCAAGCCGGGTCCTCGTCCTCCTCGTCAGTTCCTCTCGTGCCATCGACCGGGTCATGCTCTCCCAAACTAGCTTGCGAACATCGGTGTGGCAGGGCTGCATTCATAATCATCATTCACTGTCTTAGATTGCCCCCCCTCGTTGTTTAGTCCCTCAGCATCGTCTCTGTCGGATGAAGTGAACGTTGAGTTGATCGCCCGATTACGAGCAATGCGCAAGCAAATTAACTTACTTCAAAGCCAACTCGTTAGTCCTAGGTCTAAGAGCGTTTACCCCAATCCTAGCCAGCCTGCATCGTGACGAGAGAGAAAAAAAACAGATGCCTAGCGCGAGACTGGCCAGGCCGCAGCGCAGCCCGTACCAACCAACCAACAACTAATTGGATATACATCAAATAAAATAAAAACCAGCGCCACCACAAACGAAAGTTGATGATCAGTGTGAGGCTTGAACTCACGGCCTTGGCATCACTCAACATATCCGATGATATATTAGTACCACGCTCTAACCAACTGAGCTAACCGACCAGACTGCTTGTGCCTGCGTGCACTGCTGTCATGTCATTGCCCTAAGCCCTATCAGAGGGAAGGGCCGCATCGCCAGTGAGGGTCAGACGGAGAAAGGTGGTGGTGGGCTCCGACTGACTCCATCGTGGGCAGGGTTTGCCTTGACAGGTATCATCGGGCTTGGTTGGGTCCGCTGTTACGGTTGCCGCCGGGGGCTGCTCCGTGGCATGAGATGACGGCGTGTTAATGCCAAAGGTTGATCGAGCTTCCGTTATTCCAGTAAATGCCGTGTTTCTCGACAGGTTCTTGTCAACAATTTGAAATAGGAAAGAAAACCTCTACAGTCTATCTCAGTGATTTGCCTCTGTTGCATATGGCGACACTGTTAAGTTTACTTCTGACCCGGTCTTGTCAAACAATCCCTGCCATCTCAGACTGACCGACAGGACTGGAATTGAACGAAGCTAGCTACCTTGGCTTAGTGACTGGTAGGCTTTCTAAGAGTTTACCCTGTGACCCTCTTGGAAGAATGTTGGTAAAATGCGGCTACTGCCCCTCCATTCTTACTTGGACCCGCCATAACCTGTCTGTTACTGAAGACCAGGCTTAAATCAGAGTTGATTAAACCCATCTTTCGCTCTGCTTTTTGACAGGCCGGATACTTTTTTTGGTGCACCCAACTGCTGTCCGCGTCATACCCATATCTCGCCGCCTGTGTCAGTACCTCGTACCACCAATCACCATTTCCATCCCAGCAGGAGGAACCGGTAGGTAGGCCCCAAAGACCCGCACCCTAGGGCCTTGAAACAACCCACAACCTGGCATCCGTAGTAAGAGTAGTACATATTACCCAATTCTGATGGTCACACCAACAGCGTCTCGAGCAGCTCATTTCGAGCTCATCCCCGATGGCACAATTGGCTAGCGCGTCAGACTGTTAATCTGGAGGTTGGTGGTTCGAGCCCACCTCGGGGAGATATAAGTGGTTAAAACCCACCCGAGACGTCCATGTTTTTTGCGCAATGTGTGTGTGTGGGTGTGTGTGCGGTACCAGTGTGTATTTATTTCGGTGTTTGCGCGCATGGACGCACGCACACACACACCTATCTGTAGTGGAATCGAAGTCTGTCTCATGTGGTTTATTTCTGTGCAGGCAGGTTATATTGTCTTCCTTTTTGTCTACAAGTTCCAATAAGAAAAAGATCGGTGTCTCCACTATGCCTCCCTTCTAGGACAGCTTCTACCTGGTCATTCGGTCGTCAGCCTAGAATTCCGCTGCCGAGTGACCCACTCACTCACTCACTCTATTACGGCCCAAAGACCGGATCGGGAAGGCCGTGGGAAGAAGAGCAGCGGGACAGCAAGGGATCAAGAATCATTGAGCGTATGGCATGTGAGCTCATTCCAATTTGCCTGTCTTGCACACCGTTATCCGAGAGCGCCTGGCTGAAATAGGTAGGCCTGGAAGCCAGGTGAATGCCATTCTTTCTGGTCAACCGCCTCACTCGCTGTGTCTCCTCTGGTTTCTCCACGTGGCTCGCTCGTCCTCGAAGGAGAAAAGGCCAGACCCGTCTCACAAGGGCGGCGCCCATGATGGCGAGCCGCAAACAGCAAGACACGATGATGTAGCGGGAAGATGGCGTGCCTGTGAGAAGTATCGGGCTTTCCAAAGCGAGGGGTGGTAATTGGATGGCACCGTATATCGAATGTCATCAATAACGTATAAACGTCAAAGAGAATGAATGACCTTTACCGAATACATATCATTGCCATAGTTTGAGACCGCAAACGGTATTACTGCAGTGTTTCTCCCCATTCGGGGCTCGGCATAGCCATCTTACTGCTTCTAAGTAAGTCAACGCGCCCAAGCAGAGACTAGTTCATGGCTGGCGATCGCCCTAGCGGCATCTCCTAGGAGGCCATCATCTATGCTAGCCAAAGAGATCAAGCGATGCCGCATTTGCGGTCCTTTTTGCTAGAGAGAATGTGAAAAGAGGAGCCCCTGGTGGCTGCCTGCCAATCGACTGGGCCAGTTGTCGCAAGCTACACCTCAACCGGGTCCAGTAAGGTTCTATCACGAGGAGGCGGAAAGACGCTCCATCTCTCAAAGACTTTCAGAATGTTTTAAACCGGTCCTAAACCAGTCCATTCTTCAGCCAAGTGCAATGCCAGCTAGCCAGTCGGCACTGCCTTCGCCAGGTCTCTCCATCTCTTGGGTACTGGTGCTTGTATTCTTTCCATTCGATACCCTCAACGCACACTATCGACACCATACTCACCCAATATTCCTTCAAAAAGTCGGCCTACCTTGACGTTTTCCCCATCCTGCGTAAGCTCGGAGCATTGATAAACGCAGCTACAACCGTCAGGTGGGTACGCCTGTTCACGAGAGGCTCCTGGGCCGCGCTATATAGCAGTTGATAGCTTAGGATGGCTACCGGCCGTTTCTTCGCCCTGCTCGTTTGCTTACTTGGGCTCGGCAGCGTCGTGACTGCATCGGATGTGTCTGTCAACGGCCTCCCAGGCTGTGCTGTGAGCAGATCCCAGAAGAACAGGCTTAGCATGACATCTACTTACACAAATAGATCACATGCCTCTTTCAAGAAATAGGCCAATCCGATTGTTCCATTACGAACCAAACATGCATATGCCACGACGAGGTATTGGCCGCCGATATGCAAACATGCGTCCAAGAGAGCTGCACAGCAAAGGAGATGCTGGGTAAGGGCTAGAATCAAGTCGACCCCATCCGAGCAAAGGATTGAAGCTCATCTTTGCCTTCTACAGTGGCCCTTAACCAGTCAATGACCGCCTGTGGAGTTCCTCCAACTCCGGCATACGACATGATGCAGTGGTTTCGTGAGCTTCTATTCGGCGTCCAAACCTTTTTCATCATCCTCAAGGTCGTCGACAAATTGTTGAAGCTCTCGCCTTGGGGCTGGGGCTGGGACGATCTGACCATCCTGATAGCATATGTATAGCTCCCCTGTCCTTTGCTTCTCAACCACCCAAAACCAATTTGTTCTAATCGTATAATAGGTTCATGTCGCAGCCATCTTCCCATTGAGCATTCTGGGTACGTGACTGGCGACTGTATTTCTATCCATTACGGAACTGACGAATATCACTTGTAGCCGAAAAGTCTGGCGCTGGGAGAGACATCTGGACGCTTACTCCTGACCAGATTACCGACCGTCTTTTTGTAAGGCCGATTGCCCGAGATATTTTTCAGGGTCTCATCACTGACATTTGGCGCAAGAATTTGTTCATTTGCACCATACTATACATGAACGGTTTAGCGTTCATCAAGGCATCGATTCTATTTTTCTATCTACGCATCTTTCCCGACGAGAAGTTTAGGAGGATTCTTTGGGGTACACAGCTCTTCAACCTTCTGCTCGGGATTTCTTTCACCGCCGTTGTTCTCGGCGGGTGCAGGCCCCTCAACTTCTTTTGGAATGGGTGGTGGGCAGGAAAGATGGAAGAGAAATGCATCAACATGAATGCATTCTCCATATGCAACGGTGCATTCAACCTCGCGCTCGATGTATGGATGCTCATGCTGCCGGCATCGCAAATCTACAACCTGAGAATGGAGTGGAAGAAAAAGGCGGGCGTAATTCTCATGTTTAGCGTTGGGATATTGTACGTACGGCCACCTTCTGGAGTCCTTTACCGATACTAACTCCCACAAGTCTCACGGCTGTCAGCGCTTACCGTATCAAGGTGGTCAGGGATTTTGCAGTTTCTACCAACATCACAGGTCGGCGTCCACTGCGAGATTACAACATGACGGCAAACATGCTGACTGAGCTCGTTTATCTAGGCAATTCCTTCCAGTCCTCCCTCTTCTCCCACATTGAGCTCTGCGTGGGCATTTTTGTGGCCTGCCTTCCGAGCGCACGCCAAGCCTGGAAGGCCATATCGCCCAAGATTGTGGAAGCAACCCGCGTTTCTTCGAGCCGCTTCTGCCCAGCCAAGGACTCCCATGACGCAAGCAAAGCCACGCAGGCAACGACAGGCGCTTACGGGCAGCCGCCCGTCGAGGTATATGATGAGTCGTCAATAGCGCATTTGATCGGGGACTTCAAGAGAATCGATCTCAACAACCTCCCCGACCCGAGCACGACGGAGACGGAAAGCCCAAAGACGCCGGACAAGTGGATCGACAGCAGCACGGAATCTTCCCCGGGAGGCTCGAGAGGTGGCCGGGGCCGGGGATGAAAGGGCATGGGGGTGTGTTGTCGTTTCCTGGAAGCAGCCGAAAGGAACCGAAACTTCGAGCTATATGCAACAGCGACGGACCCGACCGACTGAAGATGCCCGCGAAGGCGGACAGTGCCCGGAGAGTTCTCGGTCAACCAAGACAAAGCAAGTCTGAGGGGGGAAGAGGCAGGTCAAGCCGTAATAGGCTAATCCGCCAACCTCCACGCCCTGTAAATTACCATTCATGCCGAATCGTCGGATTGGCAGCTCGCAAGAAACAACAAGTGAGATGCCAGGCTACGTGGTTCAACCTGCGCTCAGGCGTGGGGCGAAGGGCGTCTTTGCCCCGACGTGGCCAGAGGAACATGGGCCGGAAAAGAGAGTGCTGTTCCACATTACACCCAAAAGTAACAAGATCGACGATGAGTCAAAGAATTTCAGCAATATGAACATTGGATAGCCTGCGCAGACCTGATGTCACCACAGTGGCACACAGAACAACATCATGCGGTGACAATACCTGAAACGGCTTTGGCTCTGGCTTGCTGCGTCGATTGCAGAAACACTCCTCGGAAGAAATTCTGATAAATCGGGTAGAATTTATTGTCTAATGAATCCAAGCCTATTTGGTGAATTCAGGGGTTCTGGTCTTCAACCATCTCCGTGTTTCTCTCAAGTGTGTCTATCACTCTGTCGCGCCGAGGTTGTTCTGCTACCGGCTGATAGCCGAATCGCATCGCAAGAAGGAGGGGGGCTACGGGCTTGGATCGGGCTTATTGCCCGATAAGCATACGACCCTTTGCCACTCGGTTCCTATCTGTAGGGCAGGCTACTTCTGTTGGGAGCGCCCGTTGCTCCAGCCAGCTCCAACGACCACGTCCGGCCCGTTTGACCCACCAAATGGAACAACAAGAAGCCACTAGTCGAGCACCGCCAGGTAACGCGTTCTTTGATACCGAGAATGTCAAATCAGGTGCTGATCTGGAATCGAAGGGGAAAAAGTAGCTACCGAAGGAGCCGGGTCTGAGCCTCCGACATCAAGCCGTGACGAAAAAGAGAAGCCGGGCGATGGGGACTGGGAGGTCGTAACCAAACCGGAAAACGAACCAGAGAGTCAGGGAACGTGCTTCTCCAACAGCTTCGAGCTGAAGGTCGGCTGGGGAGGTTGGAAAACGTCCATATTCAGCTGGGACGTGAGTGTCAGGACGGGGCACACCCACCTGTGTGGAAGCCCCGGGAGGGAGGAAAGGACGGGGAAGACGACAGGAGGATCGAGCCAGGAACCCCACGAATGATATGAGGCCGGTAAGGTTCGGTATGAAATGCCTCGGTGTGTTCGCCGCCTTGGTTTAAGGGATGAGAGGGAGCTTGTCGATTGCATTGGACGCTGCTTGAGAAGGCCCCTCAGCCGACCCAAGATCGCCGCTAGCCATCGCAGTAGAACCCGAGAGCGCGACCTGCGTCCTAGCCGGGGGTATCAAGAGGACGACAAGAACCTACACAGACCAAACCTTTGTCAATCTCTACAATGCGCACGATCTCCGGAAGACCAAAGCTCGGCAGGGCCGCCGAGCCCGTCGGCTCCGTCTACTGCTTCGCTGACCACCAAAGCCCGAATCGAGCCCTGGCAGATCTTCCACGCTGGCCTTCAATCGACAACGACTCCAAGTTGTTATGTCTCTCCTCGAGGTCGGGGGAAGGGGGAGACCCTGCTAAGCCTTCATATGGCAGTGCTTTAGTTGCTTCCGATTAATAGACCCGTGTATGTAATTCTCATGCAGCGCAGGGAGGCAAAAAAGAAGGACGGGCAAAAAATAAAATAAAAACCAATCCCTACTGTAAAGTCGCGTATCTCCATCACTTGAACTCGCCATATCAAGACATCGCTGGCAGTGGTTCAAAATAGCAGAATGCATCCTCCAGGGACATGAAACTGACAACACACACACACCTCTTCTGACAGAGACTTCGAGCGGTGCACGAAGCAGTCGGTTTTAAGTTATGCTTTGCACACACCGTAGGAAAAGAGACGGAAAAGTCAAACGGTCAGAAGAACCCCCCCCCCCCCCCCCCCCTTTCATGCCCCGGTACAATTGACAATGGTCAAGGAAAAGACTTTCGGACTGTTGGAACACAATAACGTAAAAACAAATGACAAGCAGACAAGACGAACGAACCATCCGAGCGTGCCATGACGTGAGGCTCAGACGGTAATAGAGAAACAATCAACACATTGCTGCAAAAATAGACACTAGTGGACGATGCGTCACATCCAGACTCCCTCCCCCTCCCCTCCAAAACTACGGGGGAGCCACGAGGGACCATTCGAAAACCCATGACAAAAGATACCGATGAATCACCGACCATACTGACTGACGGGGGAAAAAAAGAGGACACTCGATCCGGACAGGACTCGAACCCGCAATCTTCTGATAAATTTCCGAATATTCATTCAATTTTGTGAAAATCAATCGAAGTCAGACGCCCTACCAATTGAGCCACCAGACCGAAGGATGAGTGGTTATGAGAGTGATTACTCATCGATATAAGTAGAGCACTCTGTCGTGGAGATATACCCAGCGAGTGATTGTGTGAGAGATTGGCGGGGGGAGGGAGGGGGGTTAGTTACTCTTGGCGTGGGTGTGAGATTTGTGGGTGGTGTTCCACAAGAGGGGAGGGGTTCTCCGAGATCGTCCGCGTCGACTTGGACGGGTTTGCACACATGATTAAACGTGGTTTTGAGTTTTTGTATTTAAAAAAAAAAGAGTGTTGGATTATTGACACCTCCCATCAAGTTGCCTTTTTGCACCGCGGATGCCCTGCGTCACCGCATAATGCTCTATGTACAGCTGAAAGAAGAGAGAACCAAACAAAAACAGAAAAAAGCCTCCCACCTCTTCCCCCCATTTTCTCCCGCGACGCGCGAGCCCATAGATAGAAAACGTCGACGGAAATCGACTCTCGCAGCCGAATTCTCCCATGCTGAAAATAACCCCCCGTTTTCTAAATAAATAAATAGGTAAATAAATAAATAAACAACAAATCACAAGCCAGTTTTTCTCTAAAAACGCCGCAATACCGCAACGACGACGAAGAAGTCCCCCCATCCGGCCGGGCTTAGGACTTGTACCAGTTCTCGGGGGCGTCGCCGAGGCACTCCCCAACGGTGACGGCGCGGTAACCCCTAGCCTTGAGGGTGTCGATCATCTTCTGCACGAGGGAGATGACCGTCTGCTCGTGGACGTCGTGCGACAGGACGATGTAGCTGTTGGACGAGGCGTCCTCGCTGAGCCCGTTCATGAACTTCTCGGCCGAGATGTGCGTCGTATCGGGCGTGTCGTTCTCGTAGTCCTTGGTGTCGAGGTTGGTGCCGATCATGTGGTAGTTGAGGTTAGTGAGGTCGGTGACGCACGCGTCGTCGCATGACAGGTAGGGCGTGCGCATGTACCGCGGCGCGAAGCCGGCGATGCTCCGCGTGGCGTCCTCGAGCTGCGTCATCTGAGCGATGCGGTCGGCCGACGAGAGCGTGCTGAGGTCCGCGTGCGAGTACGTGTGGGAGCCGACGAGATGGCCCTCGTCCTTCATGCGCTTGACGATGTCCGGGTAGGGCGCCGTCTCGACGTTGCCATAGTTCATGCCGTTGAGGAAGAAGGACGCCTTGACGTCGTTGGCCTTGAGGGTGTCGAGCAGCTGCGACGTGTAGATGAAGGGGCCGTCGTCGAACGTGAGCGCGACGAGGCCAGGCTGGGTGCACGATGAGAGGGGCTGGCCCACGGGAGGGCTTTGACGGCGGGTGACCGGGCTGATGGAGCTTGTTAGTTTCACGTCCGTGTCCGAGGGCCGAGAAGGCGAAGGGAGACAGAGAAAGAAGGGGAGGAGGGGACGTACCCTGCGTTGGCACCTCCGCTGAGGGCAAAGACGGCAGCGGCGCCAAGAAGAGTAGAAGAGATATACATGGCTGCTGTGATGGAGCGCGGAAGTCTTGGTAGTAAGTGAGACTGAGAGTGACAGTGACAGTGACCGGGAAAGTCAGTGGGTGACAGGGACTCGGATGTGGAGTGAGGTTGATATTAAGCTTGCTTGGATAACGAGAAGCAGGAAGCAGGAAGCAGGAAGCAGGGTGCAGGATGCAGGATGCAGGATGAAGCCAAGTCGAGAGGTTGGGCAAAACGGGGGGAGAAGCAGAAGACTTATATGATGATGGGATTTGAGACGTTACGGAGGAAGAGTCTGGACAGAAAGGAGACATGCAACACACTGAACGGTCTGAGTTGACGGGTCCTTGCCAAGAACTCACCACCCTTGGGCCGACTCATCCATGAGCAGAGCTTAATCATTGTCCCGCTAAGAGGACGAACCCGCAGGCTGCGAAGGGTGGCTGTCCTGCCTCATCGTCGACGAGTTTGAGAAACCGGACGAAGAAGACGGAGACGGTGGCCCGTCCTCCCCTCTCCTACCCTCCCCCTCATCCCCCCTCCATCCCGCATGGAAGCGCTTGCTTCGAGGTGCTCGACGGATGTTGGCCGTTCAGCCCTGGGGCGTCATGATGTCTTGGCAGCTGTCAAGGATTTATCGTACGACGGATGAGGCTCCGATACGAGCTGTAGACCCCGTACATGGTACGGCGAAGGGCATGGCGGACTGAGGAGGTTGACAGGAAGATAGCCGTGGAGGAGGCGCGGTTTGACGTCAAGAGGCTTGGAGGCCGTTAAGCTGACAGCTGACTGGAAGGATTCTTCTCACAAGAGGACATGGTACCTTTGGATGGGTGAGACGAGGAAACCATTTCAGCCCACCGGGATGTGGAAGGCAGAGCAAATCTGCCATTCCATCATACTGGCACTTGCGAGTCCGGCACACACAACACTGCCAATGCCAAAAAGGTGGCAACCATGCTGACTAGCTGACAGGCTGGCTGCTCGCGGCTTGCGGAGGATGGCTGGGGCAACGCGAACGACGCTAGATAAAACGGTAAATTGAGACTGTAAGTGGTGTGTTCTGGCGTAGGAAGCCGCATGGGACTCGGCCAAACCCGGCCAGGGGGGTTCGAGTCAGCAACAAGCGCCGCTGTCCGCTGTATCAAGATGCCTCAATCTGGGGACCGGCTAAGTATGCGCCAACGACACCGTTGTTGATCCAGCCCTTCCTTTAGCTTGGGTGCCTGGACACTTTTCCTTCAAACTTTGTTTCGTTTTTACTCCCTCCCCCCCTCCCCCCCCTGTCTGTAGAGCACGGATGACTGAATGAACATGAAAGAAAGAAATAGAAAAGAAAGAGGGGAAAAAAAGAAAATAAGTAAAGAAACCGGGTAAAACAACTGTAATCTGGGCGCTTCCCTGACGAACAATTCGCGTGTCTCTGAGGATGGAACGAGGGGTTCCCCTCGACAGGGCCGCCCTCGGTCGTAAAACAGAAACCGAAAGCGCCTTTGCCGCAACAACGAGATTCATTCGCCTTTTTTCGCTCGTGCATAGGCAGGTGGAGAGCCAGACTACGGTCCTTCCAGGGACTGTGAGGCAGCAGCACAGATGCTGCAGCCATCGTGGCGCGGCTGTCCTGGCGATGAGGTCATCCGGCAATCGACACGCAAGATATATTGCCATCGAGGCTCTTCCGTGCTTAATTCCCTTGGGGGAGGGGCGTGGGAGAGAGGCTGGGCCGGGGTATTGGAGCATTGGTGGGATGCGGATGCGGATGCGGATGCCTGCCAACCTCCACTTGCGGGTCACCCTGGATCGTCCCGCAGCCTAGTGCTGGCTCTCTTTACTAGGGTATAGGTAGTAATTAGTGCGTTCACTCTTACGCAAATCATATCAGTGTTACCGGTAGTGCGAGTCTTCTCAAACTGAAGTAGACAATACGTTTGAAAGACAGCGCGAGTAGCATAGGCGCGGGGGAGAAAGGACCCAGAACAGAAAGGACGAGGCTTAAGACGGAGGGGGGAGGGGAGCTGAAGCAGAGAATCAACCCGCAACGGCCAAATGCCCCGAGGTTCGAATCCTCCTTCTCTCCTTCAGTCAGGATTCACTAGGTAATGCACCGGGGACGTGTGCCAAGAACCCAACCCCCTCGGTGCGAATCTGAGACTGGTCCCCCCTCCCCCACCCTTGGCGCTTGGTGGGTGATCGTCCAAAAGCCGGGGGGTGGGACCTGGGGTGACTCGATTCTATGAATACGAGGACTGTCGTGGAACTCCTCATGCAGGATGTTATCGTGAATTGTACCCTGCCATAGCCATTAGTTTCCCTGGATTTGTCGGAGTCCGCCCTTCGACAAGATGCCGAGGACAATGGCGCATCTGCCAGGTGTGCATTGAGCGACGAGCTCTTGAGCGTACATATTGGGGGGAAAACGGCATTGGGTTGGCAATAGAAAGGCTTGACATGTCGTGTCATGTGAGGTGCTCACGCACGGCGACGACGGGGCAAAGGGTTAAAGAGTTGGAGTCGTGTCAAACTGAGGCTGCCAGGCCCTTCCTTGTTGGCAAAGAACAAAGGAAGTGACGACGCCCAGAGAGGACAGAAATATTGTTTTCTTGACCTCCCCCATTCCCTGTAATGATGGAACCGATCGGTGCATGGTGAGTTGGCAACGCAACCGTGGGCTTTGTGTCTTATGGACGTGCATCCAAGAGAAACGCCCACGCACGCAGTGGCAAGCTGCTGACAGGAGCAGTGAGATAGATCCTTGTTCATCATCCCGCCCCATGGAGGCAGCTTCCATCCATCTGTTATCGATGCCGTTGGGTATCTGTGTTGGTTGCTTTCCTATTGCCGGCTCGCTTCGTCTTGCCGCCCGACGACGACCAGATCAGACATGGGGCAAGGGTGGAATTTTCCATCGCCGCAAAGGTAGGAAAGCTTCCTGTTCTGTGCGGTTGGCCAGGTGGTCGGGTCGGAAGCTGAAACATGCGTAGTGCCAGCGCCACAATCACGGCAGAACAAAGGACGAACTCGTCCACATTTGCCGACCAGAGAGCAAATGCGCCGCAGCTAATCTGGGTGGAAATGGGTACCAGCAAGATAGAAACCATGATGCTGGGAATCGGTGATACTGCGGTCAGTATTACCAGATAGGATATCACTGTCCGGAACCCCCAGCGACCGTATGCAGTAGACCGTTGGGCGAGTCGTGGAGTTCCAAGTTTGGAACGCTCGGCTTTTTTGACTTTGCCATCTTTCAGTGGCCAAGGCTCTTGGCGGTCGAAACAAGAAACAGACTCAGGGACCATCCCGACAAGTCGGGAGCCCCACGTTGGACCTTGTGCATCGTGGTGTTGTACCTAACCACCATCAGCGGCATCAAATGTGTGTGAGTGTCTCTGTAAGTTTTTGTCGTCCCGTCGTGCTAACCCGGCGCGCCATCTCATCTCCTCGCCCCCCCTTCATTTCCTGTCAATCAAACCCTCAATGAGCAGACGAACGAATGAATGTCGCAGAGATGCATGCTGCTTAAGTCCAGGCCCGGCATGCGACATACTTGCGCTTACGGGGCCAACCATCCCGCAGGCGAACCTGGCAATGCTTCCAACATACTACCATGGAAGCAATAAGTCATGTTGGCTTATGCCTCTCCAAGGGCTGAAGTCCATACGCGACTAGTGCTTCTTCTCCGAGACAGGGCGGGCATCTGCGAGGCGAACGAGACATTGAGCTTGGCTTTGACCGGTACGCTGGAGCGACATTCTCTGCTCTTCTCTTTTCGTTTACGCGATGCACGGCCACGTCAGGCGCACCTTGAGGTCTTTCGTAAGAGAAGCTGCTCTTGGCGCCGAACCGGTTTCCAACCCTCTCTCTCCTGGGCTGGAGATGCTCTGCGACGAAGAAACATACGCCACCCGAACTGGATCCATCTGGGGCTCGCCCAACCAGCGCTGGTGGTCCCGAAAGCCGTACAGAAAATGGAGCGGGCATCCGCCCGTTGTATGGAACACCGTCGACGGCCGGGCAGACTCACTGACACTTACTCCGACTTCCCGATTTAAGATCTGTTGCGAGACCTTGCAAGACGGCAAACGGCTCCCCGGTTTGTTACGGTGCGCCGCCGAGTTCTCGCCTTCTCCACTCCAAGCAGCCTCGTTTCCTCGTTTCCGTTGTCAGATCCCCCCCGCCTGCGTGACATAATGCATCGATAAAACCACAACACCAGTCTCTGAAGCATGGCAAAAGCCATGTTTCAAGATTCCGCAGCAAACATGAACATGTCAAGGCTCCTATGGCTGGCGAATGACAGCCCAAACGCACGGCATCTGTCCTCTCACGAGTCAGCAGCGGCCGATGCTTGCCATTTCAGCTGTTCGCCGACGACGTTTGTGCCGCCTCCTGTGCCGTTATTGGGATAGTTCTCAAAACGAGTCGGCGATGTTTCGACGTTGGACGTTGCACGATGTGCGAAACATTGATCCCGATGTTTTTGGCCGAGAACCCGTTCCGCCTCCCGACGAGCGCGGATGACGATGCCGTTGTCGTCTGCGCGCACTTTGTTTCGAGCACGCACTTTTGTTTCGACCTCGGGATTGAAACGGGGTTTCGTCGATCCCGCCCCCCCCCCCCCCCCCCCCCCCCTCCACGCTGCCGAAGAGGGTACCTACGCGTTTAATCGGAGAAGCCAGCTCGGAGCAGACCAAGGTAGCTCGACCTCCGACCTCGTAACCGGCGAGAGTGCGTGTCTCACGCATCTCCAGGATGGTTGAACGATTCAGAAAACCGGACCTAAAACTTGTTTTTCGGAGTTCCCGGGACGGGTATTCGGCTACGTTTGACGAGGCTGCCGCTGCTCTCGGCATGTAATTGCGCGGCTGTCGATGCCGGTGGTCCTTGGGTCGGTATAGGTGTCGGTTATGCTTAACCTCCATCAACCCTTCGTACTCTGCGGAGCTTTGCCGAGAACATACTCTGCCTCATCGTGTCAGTCAATTGCAAATCCGGTCATGGTGCGTCCATTAGCCTTCCACCACCCTCCAGTCGTCTTTGATCCTGTCCAATCCACGGGCGTAAGCAACCCGATCGCCAAAGAACGAGGCCACGATACCGAGTCTCTCGATGCTGGTTAGCAGATGCCCAGAGGGGCGAAGCACCTCCTTCATTATTTTACCGGAACTATGAAAGTTGACCGTAGACTAGTTAGGGGTCTTGGGAGCCACATATCCATCGAAGTCGAAGTGAGGGCAGAGGTGTACACTCGGGAGGCTGGCGTCCTGACGATAGAGGCCATGATCTAGGTGGCTGCTACTGCCCCCAAAGCAGAGTTTTTGGTTTGCCTGCATGCGTGCCTCGGAGCGCCGGCTGCAATCATCATCGAGTGTGTCATTTCCCAGTCAGACGAACGCGGGCCCTCCGTCCGACCGAGGACACGGTCGGAATGGCTTCAATTCGGAATCGCTTCCCGTCTGGGCGTGTTCTGTCGTCCCGAAAGGGAGCGAGCTGTACTGCAGCGTCTCCTTGGGCGAGACGGCTAAAAAGACGCCGGGAAGAGTACATGTAAAAATAGGGCGGTGCTTGCGTGAGTGAAGGAGTGTAGTCGTTCAGCCGTATCCATGCCGGCTGTGTCTCTGCTGCGTTCGTGGCAGACGATAATCAACAAAGTCGGTGATTGAGAGAAAAAGGGAGGAGAAAAGAGATGCCAAGGAGAGTTCATGGGCTCAGCGCTCCATCATAGCTACAGCTAGCTGCCTTGGCTGTCATTGCTCCCCAGTAGCGATCCGGCTGGGCGCCACGCAGCGGCTTCCACGGCAAGCACCGCCCTCTGAGCCTTCCACGTCAGCACCACTCCGCCGCACCCGGACGCGCTGGATCGCCCATATGCAGAAGATGGTCTAAGCACTATTAGTGCCCCTCCCCCGCGCCGCAGCCTCAACACCAAAACCAAAACCAACATCAACCTCAACCTCAACAGCATCACCTTCATGACGGGGATTTCCTTTGTCCTTGTTCATATTCCAACTCGTCATCTTTGTTGCACTCTTCAAACTGTCCGTCATGTCTCAAGGCTGGGTCAACGCCGTCTACTACCCCAACTGGCGCGTCTACAAGAACCAGACACCGGCCTGCCTGCCGACGAACGCCGTCACCCACGTTTTATACGCCTTCATCAAAGTCAACACGGACGGGACGCTGAAGCTCACCGACGACTGGGCGGATACCCAAATCGCCGTGGACGGCACCAGGGGATGTCTCTCAGCCCTCGCTAACCTCAAGGCCTCGGCCCCGCACATCCGCACACTCATCTCCGTCGGCGGCGGCGGCGGGAGTGCCGAGTTTCCGGCCCTGGCCGCCAATCCGGCCGCTCGCGCCCGTTTCGCCCACGAGATCAAGGGGTTTTGCGACAAGTACCAGCTCAATGGTGTCGATAGTGAGTGATTTTCTTTCTTCTCCTTCTCACTCTCTTTGGGCCACCTGTTGGTTTTCCTCTAACACGCCGCCTACCTAGTTGACTGGGAGCATCCGAGCGACGCCAAGCAAGGCCAAGACTACATTGCCCTCTTGAGCGAAATCCGCCGCTACATGCCGGCGGGCTGGTACCTCCTCACCTCGGCGCTGCCGCAGGGCCAGTACGTCCTGAGGAACATCGACCTCAGACGGGCGGCGGCCCTGCTCGACTACCTGAACCTCATGTGCTACGACCTGACGGGGCCCTGGACCGAGGTCTCGGGCAACCACGCGCAGCTGTTGCCTCCCCGGAGCCTGGCGAGCAACAACCCCTGCCTCCGGGCGGCGTGCGCTGACGGTGTCCACTATGTGATCCAAAGCGGGTTCCCGAGCCGCAAGGTGCTGCTCGGGATCCCCGCATACGCGCGCACGTTCCCGCGGGCCAGAGGCCCCGGTGGGCCGTCCAAGGACGCGGGCGAGGTGGATTACTGCGACATGTCGGACGAGATGGTGGACCGGGCGACGGTGGACGCCACGGCTGCGGCGGCGTCGTATGTCGACGCCGAGCACGGCTTCATGACGTTCGACGTGCCGGGAACGGTGGCCATCAAGGCCCAGTATGCCAAGAGCATGGGCCTCGGCGGGCTCTTTTACTGGACCGGCGTCGGGGACCGTAAGGGAAGGCAGAGCCTGGTGCAGGCCGGCTTCAACGAGCTGAACGGCTTTAGGTAGGGGGAGCAGGCGGATGTCAGATATTGCGATCCATGGTGTCCGGCTGTGTCTGTGTTACGCCATCGTGGTGAACCTACATTGATGCAATGGAATGGATGAGTCAGTGAATTGCTGGCAGCGATGACCAAAACCAGCCTTTCACCAACTCCTGCCGTGGAGAGTTGGGTGTGAATTGTGTAACGCATCGCCAAGTCACGACTCTAGCTGTATCATGAACCATTTTTGAAGCCGGTGGCTTATTCTGAATCCCATCTGGAACTGAATCTGGAAAGCATCGCCGGGGGGGGGGGATGCTGCCTTGAAACGTAGGAGAGCAAACCAACGAAACAGAAGAGAATGAATGCGACGATATCAAGGGCACTCGCATAGAACAGGCCCTGGTATCTACCTATCAAGGGAAGAAAACGGCTTTAAGCTTGAATTAAACGTCTCACCTCTGCAATTTAAACGCCCGAAAGTCCGACAAGCGCCCACGCCCCATCGGGCATATCAGGGGACTCAATTCGGGGTCCGGCAGTGCGTGCTGCGCCCGCCGTCCAATCATTGCGCCATTGAAGGGCCCGAAGCGCGGGCCTCTTACGCAGTATCTCCCCCTCCCCTCCATTTCCTGTTGGTTCTTGCCCCTCTTGTCCCCTGTTTTCCGTCTTATCTTTCCCGCCACGATCCCCGCGCCATCCCTTCAGGATCTGTCGCCCTGCTACGCGAACAGTTTCATGGGCCGGGACATCATAGCCAAGGAACCGCTGCGACGTCTCCTTCCCGCATCGCTACTGCACGAATTGGGCGATACCTAGCGCGCCGTGTCCCCGTCCAGTGGACAAAGTTGCTCGGACGGTGACGAACGAACGATGTGCTGCAGGGGGTTGAGCAGGCCAAGGGAAACAGACGAACAACCAAGGGAACCAGACGATCGGATTGGACATGCCCGCGGCCTCGTGTCTTCGGCCCTCCTCCCCTCTAGGACCGACATAAACGGGAACACGCTGCAGTTGGCGAAATCGTGAAACCTCGTTCAAACCCGCAGGCTTTTGGGGGGCCAAGGGGGGCTGAAGGATGAGGGCGGAGGCATGCGGGAGCTCCTGTTGTCTTTCGGACGTAGACAGGACGGCGCTTGGGTAACAGATGACGGATGACAGGCGAAGGGTCATGGGCGACGGGCGACGCAGACTCACCCGTCACGATAAATCCGGTATAAGACTGCTTTACCGCCGGGGTTCTCTCCCTCCAGCTTCCATTTACGACATCGCCGCCTTACAGTGTCAATCACGGCCTTTGCATCGACTGCTGCCGCCCCACCTCATTCGTTTCATTTCTCTAATATTTCTCTTCGTTGCCGGTCGCTTCTTCCTTGCGTCGATACCTGCTGAGCAGGCTTCCTTTCCTTCGAATACACGGATATACCCTTTTACAAGTTTGACAACAGTCACTCGACCTTTGGCCCACCATGGTCTCCCTGGCGGCCACTCTTTTGGCATATGCCGCTCTCCTCGCCACGGCGAGCCCCGTTGCCCAGCGCCGGGCCGTGACGGAACTCGACGAGGCCGCCACCAAGGAGGCGCACCCGCGCGACGACACGGCCACCCGCGCCTTTTCCAACGTCCAGATCCTTACCGCCGACGGCAAGTGCCTCTTCGTCGACAAGCTGTCGGGCGACTTCCGCGCGAACCTGACCCCCATTCAGGTCGGCGACTGCGCCATCAACGACAGCCAGGGTTGGGACGTCATCACCTCCGGGAAGCATAACGATCAGGCCAACACGATGCTCCTCGTGAGCACTCTGGTACTTAAACACACCCCTTTCCGTCGGAGTAGCGGTTGCTAACCGGAGGGCGGTCCAGACGCAAGCGTGCTTCAATTTTGACCCGCGCCGCAAGGCGGGAGATCAGGTCAACCTCTTCTCGTGCGGCGGCCGCGCGGCAGGCGAGGGCCTGGTGACGGACTCGCAACTGTTCGCCCTGGACCCGGGGGCGGGCCCGTCAACCTTCCAACCGAGGAACGCCAAGGGCAAGTGTTTTGCGGTCCGGGGTGGCGTCGTCGACGTGACCGACTGCGACGCCAACGACAAGGCGCAGTCCTTTGCGTTTGGCGGCCCTGCTACCGGGGGCAGCGGCGGGGGAGGAAACAACGGCGGGAACAACGGAGGTAATAACAATAATGGGACCGATAACTCTGGGAACGTGCCCGTGGTCACCATCGCACCCGGCACGACGTCCACAACGGCCACGGCATCGCCTGCTGCGACGACTTCACCGGCCACCGGCAACGGCAACGGCAACGGCAACGGCAACGGCAACGGCAACGGCAACGGAAACGGAAACGGAAACGGAAACGGAAACGGAAGAATCCCCGCGGTCAACCCGACGACGCCGGTGCCCGTCTCCCGCGCTGGCGGGACCCTCAACCCGACGGCGGCGGCCGAGGCGAACGCGTTCGACTCGACGGCCACCCGGGCCTTCACCAAGGCGGCCATCAGTGCCCCCGACGGACGATGCCTCTCTGTGGACCCGACGGCGGGCGACTTCCGCCAGAACCTCATCCCCGTCGCTCTGGCAGAGTGCGACGGCACGGCGAATCAGCAGTGGGACATGGTGTCCAAGGGGAAGCACAACGACGGCAAGGACAACGGCATGCTGGTCGTGAGCAGCCTGATGAACGGATGCGTCAGCACGGACGGGCGGCGGACGGACGGCGACACTGTGACCGTATTCTCGTGCGGCGGACGCGCGGCGGGCGAGGGCCAGACGAACGCGGGGCAGCTGGTGCGAGTGTTTGGGGACAGCTTCCTGTGGTCGCCCGTAAACGACGAGGCGACGTGCGTGGTACCTGGGGACCAGGGGCGCCTGGTCACGGCGGCGTGCAAGGGGGACGGCAGCGAGACGTACAAGATCGTTGTTTGAGCCCGCTTTTCTTTTTCGTGGCCTTTTTAGTGGCTATGGGAGTCACTCTTCTTCTTCTCATCGATAGAGACCTCGAAACAGGTCCTCAATTACTTGTGTATCATGGTGTTGTATTACGGGTGTGTATGGCTAGGTTACACGGAATTCAGACGATGGACAGCCATGCCGAACAATGCATATGGTGGCGTTGTCTGACATTGTGCTGCTCTTCCTATTTATATAAGCATATTTATTTTTGTTTTATCTCGGGACGGGGTTGCTGCCCAGACCCTCTACATAGTTTGGCAAAAGCTTGACTCGATGTCTCCCGAAACAGATGGGCATCGTCAATGGATAGCCATTGGCTACGTGCTCCTCGACAAACCCACCGCACCACCATTCGATCCACCGCATCGATGGGAAAAGAAGCTTGGGGCGGATGACCGGCACCAGCCGAAAGCTTAATCCCAGGTATCAATACGATATGTAACCAAAGTATTTCCTTTAGGTAGGGATGGTGATGGTCCAATAGGCGCCAAGAGGAGAGACCATAGTGGGGGTCGCGGGCATAGCGCGGTTACGCATTACATTACACCAGCGACTCTGCACCTTTGTACGCAGTACATACACTCACCACAGTCGGTCACTTGTTATTTTAAGGGGAAAGAGCCGCAACCTCGCCCCGTTTCGCTGTGCTTTGCTTCCACTTTGCAAAATCATTCCACAAAGTTGTCACGCTCTATTTTATCCCTCCTTTTCCCGTCATCTCATGCCACACCCCAATTGAGCCTAGGTATATCTTTACCAATGAAGCGGTAGCAAAAAGCACGGGCAACCTTGGTACATGCGGCTGAGAGAGCATATCCGACGATGCTCGCCCCCTGATTCGACGCCACGACGAAGCCGAAACTGCCATCTCTTCTGACCGACCGTTCGGGCTGGACTTCGCGCCGTTTGAGTCCCTGGATTCTTAGCGCATGTGCGCCACGCTATACAGCTGAGAGAGTCGCTCGAGAATATTAATGTCTTGAATTGCCGTCTCCATTCCTCCGACTCAAACCTCCCCCCCCCCCTTCCTACCGCGGAGGCGCCCGCATGCCATGTCGTCCGACTCCATCGACTCCGACGCAACAATGCCCAAGACCATTGACGAACCCGAAGACCGGTCGCGCACCGTCCGGTTCCCCTCGCTCCAGATCGACGCACAAGACCATGCCATCTCCCCGACCTCGCCCACGGGGACCCGCGCCTTCGCCATGCCTTGCGACACAATCGGTGCCCCCCTGACGCGCGCATCCACCGACCAGATCATCTCTCCCATGCGTCGCCGAGCCGGCACCTTCAAGCCAGTCGAGGACTATGGCGACTTTGAGATGTCCCGTCCCGGCTGGCAGCCCGGCTCCGAGCCCGGTTTCGACCCCAACAAGTCGGACGGAGGCCACGCCTCTATGCCCACCCTCCGCGCCGACTGCGACATATCCGTCTTCGACTTCAGCCAGAACAGGATGGTGCAGCACAAGTTTGGCAACGAGGGCTTCGTCGACTTCTTGCGGAAGCCCCAGGAGCCCTGGGTCCAGAGCCGCTGGATCAACGTCAACGGCCTCAGCTGGGACGTCATCCAGGCCTGCGGGCAGTCATATAAGCTGCATAAGCTCTCCATCGAGGACGTGATGAACACGAGGAATCGCACAAAGGCCGACTGGTACGCCAACCATGCCTTCATCGTCCTGACCCTACAGAAGCTCGTGCTCCTCCTCGACGATGACAGCAGCAGCAGCAGCAGCAGCAGCAGCAGTAGCGACGACGACTCGGACGACGGTTACAGCGTCAAGACCAGCAAGTCCACCAGGGGCATGAGGAAGCTGAAGCGCGCCTTCACATTGGGCGGCAAGCCGCGGCCGCGGGCGGACCCCGAGACCGGCAGACCGCCCGTCGTCAGGCCCACCATTACGCCCCAGGGCACCGGCTACGGGCACCGGCTGAACCACCATACCAGCAACCTATCCCAGCTGCCCGAGACGGCCTTCGTCCGCACCCTCCAGCGCTACCACGCCTCGGCCAACGAGGTCCGCACCGAGTACATGGAGACGCACTCGTCCCTCATCTCCCGCGGCCTGGCCGTCTCGGCCGAGCAGGTCGCCATCTTTCTCACCTCGGACAATACCGTCATCTCCTTCTTCGAGATGTCCGCCGAGGATATTGAGCGCCCCATCACCGTCCGCCTGGGCGACCCCTCCACCATCCTGCGGCAATCGTGCGATGCCTCGCTCGTCGTACAGGCCATCATCGACGCCATCATCGACCTCGCCATCCCGCTGACGGCCGTCTACAGCGACGTCATCGGCGACCTCGAGCTCGACGTCCTCACCTCCCCGAGCATCAAGCAGACCCGCAGCCTGTACATCTGCGTCAGCGAGATCAACAAGATGCTCACCTTCCTCAACCCTATCGACAACCTCGTCAACGTCCTGCGCGACCACCGCACCGAGCTGACCCAGGACGAGGCCGCCCGCCAGCTGCGGAACCCGGCCAGCGGCGTCATCGTCACCCCCCTCACCCACACCTACCTCGGCGACGTCCTCGACCACTGCGTCATCATCACCGAGAGCATGCAGCAGATTAAGCGCTCCGCCGACAACCTCATCGACCTCATCTTCAACACCATTTCTGCCAACCAAAACGAGAGCATGAAGCAGCTGACCATCATCACCATCATCTTCCTGCCCCTGACCTTCTTGACCGGCTACTTTGGCCAGAACTTTACTAAATTCCCCGACATTGAGAACCCCATGGGTATCCAGTTTTTGTGAGTCCCTAACTCCCAATCACCTCCAGCCCACCTCCCCCCTTCTCCTTTGACGAACAACACGGAGCCTCCGGCCTTGGGGTTTGTTTTGCTAACCAAGCTTCACCGGAAAACAGCTGGATCATCGCCTGTCCGGTCGTCTTCTGCACCATCCTGATCATGATGCGCTCCTGGATCTGGGCCTGGTGCGTGTCCTTCTGGCAGAAGCGGAAGATCAGCGCCGACAGGAAGAAGCAGAAGAAGAGGAGGGCGAGGAGGGCGAGGAGGAGGGCCAAGGCGGAGTAGGGGACCCCCTTCCATTCTATCCTCCCTACCACCCCTGCGGGCTGAGGAAGAGTTGCTATTTCATTGTCGTCGTGCGCGCTGTGATACCCGATCGGATAGACGGCCGGTTAGATCTGTTTTCTTATCCGTTACAGTAATGAGACCAGGTTACTTTCATCTTTTGTCAAACTTTGGATAACTAGGCTGATGAACTTGCTCAAATTGACCGAGAGACGCTCCGCTCCCTCTCTGCTCGCGTCTCTCGGAGCTAATGTTGGAGCAACGTCAGGAGCTTGCTAGGGTAACCACTTGTTGGTGGCTTGGCCCTCGAGGTCTGACAGGGGTCTGAAGAGGCTATTCGAAGCCTCGCGACGCGTGCACGCCAGATTTCGGCTTCGGCTAGAGTGCTCTACCTTAAATACCCCTCCCCCCCCTCTGACGATGTTTGCCTTGCTTTCGCCGTTCCAAGAAGGCTTATGACAACGGGTCTGAGCCTTGCCCGGCAGCTAGGTAACATATTTGTTGAGCATGGCGTGGTCAAACCTCGGAATATTGTTAATAATTATCACGAAACGCTGTAACAAATCTTTTTTCTCCAAGTGCTACCCTGTCTAGCCGGAAAGCGAGCACACAGTCTATGGTCCATCCCCCCGTCTTCCGAGCCCCAAATCGCGTTACTCATCTACCGGCTCCTCACAAACTTGGTGTGCCTCCCGCTCGCCACGGTGGCGCCCCGCGTGCCGTCGGCGGCGACCTTGTAGATGTTGACATGGGTGAAGGCCAGGCTGCCGCCGAGCTTCTCAACCCTGCCCTCGATCTCGACCTCGTCGCCCAGCTTGGCGCCGGACAGGTAGCTGACGTTGATGTCGACGCTGACGCCGGTCGCCTCGCGCATGTCCCAGGACGCGATGGCGAGCCCGCCGGCCCAGTCGACGACGGTCGCCGAGACGCTGCCGTGGATGCTGCCGGCCGTGTTGAGGTGCTCCGCCGCGACGGGCAGGCGCGCGATGACAAGGCCCTTGGACGCATGGGTGAGCCGCAGGCCGGGCCCGAAGAGGAAGGCGTAGATGGGGGAGGCGTTGCAGCGCGTCGCGATGTACTTCTCAATGTGGGCAAAGGTGGCGGGGTCCGACGCCGCGGCGGAGGCGGCGGCGGGCGGCGGGGGCTGAGAAGGGGTGGAGGACATTTTGTTTTTCTCTCTCTCTCTTTTCCCTCTTTCTTGTTTGCAGGTGTGGGAGGAGGGGGAGGTTCCGCGGGGCTACTTTTGAGAGAATTGCAGTTCTGGGAAATGAGTTTTGTAGGTATAGACTGAGGTGAGTTATTCCGTGATGAGTGTGGAGTGAGAGTGAGAGAGATGGGTTGAGTTGATCGGGTTGTTGAGTGAGAGACAGACTGCAAGGTGGAGGCACGTGCCTCCGAAGTTTTCTCCGGGGTCGGACGGAATCCGCCCGAAGTCGGCGCGGGCGGCCCCGCGCTCACTGTCCCGAACACCGCAGTGTCATCCGGTGTCTCTCCGGAGCGCTATAAAAGGGGCCAGAAGATGCTGCCGAATGTTTGCTTTCACCCATACTAATTACCCCATCAGATTCCTCGTGCGTGGAGACTGGTCGCCAGCGTCTTGCGCTGAGCTGCAAGGGTTGTGTCATGAGCACCCGGCTTCTATTACACTGTTGCCTAGCAGCCTGCTCGTAGCCTACTGGTACTGTGGTACAGCAGCTAGCCATTGAGGCATGGCCTGTTCTGGTAGGCTTGCCGATGTCCTCCCGTCTGACATGCATGGCCAAGAGCGCCAGCTGAAGCGTCGCCTGGGGCTTATGCAGGACTCCCGGGTGGTCTGAAACCCACCTCGGTTCAATAATTCGTATTGACTGGCCAGTGAATTGAATTAATTCTTTCAACCTAATGGAGGGGGAGAGTCATTCCCCAGCTGTGGCCAAACGGAAACCCTGCAGATTTGCATTTCAAGACCATGCATCCACCTGATTTATAGAGCTCATTCACCCAAGAGGTTTTGCACGAGTTTTCCCGAATACATATTCCTTTAGCGATTTCCAACCAAATAACTGCCAATGCTGAAACTTGCGACCCGAGGTTCCTGGCGTTATCGTTCGAACGAAGCCCTGAAGCGACTGATGTGGATAATGAGCCTTTAGGGAACCAGAACAGGCCCCAACCACAATCACCAAAGATGGCGCCGCACAACACGGGCCCACAAGGCTTGACAACCGGAACAGGCGGCGGCTACTTCACCGGATCATACGGCCAAACACTAAGCCCGCGTTACGAACCGGACGAGGGAAAATATGCGGACCCTGCCGAAACCCCGATGGACGTTCGCCCGACTCCGGACAGCCACCGCAGACTCTTGAGCGACTCTTTTCTCCGCACCGAGAAGAGCGGCAGTATTCGGGCAGAAATCGCGAGATGGCGTCCGATTTGGCTCCGGCCCATTGTCCTGCTGACCTTCCTCGCTCTATTCGTTTTACTCGCCGTCGTTCTTCCCGTGATGCTTTGGTACTCTCAGAACCATAACGGACTCTTCCAGACTCGGGAGAGCCTTGTCTACCTGTGGCGCTTTGGTCCAACAGCAAGTAAGTCTACTGTTCCCCCCACCCGGGGTAGAGAAAAGAACGCCTCTAACAACGGATGTGTGTCCCAGTCCTGACCGTAGTATTGTCTTTGTGGGCCAGGGTCGAGTTCCAAGTTAACCTACACATGCCCTGGATTGCTGAACGTCGTGCACGTGAACTCGGGAAGGATGTAGACGTATACGATCTCGACTACACTGTCATGATATCGCCCGTGGTCCTTTTCCAGTCGTTGAAAAGGGGGCATTATTTCGTCTTCCTGGCTGCCGTCGTAACCCTGGTCCTGAAGATCCAGATCGTTCTTGCGCCGTCTCTGTACAGCTTGGCCACCTTCAGAATCACGGAAGAAGTTCAAGTCCAGCTCCTAGACTCGTTCAACACGACTGCCCCGCCGCAACAGTACACGGACGGCAGTGCGTATTACATGGCAAGAGCCCTAGACAACTTCGACATGCGTTTCCCCTTCGGCGTCACCAAGGATTTGTCGTATCAGACCTTCAAGTTCGGCAACGGCACCGCTCGAGGTTCCACCGGCGCGCCGCTGACGGTCGACGTCGACGGTTACTTCTCCAAGATGGAATGCTTAAAGATGGAGAGCTACACTGCCTCGGAGCCGACAGTCACCAACCTCAACTACTACACCTTCGACGTCGACCTCACGTTTCCTGGCTGCGATGCGCGCGTGCCAGTCGCAAGCAACCGGATCATGCGGAACAAGAACAGGACGGAGCGCGGAGAAACCACCGGCAACTGGGTGGTCAACATGACCGTCGGGATGCCCTGCCCCAACCTGCCTCGGCAAAACAACCAGTCGCTGTACTACGCCGCCATGTTCAGCCCTTCCGCCAAGAACTCCTCGCGGCCGGCTTTCCTCAACGTCGCCGCCGTTCTCTGCACATCGACCGACTGGGTCTCAAAGGTTCGAGTGGTCGACGACGGCGTCAATCCGATGGCCACGGTCCTGGACAACCAAGTCAAGACACCGGTCAACTCCGATCTCTGGACGATGCTCAACTGGGCCATGCCCGAATCCGGCGGCCTCTGGGGCACTTCGGCCACCGGCAATGTTGCAGGGCCGGTCGCCTCCCTCGCACGGTTCCGGGGCGAGTCGTTAGGGACCGGGCTGAACGTTTCGGATCCCAAGCTGTACACCAACGAGATGCTAGAACATGCCGTCATGGCCACATCTCAGGCCTTGGGTCCTTTGCTGGGGCATTATCGTCTCCGGGCAGACAACGAGTCCCAACCGCTGACCACGGGCTTCACGATCAATACCATTGACAGGCTGGTCGTCAACCAGTGGGTCTGCTGGTCAATGGCGGCTCTTTTTGCTCTTCTTAGCGTCATGGTCACTTTCGTTTTGCTACGGTACACCGCCCGAACCGCCATCTGGCACAGGGATCCGACGAGCATCCTGGGCAACATGATCTTCTTCAAGGAACACCCGGACGTCTTGAGCCGCGCCGCTTACAGCACGCTTTCCACCGAGAACGGCTCGACGGATTGGAGCCGTTCCGGCTTCACACCCATGGTCTTGAGGGGCTGGGCAAGGGGTTTGTCCGCCATTCTTACGCTCGCCGTGATTGTCGGGCTCTTGTATGCGCTCAAGGTTTCGGAAACCTCCGGCGGCCTCGCAACAGTGAGTGACGAAGGCTATCTCCATTTGCTGTGGACTTCGTGCCCGGCACTCGTCATGCTCGGGATCGCGGTGTATGCCAGCTGTTGCGCGTTCGCCCACAAAGAGTTGGCGACCCTCTCTTGCCTCTCCTCACGCCCATGCAGCGCAAGGGAACTGGACATGTCGCTGCTAGATATGCTTGGCTTCCGGGCTCTCTATCACTCGGTCAGACAACGGACATGGGCAGTCACACTATCACAGCTCCTGTCCATCATTTGCGCCTTCTTGACAACACTTGTGTCCGTCATCTTCACGGTCGAGCATATCCCCGACTTCAAGACCGTCCAGCTCCGACAGGAAACCTGGTTCGGCTCGAGAGATATCGCAGGAGGACTGGACGACCTATCCGTCTCCCGGGCTAATCGACAGCTCATCAGCAGCCTTGTCTCTCGTCAAGGCGAAGCCGCTCTGGCGTACCCCAGAAACACGTACGATGACCTCGTATTCCCCGTTCTCGGAGGTGTCGAGGGCGTTGCTGCTCCGGAGAACACAACGATTACAGCCACGGTCCCAGCCGCGAAACTTCATCCCGTCACTTGCTTCCAAGTCCCTACGGCTGACTACACCATCGACATCAACAACTGGACAGAGGAGACTACGTACTACAAGGCCGACATTACCCAGTCCCTCAGCTGCCCAAACGGATCTCGGGGGGAAATATTTGCCACGATGGACATGGGTTCCGCGACGCATCGTCTCGGTCGCTCATACGTCGCGGACATCTTGCCGTCCCCACAGAATCTCATTAACCTAAACGGCGCTTGCAGACTGGGCCTAAATGCAAGTGCTTACGAGTACGCGTCGTGGAGATTCCTGACCTATGCCTGGGGGGAATACTCGAAGGAGAAGAACGACTTCAAACACTTTTCAATGTGGAGATGCAACTACACATGGGTCGAGACAGCGACGGAGGTCCATCTCACCGCCAATCAAGGGAACTACATACTGGACCCGGAAAGGCCTCCTCGGCCCAACTTGTCGACGACAAAACCGTGGAGCCCTCCATTGGCTGTACCGCATGTGGACAATGAGTTCTCCGGTCGCGGAATCTACTCCGCCTTCCCCAGCTTGACCCTCGCTAACTCCCTTGCCGGATCGATGGACGACCAGTTCAAGGCGTTGATTGAGCCGTTCGGGCAGCTTCCGCTGGAAGCAATAGGCGACCCGGTCCGAGACGACGAGATCCTGCGGGGTCTGCAGCACAACTATGGACTCGTCGCGGCCCAGCTCGCCAATATCGAAAACCGCTACAACCTGACCGAGAGCTCCAGGGACAGGCCGCCTCCGGCCGATGGGCTCCCGGCGCTTGAAGCGACCGTGAAAGACAATGGCCGACGCCGGCTGGTCCAGAACCCTCAAGTCACGTACGTATTAGTCGGGGTGCTGGGCGTCGTGGCTCTCGCGAACGTCTGGGCGCTGGTCTCGGCCGCCTGCCGCCCCCTGGTGGGCGGGAGCTGGCTGTTCGACATGGACGTTAAGGGCCTGGCCCCCGACGGGTTCCACAGCATGGCGGCCATGGGCGCACTGCTCCGGGGCTCGAACGCGCCGGACTACTTGCCTGAGAGCACCGAGCTGCTGTCTCCGGACGAGCTCCACGGCCAGATATCGTATCTGAGATTCCGAATGGGATGGTTCCGAAGGTCAACGGACCAAGAGAGGCTATTTACCATTGGTGTAGCGGGAACCAGCGACTTCCAGTACTTGGGTAGAAGGACGCCCGAGATCGACAGTGGAGAAACCCATGAATGAATATGGTGTGTTCTCCAACAACGCAAAAGCATTTTTTTTCTTTCTTTCAAAAAGAATGATTGTTCTCGATATCATGGCTTATGTGAAAGAAATGCGTGATCCACGAGATGTTAAGAGCACTGCCGTCGAGCGATATTGACAACCCTGAGGTTCCTCGTTGGCATGCAGTCTAGTCCGGACTGGTTACCTCAACTTTTATGGGGAGGGCTAACCGAACAGCTCTTCATATGCCGGGTTGGAGGTGCACTGTAGCCAATCTCCTCGTATCCCTAATAGTCCATTGGCGGAACCAACGTTTCAAACGTATACGCAAAACAACGACATGGTGCAAGGTATTGGATGCTGCTGTAAGATCTGAATTGGCCTAGTGCTTACACAGGATGCTGCTGCTGCCTAGTAAATGATTACCATGGTTTCTGCCCATGACGCTACGCACCAAGTTCTCGAATGTGCACGGCAACATTGCCATTCCTACTTCCTGACAGAGACACATTCCCAGCAGGCAATATGTTATAGAAACTCTCTTGTTTGAAGCAAAACAGACCTCGTCAATTGGAAACAAGAACCTGTTGCTGACTATGACGAGCCTTACCCCCTTTGTTGCCAAGTTCGCCCTCGACCACAGGCTGCCTCATATCAGGGCTAGCAAGCCTAAAGTGCGCACCGGCTGTATCACCTGCAGGTATGATAAGACGCCGTACCATTTCTGTTCTGGGCCTGCAGCTAAAGTTCGTTGATAGACGACGCCGTGTCAAGTGTGACGAAAGCAAGCCAGCCTGCTCGGTGTGTCTCAAGTATCAAGGCCGGTGCGAGGGGTACGAGGGTAGTAAGTCTCAAGAGGTTGGGTATCCATCTCGATATCAATATCGAACAATCCGCCCGAGGCTGGAACGCAAAGATGCCGAGAAAGCCTTTCCGAGAGAACCGAATTACACGTCTTGCATGTTTTCCAACCAACTAGAGAAGGATCACTTCGACTACTGGCTCGCCTTTACTGAGACCACGCTGCTTTTCCGTTCTGACCTCCTTACAAAAGTCATCCCACAGCTTTCCTGGCAGGATCCTGTAATCAAACATGCAGCTCTGGCGGTTGGTGCATCGGCTCTTAGCGGGACCACGCGAAGAGAGCGAATGCTGGGAAAGGGGAGATTCAACTCGGACGCTCTTATGCACTATGGAAAGGCTATGAAACTCTTGTTTTCGTCAAAAATGTCGCCCGAGAGAACGTTACTGGCATGCCTCCTGTTCATCACCTTTGAAAGTCTCCGAGGAAACAAAGTTGCGGGGCTAAGCCATATCAATCACGGCTCCCTCATTCTTGATCAGCATACTCCCCAGGGTGTTGATCCGGACCCCTTGCTTGATGAAGTCATGACAAGTTTCCAGCACTTTGGCCTTCAGTCTTGGAGCCACAGCGGCGCACATCCTAAGGAGACTGATATCCGGGTACCGTGGTGCTGCCGGGGGCGCAAAGCGAGATACGCTGTGCAAGAAATGCCCTCGGTCTTCGAGAGCCTGGAAATGGCTCGTCGGTGGTGGGATATCGTCAGACACCATCTCGAGCACCATGCACCACTGCAAACGGGATTTCGAGTAGAAGGAGTACGTTCTGGGAAGACCAAACAGGTGCCGCCGGATTACGCCTCGCCAGCGTCCCAGAAACGCATCCGAAGCTTCGTCCATTTCCTCGACGCCTGGGACCTGTCTTTCCAACCGCTCGCCATCAAAGCAGAGTCCGGGAAAACGGCCAACGCCGCGGACTATCTCAAGGCGCTCAACCTGAGAATTCACTACCTGCACATGTGGGCGTCCATACGTACTGTGGGGTGGACGGACTTCGAAGACATAGGCCGGATCACGCCCACCTTCCTCGATATCGTCGCGCTCAGCCGGGAGCTTCTTCCAGCGCAGGCCACCCGGCAGCTCCTCGTGCCGAACGGCGAGATCTTCACGTTGGAAGACAGCCCGACGTGGCCTCTCGGGTCAGCCTTCCTCATGTGCCAGGCCAGTGAAGTGAAGGACGAGGTCGTTCGGCTGTTCAAGGAGTATCCTAGACGTGATGGTCTTTGGGACACACATGGGTTTCTGCTCATGATTGAGTGGCTGAACGAGATGTCATCGGCCGGCTATGCCCTCGATGAGCAATGCCATATTGCTGATTGCAATGTCGTCTTCCGCGAACATTCAGTCATGCTCGAGAAGAGACTTTGGAACCCCGCAAAGTCGAAATGGAAGCATAGCGGCATCAGCTTCAATATTCTTTAAGCCTTGGGCGAAAAACAGTACTACGTAGATCAGTGTTGCTAAATAAGGAAAGAGTCCCTATCATAGCCTAGGAACTGACCCCCGGTCATCAAGTCCGAGGGATGGATGGATGTCTTACATTCATGCGGCCTGGTCGGACAAATGATGATAATACCATGATCAACATGAATATATAACTGATAGAGTAAGCAAACAAAAATGTAAAAGTAATTCACTGTCCCTGGCAAGGCTCGAACTTGCGACCTTTGGATATCCCTACCTAGAGGTACGGTCATATTGATGTAATATGAGACCAACGCTCTACCGACTGAGCCACAGAGACTGTGTGCGTGCTGGACAGGACGGGTGGAAGATGACAAGAAGGGGCCCATCGTGGACGGAGGGAGAGGACCACAGAGACAATTAGTGGATGAGGTGGATGCCCTGGATTATCGTCTTGTGTACGGATAGGGCAACCGAAGCCCCTCCATGGATCCACTACGTAGCACTTGGATGCAGAAATCGGGCCCGAGAATAACAGCACGAAGGCGTCAGAGTGGCCGAATGTTGAATAGGCTTGTTGCTTATAACTCGATTTTGTTATGACCTCCAAAGATGGACAATGGGAATAGTTGAGAGTCTGGGTTGTTTGATTCGTGGCCGTGATTGCCAAGCCCGATGCTTCTGGACATTTTGATCGCTTGCCCGCGCGGATTGGGCAATACGTTTGAAATCACCACCCAGATGGACGTAGACTAGCAAAAGAAGAGCGGTGATTTGATAGCGAGGCCAGCAGTCTCGCTTTGGTTCTAATCTGAGGGTTATCGGGCTGGGCTCCCCCGAGATTACCGGCCCCGGTCTAAAATTTCCAATCTAGGCAATCGGAGCCGTGGCCTACTATCCGACGGTCGGCGGGGCGAGACTGTTCAACCCTGGCGACGGGTTTACTGCGGAAGGGAGACCAGATCTTGCAGTTGATAGATAAGGTGCTGCTTTGGAGAGCCCAGTCTGGAGGGCGCACGCATGCATTCCTAAATGCCAGGGATTCTTGGCTCATGCAAGATCATTCCTGATGAGGAAGCCACAATTCGAACTCTACAGTAATGTTCCTTCAACAACGAAGTCCCTTGGCAGACCCGGCTTGAGAAGTAACCAGTAGCAGAACACCATTTTGCATGCTCTTGACAATGGTTGCAGCAGCACCCTTCCATTAGCAATTATATGGGCTTGGGGTCTCGTGGATGTCTTAAGTGACCGATGCCGGAGATGGTGTGGGACGTCCCTCCGATGTTAGCCGGAACACCTTGCCGGGGGTTACGGAGGTCAGTGTTGGCCTTCCGAAACCCCAAGCACAACGAGCTAGGAAAGCGACCACAGCTTGCTATCTTTCTTATCAGCCAATATCCCCCCCCTCCCCCTTTTCATCGCTACAGCCCGATAACCCAAGTTCAACGTTTCATTCTCAGCAGACACCGGCGGAGTCACCAGAAGTCAGAAGGAATTCCAGTTCACTGTAGCAATGGGATCACTTCCGCAAAGCAACCCCTTGAGGGTCGCCATCGTGAAGGCCTATGAGATCGATGAGCCAAAGCACAGAGGCATGCTGCAGTCATTTCGTGACAACATCCTGCAGCAGGTGCCCGATGCAGTCATCAACGCATACAGGCCGATGAATCAAGATGGGCATCTACCGAACCCTGCGAACTACGACCTCGTCATTATAACTGGTGGGCTGAGCAACTTGTGCCAGGCGACGTTTGAGCCATGGGTCAACACGACTCTCGAGTGGATTCGGCAGGTAGTGTCACAGCAGCACATCACCAAAACAAAGCTCCTCGGTATTTGCTGGGGTCACCAAGCAATCGCAACCGCGCTTTCAGGAAGTATTGGAAGCTTTGAGCATCCAAGGGTATGTACTATGCAATCTACGTTCTTCTCGGCAGTCCGGACTAATGAATTGCTGCATAGGTTGGCGTACAACACCTCACACTGAATGATAACGGAAAAGAGATGTTTGGGAGGGATACATTAGTACGTCAGGGACATTTTCTGTAACATTACAACTGATGCTAACGACCCGCTACAAAGAAACTCACCAAGTTCCACAGGCGCTTTGTCCAACAGGTTCCGGATGGCTTCAAACCAATGGCACCCGACAACGAAATCCTTTTTTCCGACTCGGGGCTTGTCTTGTCTCTCCAAGGACACCCCGAGATCTACGGGGAGCTGTCTAGGCAGCTTTTCGAGACGAATGTGCCATATTACAGAGCTACCTTGCCCACCGAGGAGGACCTGCAGCGCTACTACTCGGAGATGTCCTCAAGTGAAGAAGATGCGAAACTGATTTTCCGAAAGATAGCGGACTGGGCCCAATCTTGACAGGAATAGAACACGTTGGCCAAACGCCAAATGGCTGCTCGGCTCTGTCTCTATGTAGTAATATTATCGGGATAGAGATTTACATTATACATAATGCCCCCAGAAGTGTTTAGCCGCCACTGTGGCTGGTATATGACCATAGTTATTTCGACAGAGGAAATCTGTAGGCCAACACATAAAAAATGGAAACAGAGACTAAAAGATTCTTGTAGAGCCACTTGACTATGATGTCGTATGGTTCTGCCTAACGGAGGTTGTCATGTAAAAATGGACGCGTAGCATATTGTGTAAATTCCACTCCAGCACTGATGCAAAACCCGTCAACGCAGTAGCGAGTGTAATAACCCAAAATACATAGAAGATACCTCTGACATGACAAGAAGAGTGAGAAGACATAAGCCGGGATCAGTGTAACCGAAAATATCTTAATCGGTACGTTTCTGATATTCAGTTTCCTGCAGACCAATCTGCTTACATAAGCAAACGATACATTCAGACCCGCCTTGAATGGTCGATTGCCGTAACTTTGAGACGGCACATTGTCAATGCAGCTTTCGACGTCGAACAGGCCTTGCGCACTTCAGAACCAAATGTCCCTGACGCAATAGCACATGCCGAGCACGTTGCTCAGTAACGTAACCCTGCAAATCCGCCCACCATGCGCGAGTTCATGAGCTACGTCCAGAGCGCGTTCTATGAGGCGACTGGCTGGAACCGCGACAACTCGTACTCGTCGCTCAACGCAACCGCAGATTGTACGCTTGATGTTGGCGCAATTGGATGCTCTTTGCTAGATGAATAATGGCTGACGTGCGAGTCACTGGCAGCACTCCTCAAATTCCCGACGCCGCAAGGCCTACGCCTCACGCTCTCCTCCCTCGCGACCCCTCACTTCGCGACCTCGTATCAGCTTGGCTCCGTAGGCGTCGTCGACGGCTCCATCTCCTACTTGTACTCGTCTGTGCCCCTCCGCGCGCATCTCACCCCGCAATCCAATGCCATCCCATTGCCGGCGCTGCTGCGCTCCTATCGCCCGCTCGCCGATCTTCCGCCCCGGCCCGATAAGAGAACATATCCCCTGCTCAGCCCAGCTGCTGCCTCGCTGCTGTACGGCCGCCTCTACCTCCCGGAGTCGATGCTCGAAGCGCTCGTTGTCAAGCGGATCTCTCCGGCGCTGCAGCTCCAGGTCAGCGCTGTGTCGGGCAAGTTCTTGCGCAACGGCGGTACGCTTCTCGGACTGGCCCAATACGATGTTGGCAGGTACGCCATTGAGGGTCTCGGATCGTCAGACGGTGGGCTACTGGGATTTCGAGGTGTCTACAACTTTGGCGGGGATGCGGAAAATAACCAGCCGTCTCAGTCACGGTCGACCGGCCGGCTGAATGGGAAGCCGATCGGGCTCAGCGACGAGACAAAGGAGCGCATCTACGGGCGTTTCAGCGCCGGCGGAGAGATATACTACGGCACATTGAACAAATCCGGTGGAATCAGCTTCGGGGGCCGCTTTGCCACGCTGCCAGAGCATCGAGGGACGCCTTTAACGGCGACGCTGACGATCAACCCCCTAATGGGCAATATCAGCGCCAGCTACGCTGTTGTGGCGGGCCAGCACTGCAGCCTCGCGACGCGCATGGACTTTAACGTGTACAGTTACGAGAGCGACTGGTCCGTGGGCATGGAGCTGTGGCGCAAGAATCTGACCCGCAACATCGAGCCCGCGCTCTCCGCCGAGAACTTTGTCCAAAAAGAGCGGAGCTTCCAGGCGAAGCTGGAATGGAGGCTGGACGAGCCGGAGGCCCTGCCCAAACCTGTGAAGCCAATCTCCGAAAAGGAACGGAAAGAGAAGCCGAAGGAGCGCAGCTTTCAGGCCAAGATGGAATGGAGACTGGACGACCCTGATCTGGATGGGACGGAATCGGGAGATGGCGGCACGCCGCAGGCGACGGGCGTGGACGAATACGGCAGTGTCATCAAGGCACGGCTGGACCAAAACATGAAGATCGGCGTCCTGTGGGAAGGCCGGTTCAAATCTTTGCTGTTCAGCCTAGGGAGCGCCATCGACTTGCGCAAGCTTGATTCGCCGTTCCGCACAGTGGGTGTGGAAATCCAGTTCTCTTCATGACGGACCGCGGCATCGGAAGCCCACTGACAATCCTCGCGATGCGACGCTGGGCCCGAAGCCTCGAGCATAACCTCGTGCAGCTAGGGCGCAGCATGACCCTTCGGCAATCTGCTATAGGGTAGCAATAGCACCACCGCTTGCATGAGCGAGTGTGATCCGGTACCTGTGTCGCGGCCACGGGTCTAGTGGGCGCGACCCAAGTTGGCGTCGTGGCTATTGATGCAGGACGGTCTCGTGAGAACCTTGACGGTTGCATCAGGTGGGAGAAAAGAATGCAACGTCGCCCGGGCCGTTGGCTATCTCAGGGAACCCACGTTGAAAGCACATCAAGGAGGCAAGGAGGAAAAAAGTCGGACAGATGTCCCGCGCCACGATGGCTTGTGAATAAAGGACTAGTACAGCTTCTGGGTTGTTCTCCATCACAGGACCGCCGATGGAGGCGCGCGTGCCCGGCTTGGCTGACGCTTGGCTAGCGAGACATGGCTTAGCCAAGCTTTCTCAGCTATGAGATAGGCGACGACGAGGCGGCATCTCAGTTGCCAACGTCAAGGGATCGAGTGGCCATTAATGAGAAGCATAATGAGGCAGGTCCATCTTGGATAGTGTCATTTTCGATGGGTGGAGCAAATGCCACCAAACCGTTGCGCAAGCCTTGGAGAAATGCAGAGGCAGCATCTCCGGCGACGGCTTGCTTCCCAGAATCAATATAAAATGAACCATAATTCTTAAAACCTAGGTAATTCAAACAAGGTACACCCAAGCCCCAACTCACTCTGATGGAGTGCACGGTATAAGCGACTGTGGCCGCCATACCCGTGTCAGCTCATCTATGCATGTAATATGGCCGATGATAGCTGGACAGCATTCATTTGTGGCCAACTTGGATTTGTTGCGCGCTTGTCTCTCCGACATCAGAATGGGGGACCTTGATGGTTAAGCTAACTACGTAGTGTGGCATGGAGAACCTTGATGGTCAACATGACAGCCAATGGTAGAAGCAGAATCTGAGGCTGACGGGTCAGCCGAAGATTAGCGCGATGGAGCAGGGATGGAGCCAGTTTCGGGATGCCAGCGAACTGGGAAGGAATGTGCGCTGATGAACGATTGAATCAAGGTTTTTGTTTTTTCTGGATGCTGTTACCTACTGTTCTTAGGGACGCCGCGCGACAAATCAAATCTTTTTTATTGTTATTTTTATAGTTTTCCCGGGTATAATGTCTTATTCTGTTTTGGTAAAACACCGAATGTGTACTGGCAGCAAGCGGAGGCATGTAAAGATTGCGGATCTGATGACGCGATATCCCTCCTTGACATTTGACGAAAGCAGAAAGAAGCTGCTGCGACAGGATAGTTGCTTCTATCGGCGATAAGAACAGTAAGGTAACGTGAGGTGAGGTAAGAGCAAGTGAGATGCGGGAGAGTGGACCCGAATCTACGGTTGGGCCATCAAGGTTCTCATTCTTCCATTTGCGCAACCGCTCGTCCCGTGTCCCTGCTCCCGGTCCTTCACTACCAAGTGCCAACCTTCGCGGTCTGACAGCAGAATCAAGATCAGCCGCCGGAACTCTATCTAACTGCCTTCCGATGACTTCCCCCTTCTCACTCTTAGAGTTCGGCTCTTCTTTCCCCAGTAGCTGTGATATCTCGTCCTAAACCGTTAATAATTACCTACCTAAACCTCATTACCGCCGCAGACTCTTGTCAGTCGGGAAGAAAAAGAGGCAGGTAACTGATACAGCGAGCTCGGAAAACTACAGAAAACCGGTCAAGTCGACCAAAAAAGATACACTCGGTCTCCCATCTGCAGGTTGCCGACTTCCCGACCCTTTTGTGGTTCTCGTCGTCGAGCCCCCTTGTGCCCAAGCGGGGTGTCCCTCTGTCTTTCTTATGTTCTCCTGACCCCCGTTCGCGACTGACCGATCGACCATCCGGGTTCCCGACATACCTCCCCTCCACCCTCAAAAGACTTTTTTATTTTGCATTCTTCTCTTGCTGCAGCAAGTACCCTCCCCCATTGCCCTTGGCACACCTTATATACTGTTCGTCGCCTGCCCCAGAGCCTCACATCCCCTCCCACCTACCAAGACGCCAAGCTGCGAGCCGAGACCTGCGAGGATCCATTTTCAAGAGCCTCCCCCCCGCCCTACGACCCGCGACTGACCGCACCCACTACCCCCAATCGCGGCGCCTCTTCGACGAATTCGGCATTCTTGTCTTGAACTGACACTCGCGGGTACACCTGGTCGACATTCGAAGCATCGTCTCGTGGACGCAAAGGTCCCAAAGCCCACCGTCTTGTCGGCATACCGTCACCATCTCTGTTCGACAAAGTTCAACGTGTGTGACCCTTTTGCGGCGTCTCGCTCCTCCGAGCCGCTACCTATTTCCGACTGCTGCTCTCTAGAGATCAACGCACACCAGAGTCTTAGAGCAAACCTCTGGCGTACCCCATTTTACGGAATCTGCAAGAATATCAGCAATCATGAATCCTTTAGAAATTTCCGCAGTGAAGCTCCTCGCCCTCCGTCAGGATGAGGGTGCTGGAGCCGACGAGGCCGTCAACGCGTGCGGCGCTGCCGCCGTCGACGTGAGCAACATGCCCCTGCGTATCGCCGCTATCTTCGTCATCCTCATCGCCTCGCTTTTCGGTAGCTTCCTGCCCATCTGCCTGGCCCGGACCTCCAGGATGCACGTTCCCAAGATGACATTTTTCATCTTCAAGTATATTGGTACCGGCGTCATCATCGCAACCGCTTGGATGCATCTTCTGTCTCCCGGCGTCGAGGCCCTGCACAACGAGTGCTTGGCACCCATGCTCGGTGACTACGACTGGGCCTTCGCCATCGGTCTGATGACCGTCATGGTTATGTTTTTGATCGAAATGGTGGCATCTAACCTTGCCTCTTCCGCCTTTTCTCACGGTCATGACCACGACCTGGGACAGGGCCCTGTTGCAGTCAAGTCCAACGAACAAACAACCGAAAGCGATGCTTGTCCGCACGAGATCGGCGACGCTGAGAGGGGCAACGGCTTCATTGACCCCCAGAAGGTGCCTGGACTCCCTGACGATGTCAGCTACCCTCCAGGCGGAAGAGACCACCTTGGCCACGCTCGCGATCATAAGGAGGGAGACAGCCACAGTGGTCTCGCTGGCCAGCTGATCGCCATCTTCATCCTCGAGTTTGGCGTCGTGTTCCACTCCATCTTCATAGGACTTGTCCTCGCCACCAGCGACGAGCTCGTCGTTCTTCTCATCGTCCTGACCTTCCACCAGTGCTTTGAGGGTCTCGGTTTGGGCTCCCGTCTGGCGACTGCCGACTGGCCCTCCCACGGACGCTGGTGGCCTCACATCCTTGCGACCATCTATGGCCTCTCGACCCCACTTGCCATTGCCGTTGGTATTGCTGCTAGGCCGAGCAGCGCCCAGACGCAGACTCTCGTCAACGGAATCTTCGACTGTATCAGTGCCGGTATTCTGATGTACACAGGTTTGGTCGAGTTGCTGGCGCACGAATTCATGTTCAACCCGCAAATGAGAAACTCGCCGCTCAAGGTGCAGCTCTTCGCTTTCGGCTGCGTCGCTCTCGGCGCCTGCGTCATGGCTATCTTGGCCAACTGGGCTTAGGCTTAACATGTTGGCCGCAATGGCCGTTGTGCGGATTAGAATTGGAATCTCCTTTTGAGCGGCGTGTCATGGGTAACGGAAAAAGAATGGGAAGGTAATGGTATTTGGGCCTGTGAGCCTGCCTTGTTTGCACAGCGGGGTATTCCACTTTAGAGGCATTTTGGATTTTTGCATGAGAAGAAGCTGTTGCATGGCGCCTGTCAAACCTACACAGTAATTATGTCTATAGAAGGAATCGATTACGATTCGGTCCCAATGCCAGAGGTATCATTGGTTATGTTGTGTTTGTGTTAGTGATCAGCCCAATCGTGAATAGGACGGCATGCAAACCGGGTAAGGGTCAATCTTCCGCACGGAATTATATCCGAAGGATAATGCTTAGACGGCGTCTCGAATGCTTCATAGCTGGACTTCAGACAAGAGAGCATCAAATCAACTGGTGGGGTCTTGAGGCAAAAGAATCAAAAGATCTGAACCCGATGTTGAACCCCACATGAGGCGGGCGGACCCCACCGCACACCATTCGAGTCAAGCGCAAGCGAACACTTAGGTAATCCAGGTGAGGCTTCGGTGACTGTTTCAACCAAGTATTTTTTTTTAATAGCACGTGATGCCCCGCTCCCACCCAGGGCAGGAAAACCCTGCACCAAGGCTCGCAATTAACACCAAAAATTTCCATCGAAACGCCCGCCTTGCGACGATTTTCCCGACCGACCGACCGACCTCATCGCCCACTTCCATCGCCCAGCGCCCGCACCCAAGTCCGCCCCTCTCCCTCACTACCCCAATCAATACCGCAAAAATGGCCGGTGGAATCAACGTCCGCGATGTCGATGTAGGTTAACACCACACTTGCCCAGAGACTCTCTCTCGAAGCGAAAACAAAAAAAGGACTAGTTCGAAGTCTCGAATTGCAATCTTTCGACCGTTCCGTACCTCCGATGACACCGCGCTGTCGCCTCGAAAGCCCATGAGCCACCCGCACATCCACGCACGCACACGTCGCGCTTCATCACCGTGACCACGAGTTTCGTTTCGGCCTCGCTTCCGCGCCCGCAAATCTTGCTCACAATGAGGAGTTGAGATATACCCCATTATGCATTTTGCGGCTGTCGCCATAATGACGCGCGGAAGCAGAGAGGCGGCGAGCAGTGTACGAGGAGCGACAGGCTTTCGAGGACAAACGGTAACCCGGCGAGGGGGATACGAAGGAAGAACACATGGATACAATTTGAGGAAACGGAGCAGGCGCGAGGGAGTCGAAAGACTTCTGATGACGGAATCATGCTAATTGGTTGTTTTTCTTCGGGCAGGCGCAGAAGTTCATCAACGCGTATGCCGCTTTCTTGAAGCGTCAGGGCAAGCTGCCCATCCCCGGTATGTATAATCCTGCTCACACGACACGAGCCCTCGTCGGCCTTGGGAGCTCATGGCTAACCTCCCTGTTCAGGTTGGGTTGATATCGTCAAGACCGGCCCCGCCAAGGAGCTCCCCCCCCAGAACATTGACTGGTTCTACGTCCGTGCCGCCTCCGTCGCCCGCCACATCTACCTCCGCAAGACCGTCGGTGTCGGCCGCCTCCGCAAGGTCCACGGCTCCGCCAAGAACCGCGGTGTCCGCCCCTCCCACCATGTCGACGCCTCCGGCTCCGTCGACCGCAAGATCGTCCAGGCCCTGGAGAAGATTGGCGTCCTCGAGCAGGACGAGGAGAAGGGTGGCCGCCGCATCACCCAGTCCGGCCAGCGTGACTTGGACCGTGAGTTTCCCCCCTGCGCATACTTTTGCGTTTCCGAATTGGAGTATTGACACCCCCCACCAGGTATCGCCCAGACCACTGCCGAGGCTGAGGAGGAGGAGGAGGATGACGAGTAAATTATTCCCAACCCTCGTGCATATTACTCATAAAAATGAAAAGCTTGTGGTTAAAATTGAGGTTCTTCCGGGTCATGGCTACGGCAACATAAAAAGGGCATTGGGTTAGGCGTCTGAAAATGGATCACGGGTTTCATGATTGACCACCACATTTGGAACCGCACCCAAATTCAAGTTCCGTCTTCACCTGGTGCTTTGTCGTACTCGCATTGTTATCCTGACATGTAGTTCTGCGTGCCGTCAGAATCCACGCCCTGGACCTTGGTCATCTCCCGCTGTCATGTTGGTCATGAAGTGATGCCGCTGTACCTTTCTTTCTTGCCTGCTTTCCACACGCGTCTGTGATTCACTGGCGGCCCTCCTTCTCATTTATTTTGATCCTTCCCAATCCCACGACGGCCGTCATCATCGACACATCACAAAAGGCCTCACTCATAACCTCCAAATATCTCACCCAGGTCCTGCCTTCCTCACGGTCGCTCCTGCCCTTTTCTTTCAACCGCCCAGTCATTTCACTTTACTTCATCTTCATCATTTCCTACCGACTTTTCCCACTGAACCTATCTCGCCACAAAACCGCAGCCGCTGTAACGCGTCACCTTCACCGTCGTGTCAATATCTGGCGATATTTGCGCCAACCCATCTTCAACGCATCCTTTCTCTCCGCCAGCACAATTTGGGCAGGCGAGAACTAATGATCTCTCTGTCGGGTTGAACTTCAGTCTCTTTCTTCTTCAGTACCCCTCATTTCTTTGAAGGTCTCAATTATTCAACTCATCACCCGATTGTCGAGTCCAAACGTCGACCTCCTCTTCTCGTCCCGCACCCTCTCTCGTATCTCGAGCCTCTCTGCTGCTCAGCAAACGTTTACTCCAGAGAGACACGCCGCTCACCTTGAAACGTGTTTTCAGGTTTGTACCATTTCACTTGCTACCAAGTCTCACTTTCTCTTGGGTGAGCTCACAAAGTCTCACTTACTTACATCGTATCTTTAGATCGCCAACTATCAGTCACAATCCTCATCACAATGGCTTGTCAACCTAAAGGCCAAAGCCGGGTCGATCCCGATGGTGACATCGAGATCAAGGAAGAGAGTCCAGCTCCCGAGTCCGCATCCCTGGGCGACATTTTCGCTTCCGAAAAGTCCTGCGAAAAGATATTCTTTTTTAAGAGATTTTTCAACGGTCATCCCCGATTCGACGTCCTTCTCCAAATAGGAACAGGTAGTCTCCATCCAGGCACGAATAAGGCCGAATTCGCTGTCTGGGAGGCATGCGATGACATGTACATCTACCGGAAAGGCGGTGCGGAAATTAAGTTGTTGCAGTCCATCGGGAACGTGGAGTACGTGGACCCTACATCTTCAACATCTAAAGTCAAACATACCTTCGCCAAGAAGACGTGTGGGTTTGTTGGTACACGTGACTCTGACAGTCAGTTGCGGGTGCTCAAGCTTGCCGTCAGTGGCACTTCGTTTAAACCACGTCGGGAGGAGGACAAGAATGACTTCATCTTCCACGCTAAGTGGGCTACAAGAGTTAAACAATTCGCCAAGCGCATGAAGATAAATTTGCGTACGATATACGATGGGCATAACCAGAAAGCAACCCCAGATAATATCGGAAACTGGCGAGCCGGACACATCGAGAAGAAGCTGGCTACACACATTGTGTGGACTTTCTTGTCCAAGTTTCGACTAGTTAGCAAGACGCGTAAGGTCTTCCTGGAAGACTTCCGTCGACTTCGTCAGTGCCTGCGACAGAAGGGTCTCAAGCCCCATTTCGAATTGCATCTGAGCCGTGCGCCTTGTGGGACACCCCACAAGGCGGGACGGTGTGTTCCTTTTGTTCAAAAACTTGCTCAGCTTACAGGAATCAACTTTACGATACATTCCTGGGAGGAGAACATGATCCTCGATGGATCAGTCCCATCCAGACTGCCCCCCCGAGAAGTCAAAAAATTCGGACCTCAAGACGGAGCAGAAAGTTTTGGCGCCAACGATAGCGAGGATGAGGATCTAGAGGCGTTTCTCGATGAGGCTGAAGCCCAGACGAACATCGTCTTTGACGGTTTTGAGGAACCACTCAAAATCTCGGGCAGGGCTGCCCAAAACTTTGCCAATTCCATTCGCAGGTTCAAGCGTCAAGAGCGTGAAGCTGACAGCATCTTGAAACCCATGCCTCCCACCCCAGTCCTTGAGGACCCTTTCTGGCAGTCCAACCCATGGGAGCGTGCGCCAGCGTCTTCCCGAAGTCACTTCTGGGAGGACACAACCCCAGTCAGCTCTCGGCGGCGACAATCTATAACTTCTGAGGCTAGGCGGGGTCGGCGGGCTCGTAAGCTCGAGGCGAGACGGCGGCGTTCGGCTGCATCGGCCAGTGAGGTTACGCAGCATCCTGCAGGTAGGTCAAGTACTTTGAATTTATATGCTCGGGTGGCGACTGACGACGTGCTGGTAGAAGAAACGTCTGTGCTCGCGGGTCGCTTGGGCGGTCTACTCAACTCCAGCCAGCTACTGAGATAAAGACGCTGGGTTTTGTGGTTCGAGATGTGTCCTTTACAACCTCAAGGCCCGGCGAAGTTGTTGTTCAACCTACGAATCGGATGGGTTGGTTGAGACAAATGATGCGGGCTGAAAGAGGGGCAAGGTTTAGCCTATAGCTTTGGTATTGCGGGTTGTTTTACACTCTTCATGTCGAGTAGCGCGGGGTTGCTCATGTCACGGTTGCCTTGCGCAGCCTACGGTCGGAAAAGTTGCATGATGAAAGTCATGAGACGTCAGGATTAGCTAGTTAGGTTGGTTGTGCGGTAATATGGATGATTGCATGTCTTGGCGTAGCCAGACTACTTTCTTCGCTACAAATCCCATTGCAAAACAACCAGTACACATTGTTGCGCAGCTTCGCGGCATGCTTCCTGATAGGTAACTGAAAACATGATGTAGACCATGTGTATGCGCTGCAGTCCTTCCAGCGGTCGGTTGGTTGACTATAGTTTTTCAGTGGAAGAATGAATGGTGGCTCAGTACATGCGTCACGCACTGGTTTTGGTGGCCAGGGCTAATGCCAAACGCTCTTGTACTATGCGGGTTCAGGAAGTGCGCCTCTGTGCCAACGGAGTTGACTGGTGCGGTTCGCACTGATGGTGATTTACAGAAGCCAAGGTTGATACTTGTAATAATACAGTAATATATACAATATATGTAAAAGGCTTTTGTCGCCGATGGGGGGCACTGATTGTCCGGTAAGTGATGGGGATCCTGCGGTATGATTCTGTGGGATTTCCTTTTTCGGTTGTGCTGGTTGTGTTGCGTCTTACCGTATAAACAAACTGTCTGCCGAGCAAACTTCTCTTGATCGAAAAAGCGAGTTAGCGGGCTCTTACGCATCATTTGTCAGACTGTCGGACATTCTGTTCAATGTTAGAAATGATTCTTTCAATGTGTTTTCCTCCCGCCATTCTTCTTCTTTCAACAAGTGTGTTCCTGTTTGACCTCAAATGCAACCCGTTCTGGCTGCATACACGAGCGTGAGACGACCTAAAGTGAGGTATCTATCTGTGGGTCAGACAGTACATTTTTTGTGTGGCTTGCTGGCTCATCAGACCGTTGGACGCCCATCTGTCCAACCCAATCCGGCCAGTTGTCCAGGAGAGTCACGATCCCGCAGCAATTCATGCCGCACAAAAACAGGATACCTGCTTTCCAACACACATAACATGGGCATGATCCGCCGCTGTCCCGATTTTCCCATCTTCCATATTTATTTTCTTTTGCACTCACACCCAGGATATATTCGCAATTCATGTGAGGTATAACACTACCTCAAGACTGGGGTAGTGAAGATAACAATTACACGCAATTAGCCGCCTTTGGCGCTTCGAAAGGGACTTCTGCCAAACCCGAGTTTACCACATAACCCCTGCCACAAAAACTTCCCAGGCAGTTATCGTTTTTACAACCAAAACGCAGGACGGCAGAGCAGGCTCTCAACCCACCCCCCTGCAATTATAGAGGCTGCACTATCCTTAAGTATAGGCACCCGAGAAAGACCTAACAATGACCACTGTGAGGCTCTTCTTTCAAATTACATGACCCCAGGAATAAACCGCATAGTTCGAGTGTGCCACAGAACCCACTCGTCTCCAAAGGTCTTTCTCAACATCTCCTCTTCATCCATAACTCTCACCAAAACTTTCCTCGCCATGACCAGTACCATAACACCATAGCAAACCAGCCCCCATCCATTCAACCGTGCCTCTAGCTCCTGAGAAACCCAACAACCGACAACCCCGTCCCATCGGAACAAGTACGCCAAGTTTGCCAACAACACGAGGACTTGTCCCGTGTATCCCGGGTGCTGGATGTATCGGTAAACTCCCGTCGTCGTAAGACCGCTCGGCCTTGCAAGCTGGAACGTGAAATTCCCACCGAGCTGGGCGAAAGCCAAAAGCCGCAATGGGGCACCGATGCCAACGATGAGAAACAAACAGAGCGTCGTGTATTTGTTCCATTCGAAGAGTTTGCGATTAATGTTTTGCGGATGGCGACAGACGAGGTCGGTCTCGGAAGACGAGGACGCTACGACGGCGTGGCATGCGCCAACGGCCACCGTGACAAGTCGTCGGATGAATGAGACCTTGGGCGTCGCCCAGATGCCGAGCCGGTCCCTACCCCATGTTCGTTCCGCTTCGCGTGGGGCTCTGGAGCATAGTGCCGTGAGGATGCTGGCGACGACGACGGCCGTTGAGAAGGAGAGGGGTTGCCAGGAAGACATGGTCGTAGCACTGCGTTTGCTGTACCGGTTTTGGGAAATAGTTCCGAGACGTCGCTAGAAAATTGATCGATTTGGGTGATAAGAAACTACAGGATGATCGAGTGGGAAATGGAGGCTGAGATATATACACGTTTGTCTGAACCGACTTCACCGTGCGAACCTAGGCTGAGGCGGCGTTCGGAGAGTTGAACGCCGTCTGCGGTCGGCGTCCCGGCGTTCCGGCGTTCAATGCCGATCTATCCGATTGTGTTCCACCCTACCGTCCATGTCAACTCATAACTTGCGCTCACGATCCGTCGCCATCTCCGTCTCTGGCTGCCATATCCGGAATTTGACTGACTTGCAACATATTCCCTGGCATATGCCCTGTAGGAAAGCACCGCACGGAAGCACATGCAATCCCGCAAACGACACGCCCCGTACGGGACGGCTTGCTCTGAATGCTCACGAACCAAATCCCGCTGCATCGCAACTTCTCCGGGGTCGCCCTGTGAAAGGTGAGTCTGGGCCTGTCTCAATCCAACTCGATAACCAACATTCATCAGATGTCAGCGTCTGGGGAAGGATTGCGTCCCATCAAATCACAAGCGGACACAAAAGAGCACTGAGAACGACGAGCCGTCCCAGCCTAGTCAATTAGAGGCAAAGATTGATGGCTTGGTCTCGCTTATCACGAAAAACACCCATGAGACGCCTGCAGGATCAGTGTTCAGCTCAAGCCACATTTCGCTGCCAGTGACGCTGTCGCCGCAGGCTGACGGTGATTTACTCTCATATATCAACGAAGTCTCCTCATCAATCAACGACGAGGACGTCCTTTCACATTTCAAAAAAGCTCATCACCCACACCTGCCCTTCCTATCCCTCCCATCTGACTCACCCCCAAGCTCCCTGCGCCAAGAAAGGCCCTTCCTTTGGCTCTGCCTCGTCGCCGTCTCCGAAAGTCACACCCTCCCACAAGCCGCCTTCAACGACAAAGTCCGAAGGATAGTAGCACAACGTATGGTCCTCAATCTAGAGCGAAATCTAGAGCTCCTCCAAGGCCTTCTGGTGTGCATAGCATGGTACGCTCCCCACACCAACCCTTTCATCACCAGCCACCATCTCATACGTTACTAACGATGGGTCCACTCTCAAGGGGCAACTTCCAAGTCCATCAGCGCCCGTTTCTGACCCTCTTTACCCAGCTTGCAAACACAATCGTCTTTGATCTGGGTTTAAACCAGCCGCCGCAGATTATTCCCGAGGCAATGCTGAGGTTGACCATCCATCGGCCATGGGTATCTGGGACCCGCACGGTCGAGGAGCAAAGGGCCGTGGTTGCGTGTTATTATCTCAGCTCCATGTAAGTTCACATCTTTCCCTTCTGACGAAGGTGAAGGAATTTGCTGGTAATATGAGAACCAGCGTATCGTCGTACATGCGTCGAACAGACAGACTGCTGTGGACGCGGTACATGAGCACCTGTCTTGACGACCTCACAATCAGCGGTACACCTGGTGATGCCGCACTCGTATATGTGGTTAAGATAAGTAGAATCCTTGACAGGGCATTCTACTCCCCTCCAAACTCGCAGATGCCAGTCCTGGAAACCCCAGCAGACTTCGTCGCTGCGGCGTTGCAAACCGAGCTGGAAAAGCTCGCCACAGAGGCCCCTTATCCCGTGGAAAGTCCCGGTAATGATTTTCTCAGTCCTTTGAGAAAGTACCGATCTCAGTAGCTGACACATGAGCGCAGTTATAGCATGCCACCACACCTACGCCTCGTTTGCGATCTCGGAATTCACCCTCACTCTCCCCTCTCCAGACCCACAGCATCTCTACACCACATACGAGGCCCTGAAATCCTACTTTAACGCCTTCCTTTCCTTCCAACCAAGCGAGTACTCAGGTTTTACGCTAGCGGAGCTGTACCAGACGATGCATGCAGCCCTCTCGCTGCGGAAACTCTCATCCCAGCTCACGACACAGATGTATGACAAGCAGCGCGTAGAGAAGCTTGCAGACTGGTATCAGCAGGTGATTCGCAACCTTGGAGATGCGTCGATGCATCCCGGAGCAAAGAGAGATGGGAAGTCAGCAGTGTTTCGCAAGTTAGCTAGCATGCTGGAGCCTTTTACTTGGGAAAGTGGCGAAGGGCTTGGACGGCAGGGTGACAATGAGCTTAACATTGACGGAATTACAAGTGAGGTATTTCTTAGTGAGGAGTGGTTAGGGATAGCGGATCAATTTGGATGGGCATTATAAGGAGTTCGTCCGTCTCTAATATTTTCAGTAAGTGGGTTATTCTTCCATAACTATAAGCAAGGGGTGGTCTTTGTTGGTTAGTGCTCATTAGGTTGTAACACTGATGACCCCTCTACTCTCCTAGCTAGGTCTAGTAGCCTCTATCTACCCAAACATCTAGGCAGATGTCTTGATTAAAAATTACCATGACTACAGGTAACAAAACCCTTTGCTAAAAAAAGTAGCTTACTGTTACTGGAATTCCATCGTACATCGACGGCATGATGCAGCCGCCAGCGGCAAACCAGCAATACGTGAAATGGAGTGGCATAGCTGACCGGCTGAGTGTCAAGCCGGACGACTACAAGGGAGTCATCAGCCAGCACGCGCAAAACAGCATCAACGCCCCCATCAACAACACAAAGTATGGTGTCAACTCGGTTCTCCAGGGCGGCGAGTACCTCATGCGTAGCAAGAGCTTCACGCAAGATGACGTCGAGAAGTGGATGTACAAGACTGGCAGTATCAATGCAATGGGCCTGATACTACAGGCGCAAAACGTCTACATCACTCTCACCTTCAACCTATCGAGTTATAGTATTGGAAAGTACTACACGGGCGCCTTCTTCTGTCAGCGGCAGCCCAAATGCGCTCCCCGGATCCTGTACCTGAACACTATATCGCGTCCCAGCTTCAGGAAGCCTACAATCTTCCCAAGGAGGACATTTCCCTCGGGCACACCAAGTGCCTCGACACGCACGGCCACAAGCAGCTATATAACCCCTGGGAGGCGGTATCATCAAGTGGCGCCCTTTTGGATCTATTGACGCCATGCAACTTCAATATCAACGTTTGTAACATGGATGTAGCAGACAATGACCTGTATGGGCCTACCGAATACACAGAGGTAGAGAATAAGTCGGATTGGTGGTGTGACTTACAATGAATGACTTGGGCATAATGATAGACTACTAGAATAGGGCGATATAAACACGTGCCGGACAAGCTAGCAATGATTAGTCAATTGCACAGTTAGCCGCATGTGGCGCTTCTTAGGGACGTCTGCTAAACGCGTTTTTGCCCACATGACACCCTGCCAGAAACTTCCTGGAAAGTTATGGTTTCACGTCCAAACGCAGGGTGGCAGGGCAGACTCTCAATTCCCCTCCTTGCATACTTGTAAAACTCACACATGGGTTTCCCCAGCTTAGCTGCAGGGTCAGAAAGGCCCCGGCGCGCAGCTAAAGGCGTCTCACGGGGCGAACGACGTGCAGCCGGGGAAACGACTTCGTTTCGGCGCTGCAAGGATCACTTAGCGCAACACAAGCAACGGATACTGCTAACGTTGTAAGCTGAGGAGCAGCTTTTATCTGCCCATGCTTGGTATGTATGTAGCAGCTAATAGCGCCTGCCAATTAATACCTGCCCACTATTGCCAGAGCCCAGCCGCCAGCATCAGGCCAGTTGCCTGCCCAGTATCGCTAGCACTCTCCATCACCTCCGTACCATAACTTGCGAGCACTCCAACCAGTATCAAGAAGAGAAATGTAAAAGAGAGATCCAGAAACAAGTCTGAATCTCATTCCTTTCTATCTTACAGACATCCGAAGTAGGGCATCTTAGCCCAGGGCCCAAGCTACTACAATCCTACTTGTTTCAACCTCGTTGGTCCGACCGGATTGGCCGCATCATGAAAGTTCGGAGAAGTCAAGAGCCGGGCAGGTGTTCTATTGAACGATCCGCCTGCGACAGTTTTGCTGTGTCTCTGAAGGATATTAAGTAGCTGAGAGTAGTTCCTCATCATCTTCTGCATTTGACATCCACGACAGAAGGAAGAATACCGTATCACGTCTCATCAGCAGCACCTGCTTTCTGTGTCCAACATGCCGTCCACAACCAAACCGCCCGTGGAAATCCAAATAACGAAATCGGAGCGAGTATTTCCCCAAACGCCGTCGAGACATGAGCAAGTGATCCCCTTGTCGCTGCTGGATGCAACTCTTACCAACTTTGCTCACACAAACGCCGTATGGCTCTTTGAGCCCCTTGCTGGGAAGGATGTGCCAGACATGGTCGAGCACCTCCGCCAAACCCTCGGCACGGCGTTGAGCTCCTACCCTCAATGGGCCGGCCAGTTGAAGTCCATCGCTGTCTTGGACGACGCACTGGTTCCAGCTGAAGCCAAGGACTTCCCTGTTCACGCCCGTCGCTTCGGTCGCGTATACGCGCACTTCGGCACTGCCGCCGACGTCGGTGTGGAGTTCACCTCGGCAACCAGCTCTGCTACCACGAACTTGCTCTACCGAACCGAGCGCACCGAGGCGCAACCCCTATGGGACCGCAAAGATGACAGTTTCGACATGTTTGTGCCTCCTTCCGACATAGCGCATGCTCTCTTTCCCAACGAGCCCGATACAGAGACCGGATTGCGAAAGCCCGTCATGGCCATCCAATACACCGCGTTATCAGATGGTGGCTTCGTCCTGGCTGTCAAAACGGCGCATCCACTAGCAGACATCACAAGCCTTGTTCGCTTCGTCAAGGACTGGGCGAGTGTGAGCCGCACCGTAGTCGAGGGCTCGACGTCTCTGGTCTTGAACCCAGTCTTCGAGCCAGCGCGGTTGGACAATCTTGCCGCGGGAGACATCAGCGCCGAGGAGCCGGATTCGGCTATCATCAGACGTGCCCACAGTCTGCCGTTTCACCGGTATGATTGGTGGGCCACACCTGGGAAGCCCCCCGCGGCATTCCTCGATAAGGCCATACCAGTGTCTCTGGCAAGCGAGCCCATACCCTGGGATGAGTGGGATCTCAACGCGCCTATCTCTCATTACACTATTCATCTCAACAAAGAGCAGGTTGACTTCCTCTGGAAGCAGGCTACGAATGGTGCAGAGGCCCATGGCCCGAGAATTAGCAAGCATGATGCCGTCTTAGCTCATGTTTGGTCCTGCATCATGCGTGCACGCCAACTCGGGACGGGAAAGGATGACGGCCCGGTCTATTGCGACCTTGCGCTCGGCGTCCGATCCGCTTTCAAGCTGGGTGAGGACTTCATGGGTTCCCCAATCGTCATGATGAATGTGGAGCTGCCCTACTCCGAGGTCAGCTGTGTGGGATCAGGCAACGCCCCGGGAGCCACGGTTCACATCGCTCGGAAGATTCGCGATACAATATCCAGGGTGAACAAGGTTTCTAGCCTCGCGGATCATCTTCATAACATTGCGTACGAGAAGTCACCTCAACGGATATGGCAAGGATTTCTAGGACGGCGCCATATCGTGGTAACAACCTGGGCGCGCGCCGGCATGTACGATGTTGATTTTGGACTCGGCTCACGTATACGGTTTGCCGACAGCGTTGTGCCAAATCTGGACAGCAGCGTTGTTATCAAGGAAGCGCCCCCATCTTCTGGTGGATTATTGTCGGGAACTCAGCCGTCTTGGACTGATAGCGGCGTCGATATCTCGGTTCACATTAGCACTGACGCTATGGCACGGTTATTAAAGGATCCTTTGTTACTGCCGCGCCTTAATTAAGCATGTCTAGACATCTTTAGGGCGATATCCCTAGCCTGCAATGTTTAGAAACTAAATTGATTTGTGTCACTACTTTGCTTGCAAATAATAACCGACCCATAGTCCTTAGTAACTATCCTGAGATGGGTAAAGAAGATGCGTAGCAATGTCCGGCCATGCACAGCCGATAGAACCACAGAGTGGAGTTCAGACAGACACTTGAGACTGTGACTAGTCACTTTCTCTCTACCACAAGAAGGAACAATGATGCAGGCATTACACCTATTGACAGGTGCCATATGACGACATATTCAATGAGGTATTGAACAGCGAATGAGGCGCAGAGTCACCTATGGGTGGGATGGAGGAAACAGCTTGAACATCCACAAGTAAGATGGTCTGGGCCGAGACGGATAAAGCGGATCCCGCGAAATGGGGCCGCTCCGGAGGGCCGGGATAGGTATTGTTCGGGCCGGGTGGAGATCGATCTCACGGGGCTGCGCGGTAGTCATGAGGGTATCGCGACGTAAGGGATGTGTCTAACGAGCAATTCGTGCATGGGGCGCCAGGTCGAATAGTATCACTCAATCCATAGAACTGTGATTGGCAGCTGCTTGTCGAAAACGTCACTCGACTAGATTGACGCGTGGATTCAGGGTGTTCGGGCTCCCAAAGTCTCACTCAGTCACTCCCGCAGACGTTCAAGTTCGATTATCCCTTGCCACAAAACACACTTTAAGTGTAGAAGCGTTCAGCGTCGACCACAAGCCTCAACAGTTTAGTGCCCGACTTGCTAATGTCTAATGACAAGACAAAAAAAAACGAGTCCCACGCGACCGAGTAAGTGTCTGAAATCCAAAAAAAAAACATGGCGTAACAGACATACAACACCAAGTGTTCGCTAGTCGTCACCGACCCAACTACTAATCCGGCCCTCACTGGAATCATATAAATAGAGCAGAGGCAGCGTTATTCGTGATGGCTTCGCCAACCCAAAGTGGTGGGCACCGTTCCGATGAACGGACGGCACGGAACGCAGTCTAGCCGATCGAATCCGTTTCGGACGGTGGATATGCCTTATGCATCCACTTTGCTGCCTGGGCGCTTCTGGCTGAATCCAAAGTGAAAGGCTCAACTTCTATTAAAGTACATAATACGGCAGTAATATCCTTGTATTAACTAATGATTATGTTGCGATGAACCGCAGCGTCTGGTCATTTGAGGGTAAAGTAGTTGTCTTATTAAGAATCTACGTATGAACCGGAGAAGTGGTAGAAATACCCTTCTCACATGGTCTGTGCGGTTGGTACGCCACCTTCGTGGCGGTGTCTACTGGTACTAGCCACACGAAGCTATTCCAGCTTCACGACATTGCTATGTGTATCTATCTGCTGCTATTACTAACCAGGCCCTTTAAAGGGGTAAATATTAAGAATAAGATTTTCCATTTATTTAGTTAGGGAAATCTAGGACTGACTAGTGCATTTCTAGCTATTTTCCCTACTTTCGCTGAGGCGCGCACAGCCATATTGCCCACTTCGACACAAGCATTCATTTAAATTCAAAGACGGATGATTCTTGTGCCCGGCCTCATGTTTCGTCGATCTCTAATTGACGACCTATGATCGTCCAAATCTCCGCAGCCATAATGATGTGGTCGATATCCGTATTCGAGTCCCGTAAGAGATCCTTTGGCTGCACATACCAAAGGTCCTTCTGCATTGGCCTGCCAATCGAACGAAACAAATCCTCCATTCTGTTCTTCTTGTACAATGCTTGCACTTGCCTTCCATGGACCTTCGGGTCCTTAGTTGTCATCAAAGAAGCATATTGCAGGAACAGGGCGGCAGTCGCCGCGAGAATGGGCGTTGCCACCGAGCACCCCGACATATTGTGGCCTGCCGAGTCGCATGGGACGTTCTCGGCCAGAGTGCAGAACATTCGCGGCGCAGTGCTGGCCATCGGTCTAGGGTTATAAGCCGGAATCGGATCCCCGCTGGTCCCGGCGCCACGGACCGAGATTACACTCGCATGCATGGAGGCTGGGAACTTTTCTATCCCGTTGCCCTGGTTGCTGGCGGCCGCGAAGACAAGCAACTTGTGTTTCTTCACTCTGATGGCTTCCTCGATTGCGTCGGATATGCCCGTGACCTCTTGGTCAAAGCCGAACGAGAGGTTGATTATGTCGACATCTTGTTCTGGCTCGACCGACCATCTTATAGCCTGCAATGGAACGGTGAATTAGCCACAGGCTCGCGTGCCAAGATTGCTTGCCATTCAGGTGCTCCTACATCTTTGATTGCCTGTTTGGCGGCCTTGGTCTCCAAGTCTTTGCGAGTCCGTGCAATCCGACCGACAAAAATCTTGGCCTTGGGAAGTAATCTCAGGAGCAGCGAGACAATCAGAGAGCCGTGCCCTAACGATCGAGCTGTCGTATCTTCGTCTTTCCACGCCGTCTGATTATTCGTCTCGACAAAGTCGCGCCAGACAACCCGCCTCCAATCATGCCTGCGCTGTCGGAAATGAGGTGCGTCGGGGCTACAACCTGTATCGAATACGGCGATCTTGACTTGCTGGATTGTCCCTGGCTCCGCAAATATGGGTTGAACATGCATGAACTGTTCCTGGATCCATATTTCCTCTGGCGTCCTTCCAGTAAAAGTTATTAGATGACCAACACGGACGAGGACATAACTAAGAGGTGGAAAAGGCGTGGAAACCCGACTCACAACGATACAGCAGCCTGGATAGAAATTTGCGAAGCTTCGGCATCAGGCGACTCATCAGGCTCCGTGATGGCCCTTGTGGGCGGCTCGTTGCAGACGGCATATCGATACAGTCTTTCGAGCGGTATCACAATTTCTCGCTCGATGATGTGCTGCCGTGATTCTACACCGGACGAGCCCTGGAACAGTGAGGAGTCGAAACATTTACGAATGACGTTGACGTAGTCGGGATTCCAATCACGCCCATAGCGCGGCAGGTAGTTGAAGTAATCCATATTATCGCGGATTCTCTGTTCGGTCATGTCCGTCTGGCTACCGTCGCCATAGGTCGGGCCCTTGCGCAGCTCAACCATCAGAATCCCCAACGCCATGAGCTTGGGATAAACAGTACCGTATCCTGCGATGCGCGTCTCTTCGAGTGTCTCGCGGCCTTTTGAACTTGTCCGCCCACGCCACAGAGAAGGGTTGATATAAGGGTAACAATCGTCGCTGTCTATCTCGCTGGTGATCTCTATGTTGCTCTTGGTCCAAGGATGCGGCATCCACTCGGTGTCGTAGTACTGCCATATAGCAAGAGCAAAAATGTAGGCCAGCCGGATGTCTCTCCCGGCGGACGGGATCCATTTTTCCGCCTGCATGAGCTCTTCCAACGAATGGGAGTAAACCTGAACGGGGACCTGTCCGGGTTGTGAGGGGCCCAACGTTGACGATATGTCCCACATACGCGGCCCATTATCGCCCTCGTGAATAAAGAACTTAGAGTTTCTGCGTCGCTCATGGCGTAGAATATGGCACAAACGGCCATAGGCACGGGGAATGGGCAGTCCTAAGCAAGAGTCCGGTATCTCCTCAGAGCGCCTGGCGCGGTGTCAGCTGCGCCTTAGCGAGGTCAGTGAAAAGGGTTCGGTCGTATCGCGACTCACGAAGCTACGTAAAAAGTTGACTTATGGAGGAAAGTTGCCCTCTCATCATATGACTGAAGGGTGACTTCAGGCGACAAGGACAGCAGAGCATCGTATGACACTAGCCGCGAATCATGCTGCTGCGGGGCCTCGGCAGGGCAGCGAATATACAGCTGGCGCAAATGATCGTAGTCTGTCTCCTCTCCTCTACAAGAGCACGAAGTGTGGCTGTTTAAACTAGACCAGAGGCTTGTTTCAAAGTCGCGAGGATGCCACCTGGGTGCGAGCGTGGTTGGCCTGGGCCTATGCGATTCCCACAACGGCGCCTTTTCGGGTGCCTCTGCCGTGGTTGTTAAACGTTGAATGATGTTCTCAAGCTCGTTGGAGTCTACAGAAACAAGGTAAGCGTCCAGTCGCTTGGGATCGAACCCGGCGCTTGCGATTTGGAGCAACTGTTGAAACTGGCTGCCATCGTAGCCGGTATCCGTGGCCTGTGCAAAAGTGCGCGGTCAGCATGGCCCGACGGGAAAGTTTTGCACCGACAGAGTCCGTAGCACGGAGACTACGGCGAGGTCGTATGACTGGTCATGTCAATCAGGTCCAACATGTGCTGATGGAAATATAACAAGTGGGAAGGGGAACAACTGCGCTTACTGTATTAAGTGGCGCTACAAAGCCTTCCAACAGCTCCAGGAAATGCAAAATCTTGTCGTAGTCGACCTGTTCCTTAAGACTCAACGACAGGGTGACAAGTTTGGCGGCCAAGTTTCCTAGTCGGCGCCGTTGTAGGATGTCAATTCCGAAATTCTTTTTGGCTGCAGCAGAACAGCGACTCGCAAGCGATTTGCATACCGAGACTGCCAGTTGCATGTGACTTGCCGAGCGTAAGGAAGAGCGTCTCGTCGAGCTCATTCCGGACGGCTTCAGAGATTGGACGAAGAACGTAATCAGGCTCCCGTCCTTGATTCGATGGGAATACTTGCCTAACTAACTGCCTGATGGTTGCGGGTATTACCGCTGAAGAGTAATAATCATGAGGTATGTAGCCCGCTGCCTGGCTAACGGTCACTGCAGCATGCGCTGTTTCAAGGGAACGAGGACAACTTGTCGCTTTGCACGGATGTCAAGCAGAAGAGGGAGATGGAAGCACTGGATGATTCAGCCGGCTCTCGAGAAGAGCAAAGGGATCGGCCCTCGGCTGACATCCACGAGACAGGGGACATGGGCGCCCTTTTCCTCATACCGGTACCTGCTGCAGACAAGGCCGAACGATTGTAAAGGCTCTGTTCCGGAGAGGATTCCATCCGGAAAGGACTGTGATGCCTTATCTCTGTCAACCATCCAATGGGACCGCATGTTGAAGTTGCTTAGCCGCCGATATGTATGTAGAAAGCTGCAATCGAACCCCCGCGCTATGCTGTTGGAAAGGGGGGGCGCCGAGACATTATACATATGTAGTGATGCAACAAATGGCCACTCTCTCAGCTCAGCTCCTTTCCTTGCAAACCTAGCGCCTATCTACCCCTCCTTTACGGATACACTATTACCTACTCTATGTGGTGTGGTACTTTGTAAGGCGGTTCCGAGGCTTTCATCTAAGAAAGGATGCAGTAGGCATCCAGTACGGAGTAACAGTCAGCCTATATATAGAATGGCACTTTGTAAGAGGTCGGAGGCATCAGATGACAACTCACGCCGCATCGGAGCGAGCACTCACCCAGACCGACATGAGCCATAAGCAAGGCGCATCACCACCGCCACCCACCACCACACCACACGACACACCACTGCAGCCAGGAGGAATGTCAGAGCGCGCCATTGCAACAGGCCAAGCCACATACAGTTTGGATGGATGCCTCGCGCCTGATGCCGCCTGCTGCCGCCTGACGCATAGGTACGGTATCCTTCAATGCGGACCACTATGTACGGAGTAATATGTACTCCATCTCTTGAGCATCTTGCTCTCTCCTAGAGTCGAAAACAACACCACCCAACTATGCGCATCGCTCGCTCATTCTTGTGGCGCACATATCCATGGACCGGCCCATATTCACGGCTTCGTTTTCCTGCCATGAAAGCCTTCGTCGCTGCGTCGATCGGTATGCGCCATTTGACGACGACTGGGCCAGCCAGCGCCTGATCGACTTCAATATGTGGTCTGCTGCCTCCGGGGCCTTGGACGATGGTAGATACAGCCTGGACAACAAGCTCATCCTGACAAAAACGACATCCACGGTGGTTTCGGACCTTGTTGGCCTTGTCTCCGTATTTGTTGACGCTTGCAGCCCCTCGCCCAGTCTACTGGAGTCTGCTTCACGCAGCGTTGAGCAGGAAGCGCGGACCGGCCCAGGTATTTCAGCGACCCCAGTCATCTCAACCGGCGGAGCTGCAATCAGCCATGATCACCACAAAGCATCGTCATGGTTCAGAACGCAGGTCAAAAAGCCGAAACGTGAACTGTTGCCAGAAGAACGCGAGGCCAGGGATGCTGCAGAGGACACATTCTCTTCCGTCGTTCAAGTCACCGCTGTAGCGCATCGTTCCCTTGCGCAGTCGAGTCTATGGCTTGCAGATTTCACCTTTAAAGAAGACGACGACGACTTGCGGGATTATGGGCAAAAACCGCTTGAACAGATGAGATCGCCCCTAAAGGCCACAGCCATCCAAGCACGTCTGATGCGCGCCAACCTCATCAGGCGCCATCGATTCCTCTACGCTCGCGAATCTCGTTCTGGCAGGGCACAGGTATGCCCGGATGGCATACGTTGCGAAAGACCCAGTCTCGTGGAACCGAAATGGTCAAGACGATCCAAAGTTGTCTATCCTGACCCTCCTCAAATCTCCAACGACTGCGCAGCTTTTGAGTGCCCCTACTGTCATCAGATGCTGCCTGCTTTTTTCGCGGACCCAGGCCCTTGGAGAGAACACATGGCCGCCGATCTTTGTCCGTTTACTTGCATCGGTCCTAACTGCGCAAATGACACCTGGCTCTATTCCACAAAGGAAGACTGGAAAGCTCACATCTTGAGTGCTCATGCCACCATGCGTTGGGTTTGCCCGGACTGCCAAATCACATTCGATAAAGAGTATGACTTCTCTTCCCACCTGGCCACGGAACATGTTTCGAGTGTCAAAATACCAGAACGCTGCATGCCATGGATAGTGTCCTCTCACGCGCGGAATGAACCGAATTTTGATCTTTCGTGCCCTATGTGCGCGCTTCGTTCGACAGAGGGAAGCGACTTGGATCACATAGCGACCTGCTTACAGGATCTAGCCTGGTCAGCCTTCCCACCTTCGACTAGCAGTGGAAAGAGTCCCTGTGAAGCTTTGGGGCTTGTCCCACTATGCATACCTTATAGGAGAAGACCCAGAAGCATGAGTTCGACGGGCTCAATAGCCGGCGAAGCAAGCCCTTCCGTATATCGATCTCGCTACCCCCAGACTCTGAATATCCCACGCATTATCGAGCCCTCTGTGGCCCATCGTTCGGCTGGTTCCCACCGAAATAAACGGAGGACAAGAACACAAAGCCCGGGCTCGGCTATCCCTTCGCCCACGATGACGCAGCGATCAGTTTCCGATATGCACCCCCTGTCGGCTGGGTGTTCCTCCGAATCTCAAATGGGCTCAGCTTCACCGTCGTACGACGATGGAGCATCTTCCCGTCGAACTTCACGTCGACACGGAGGCAAACTCTTAGAGGATTGGGAGAATGACAAGCCGCCCTTTGATTTATATGACGAGCCGATCGGTTTCCGGACTCAAAATGCGAACAAAAGGATTTTAAACCGACTCACGGTTTTTATTCAAGTGTCACAATATTATAACTCCCCTACCCCACATCCAGGCCACCGCCATATCCAGGCCATTACATCCTAACTATTCTTTCGACCTTAACACTATATCATACTAGGCTCTAAAGATAACTATATACATACTAGGTAGTATAAGGTAGAAAGTTTATATGTACTGAGATTTAGCTTAGTAATCTTCCAATATTACTATATAATCTTATTCTTAGTCAAAGAGTACTACTTTATTTTTGATAATTTTAAAGGTTTATTCAAGGTTTAAAATAAAATAAAATCTTATTAAATACTTTTTTACTAAGAGTATATAGTGATTATAAGATCAAGTATACTAGGCTTCATCATGTAAGAACTATAAGTTCTAAAAGTATAAAAGCTATTAGAAGCGCATAGGGTATGATGGGACTTTTGCGGTGCGGTGACTATACAGAACACCTCAACCACTAAAGCAACACAAGATTCCTCGCCAATCGGTGTACATATCATGCCAATCGGTCTATGGTTGGCCTTAATCATAAGAGCCAAGTGTCCCGATCGGACACAGCAGTGCTCCGAATCAGGTCAGTAGATACTCCCGATCATCTTGTGTTACCGCGTTCGATAGTAGATCATAGGAAGGCTCTAGTTCAATCAGGCAACGGTAGGTCTAAGAACAAAGGTGAAATTATGTATGAACATCCCTAAATCTATCGTCTGTCGGCTTATATCTTCAGCTTACGATCGGATACTAAGTTGTTCTGATCGGTGCACGTGTCCTACCAAGTCCGGGCTGATCACCCCGCCCTACTCCAGTATATTTACTTTTCTTGGGCGGCCCAGATATATGGTGGGGGAGTTAGGCGTTAGTTACTGCCCTGTAACTAACGGCGTCGTCTTGCTACGTGACGTCAAATTAATAATTTGGGTTGTTGTCTCTTGCCGTTCCGGGTGATGGATTTGATTCCTGGGCATAAATTACAATTGGGAAATAGGGGGGAGTAGTCTCTCAAGCCGAAGAGACTAGTACTTCAAGATGGACGGTCAAAATTGGCTGATGACTTAGTAAAGAGGCCTGACATGGCCTTGACACACCACAGGCTATCTATCTCGTGCATGGAACTTACAAGTTCAATTGTAGACAAGGGTGGCGAGATGATCGAAGACACGAAGGCTTGGAGATGACCATGAAGGATCTGACGATGGAACGCAAAAGAGACGGTACTAAAGACGTACAACATATCCCAAGTCATCGACATGACTCAGGACTGCACCACATCATGATTACGCGGGCGCACTAATACGAAGGCCACACAGCGTCATGTAAAGGCTAGTAGTGATCAAGGGATACACTGCCTCACCATGTCGATAGAAGAAACCTGGCTCTGTGACACTTATCTCGGGTCTGCTTGTTACTGGCTTCTAGGTCTCCTAGAATCGCCTTTCGTGGTCGGGGGTGCTTCTCCCTTTCCTTTCCCAACATTGAATGCCCCAGAGAAACCAGAACTGCTGACGGCCGGGCCTAGAATTTCCCATCAGGCGGCTCTCTCGCACAATCCAGTCATCTGAGATGGTTCGCGGCCACAAGCAATCGGCCCGCTAATGCATATGCAGCAGGGCTTGTCCTTGGCTGACTGCGGACTGGTCCGCCGATCACAACCCGGGACTTGGACACAGCCTGCTTGAGGCGTCAGTCTACGTTGGGTACCTAGGTGTCTATGCCCATGGGCCGAACTTTTCCACCAAAGTACTTATTGCATCGTTAAGCTCCGGGCTGTTTCCCCCTGTTCGGCTGCGAGGCTTCCCTCTTCTTGTCTCATTCTCTGTTGCAATCTCTCGCACCGCATTCACCTACAGCCAAGAACCACCATTCAAGAAGGATCAATAACAAACCCTCCAGAAAAGCATGGCTCCCCAGCACGTCGCAAAGCCCACCTTCTTTCTTTCGGATCTCAGCACGACGCGCAATGGCCACATTGTGCTGGGCAATATCTTCAACGGCCCGTTCCAGGTAGAAGACAAAGTCGCCGGCCCGCTGTCCAAAGTCAAGCCGGGAGACATTCCCGCTAGCGCGACACAATCCGTGACAGAGACAGGTCTCTACCTCCGCGAGACGCACGCCTCGTCCTGGGGCGCCAATCTCCTGGCCAAGTTCCTTTCCGTGCTGCACCTCTCCGTCGGCACCGACCACGGGCGAGATCTAGAGGTCGTCTATGAAGTTGACCATCTCGAGACCGTCACGCTCTCGGGCGTAGGATCGTACATTCGCCAGCGCATTGCGCGCCCGAGCGAGGCGGCCCTGCAGAAGGAACTCATGGGCTTCGGTCCCTCAGTGTACATGATCACGGGCATAAAATACGCCACGGGCCTGAAGGTCTGGACCGTCGCCGGGAACTCGACGGAGGGCGGCGCCGGGCTCGGCGGGGCCCTCTCGCCCGACGCATCCGCATCCGCGTCCGGTGGCGTGCACGGGTCGAGCGCCGCGTCGCGGATGCTGCAGCGGAGCGTCCCGGGCGAGATCGTGCTCGCGTACCAGCTGACCAAGATCACGCCGAAAAACATCAAAACGGTCGGTGCGACATTTCTGTCAGATGGCGGCGGTAACACGCCGACAATCCACGTGGAAGTCGAGGGCGGATTGGGGCTTCGGGGGATATGTGAGGCGGCGGTCGAAGTGGGTCTAGAGCCTGACTCGGACTTTGGTGTCAATTCCGTCAGGGCGGAGAATGGGAAACACGCACACGATTACTCGCGTGTCGTTCTTTTGGAGGAAGATGATTGAAGCTGCTGCCTGCCCCCTGAGGAGCTATCCATGCAAGTCAGGCTGTGCGTCTAATGCGGTTGGCCTTGGTTCTGTCTTGTATGATTACGATATCGTCCGTATCATGGTGATGGAAGTTTGTTAAAGTTCTTGGCTAGCTATTCCGAGCTGACGGTCTTGCGGCTGCTCCAGTGTCATCGTCCATCACATTTCAATTGCTGAGGAATGCACTGTGCACTGTTTTGAGCTGACAAAAACCACCGTTTGACCGCATTTATCGTCACAGGCATCCCCGAGGCAGCAGACCGTTAGGGCTAGTAATGACAATGTCGGCTGACGTCAATGGCGGTTGATGGTAATGGCAGCCGATGGCAATGTCGGTCGATAATAATGTCGGTTGATAATAACAGCTCTCTTCCGTACCTTCGAGATGAAAGCCCACAACTTCCAGCGGCCCATCACCGTCGACGAGACCGACGTCATTATGTAGATCACCACATCAGGGCGCCTAACGTCAGCAACGTGTCTCCCGCGATTTATACACGCATCAGTCACTGACTGGAGTTCCTGGGCCCACTCGTTGTTGACGACAAATACGTTTCTGCTATCACGCCAGCTAAACCAACGCCAAGACTGGATTTTGACGACTGCCATTCCCCATTCCAGCCTCAACGCCTCAATGACGACGACAAATCTCCAAGTTGGAAATACCATTAGCCCCTTACTCCCGTCTCGTCGGGCCAGATGGGCCCCCATCCAACCGGCACCAAGAGGCCGTCTCTGCTCTTGTTGAACATCTCTCCGGCCCCGGATCCACCCTTTCAATTCCAGAATCATCACTGCAAAGCGCCGCCAATTCATCACAGGTCTCGCTCATGAATTAGCTTTGGGAGAGGGTCGAACAAGGTATGATTACGCCTTTAGCTGAGACTCTGGAGAGAACATGTATGTAAGGGATGCTCTTGGAGACTCAGGGCGGACTCGCTGGGTCCATGGACCTTGCTAGACCACGTTGCTGCCGGTCTGAACGCTGCTTCTCCTTCTGAAGCTCTCTTTCCAAGGATCCGATTCTCTTTAAGCAGTCTTTTAGGAATTGTTCCTTCTCGGCATCCCGTCATAGGAGGTCCTGGACGAGATTCGAAAGCTTGTTGATCTCATCCTTAAGCTCAGTATTGTCCTGTTAGCTGACTTGCTCAACCACTCTGACCTTTGCGGTCGGTTTCCGGACACGTCCAGACCGTCGAGATGTACTGGCGTTCCCATGAACCGTGGTGGATGGCCATACGTTTAAGGAAACGGCCATGATAGTCGGATTCAGCTCGCGTGGGCTGATGATGGGAAATAGTAGTGCGGTGGGCCGGAGCCCTCTATGGTCTTAACAGCTACTAACAGTGGTTGTTGTTGTTGTTGTTGTTGTTGTATTTAACGCCTGGTACGTTCCTGAAAAGGACAAAGGGCGCCTAGGGTAGCTATCTCTAGTACAATACACTGCAATACAATGTCCATGCCTAACCTTCTACCGTCCAGCCGGCTTGTCGTAGTGCTTTTACCTATTATTAACCATGTCTAGGAGTTTTAACCTAAATACTGTTATTACTGTTAAGTTCCTAAGGGTACTTTAGTAGCTAGGTGCTATATTATGTCTTCCTTCTCCTAACACTTAGTTAGATAGGGGGGGACCTATATGCTTAGTTATATAGTGCTATTTGTATATCCTTATCTACTAGTAAGGTGTAGTATTCCCTATATGTCTATCTAAGTCCTTACTTAGAGTAATATATAAGAGAGAGTAAAGAACATAAAAAGGTAGAGAGAGAGAGAGAGAGGGGGGGGGGGGGGAGGGGGGTATACTAGCTACCTTACTAAGAGGGGACTAATATATTAGGGGGGGAGAGAGAAGTTTGTTTAAGGTGTTAGTAGAGAAGCACTAAACACTACTATCTAGCTAGCTTAGTAGCCTAAGGGGGTATCTTTAAAGTGTATAAGAGTAATCTATATGCCTATAATAGAGCTATACTTCTTTATTATAGTTTAATATATAATCTATAAGATATACTAGTGTTAGTATACTATTACTATACGCATAATCCTATATTAAGAAGGACACTAAGGCCCCTGCCTATATAGTAAGTTATAATAGTCTAGGTTACCTTATTTTATACGTATAGGTAGGTAAAGCTATAGGCCTTCTTAGCTATAGTAAGTTATAAGGTTAATAAGGTAAGTATATATTTACTTAGTAAAAGTAAATCTATATAAAGAAGTAAGTATTAGAGATATTCTTAATAAACCTTTTATACCTATAGGAGAGAGTATTAATTATATAGCTTCTAGTGTTAAACTATAGGGTTAGTATTAAGTGTCTAATCTTCTTATAAAAAAGAAAATAGGCTAGTAACTTTAGCTGCCTATAGGAGCACTTAAGTAAGGCGTTATAGTAGTTAAACCTCTAATAATACTATATAAAGTCTTTATATCCTAACCTAGCTACTAGTAGCTAGTATATTTCTATTCTATTAAGGTTAATAAGTTTATATATTAGTTTAGTCTTAGCGTTTAAGTCCTAGTAGTAATAGCTATTTAGTTTATTCTTATATTACTATTAGTTAAACTAGGCCTTAATTTACGCCTTAACTTTTTACTTTACTAAGGCGTATATAGGTAGCTAGGTGTAGAGGTCTACTAGGGATATTTTTACTCCCCTCTTTATAAGGTTATTAGTAAGGTTATTACTAAGGATACCTAGGTGTCCTAGCACCTAGTAAGCTCTAATAGTTTTACTATAATTAGTAGCTATATCTATAAAATCTAGAAAAGCCTCTTATAATAAGGTTAATAAGGTGCTATTAAGTCTATAAATTACTACTAAGTTATTAAAGTATACTATAATATCCCTTACACTAAGTAATCTTATATATTATAAGGCTACCTTAAGGCTAGCCTAAGCCTCTTTAGCCTCTATATTATAGACCTTTACGTTAGGAAGTCTTCTTTATCCTTAATAAATAAGTGTCTCTCCCTAGAAAATAGTATAACTATAGCCTATCTCCTTAGGTTTAAGCTATAAACTATTAGTATATACTATAATATAGTTACTAGGCAGCTAGGCAGACTAGACCTTATAGTCTATAGTAGCTTACTTCTTATTTACTACGTCTATAGTCTAGTACTTTAAGATCTATAGGTAGGTTTAAAATTATAGTCTAGGACGTAAGAAGGATAGTATAGCCCTAGCTACTTCTACTAGCGTAGTAGGCTGTATAGGGCTGCCTTTCTAATTCTACGTCCTAGCCTCTTAAACCTTATAAACTAAAGGGTAAGTCTTATCTAGCTATCCTAGCCTAAGGCTGTATTAAAGTCTAGTAGCTTCTAGAAGCTATATTACTAGTAGTATACTAGACTCTCTTAGTAAGATAAGGACTAGTGTAGTGCGCTATACTAGTAAGTAGCTCCTAATTACCTTATTAAATACCTTCTAAATCCTATTAATCTAGAAAAAAAGTCTATAATTAACTCTTAGGTGCTAGCTGTTCCTTAGCTTTAAGCTTAGCTTATTATTACCTAGGTACTATATTTCTAACGTATAAAGTGCCTTAGGGATAATAATAGTGTATATAGCCTTATATATAAGGATTAGTAAGGCCTTATAGTATATATAGTTAAGGCCTTAAATATATCTAGCTATTACCTATATAGTAGTAGTTTATTTCTTAATATATATTTTAAAGTTAAAGGTATAGTTAAGGTATACCTCTAGCTAGTATATTATCTTTTATAGTGTAATTATTTATTTATTATATATAATAGGTAGTATTAATATACTATAGTGTTAATTAAAGTAAAAGACTTTAGTCTTCTTAGTGTTAAATAGTATTTTATTTTATTTCCTTTATTTTATTATCTTATCTAGGATTTCTTAAGCCTAATTATAGTATTTAGTCTTTATATTACCTATATATAGTACTATATAGTTATTTATATATCTAAACCTAGTCTGTTTTAGGCTAAACTAGTAAAAAAGCTTAATATAGTAAAGGTATAAGATAAAGGACACTAGTAAGCCTTAGGGTAGCCTATAGTAAAAAGGGGTTATAGGGGTAATATTCCCTTTATACTAGATCCTTACTTATTACCTATTAGTAAATATATAGGTTTACTATATAAGGTTATCTAGCTAGCCTTACTTATATATAGTCTAGATAAAGTAGCTACTATTAACTATATTAAAGGCGCCCTTAATATTTATTATAATTAGGGTATAGTACTTCTACTAATCTAAGGTAGTCTTAACGTTATATACTAGTGTAGCTACTATATCTATTACTAAGCGCTTAGGTAGGGCACCTACTACCTATAAGTATAAGATCCTAAGTTTTATACACTTCCTTACTATCCTATAAGTAATAAGTTATTTTAGGCTTTTCCCTAGTGTTAATAGGAGGGAGATTAGCTACTAGCCCCTAGGTATACTAATATCCCTATTTAGCTTAAGTATTATAACTATCTTTACGTCCTAGAATAAGAGTAGGTAGTAGCCTATCTAGAGGCATACTATATAAAGGCGTTATATAAATCTATATATATAAGGCTAGGTAGCTTATAGAAGTATAATAGTAATCCTATCTACCCTAGGTGTAGTATTACCTACTCCTAAAAGTGCTACTTATACCTCCTCTAGGGGGACCTTATTATCTTAATTAATAGCGCGTTATAGTACTACTAGCGTATATAGGCTAATGTCTATTTCTATATTAAACCTCTCTAGGAGATATCTCTATAAAGTGTTAGCCTTCTTAATAGGCGTAGTAACTATAGTATTACTATCTTATAAAGGGGGCGCCCTAAATTAACTCCTATATTTATACTAGCCTATAATATAGTATATCTCTTTATTTATTTATATCTTATTAATCTAGTTAGTCTAGTACTTTACTTTTACTACCTTAATAGTTCTATAGAAATTAGTTATAGTAGCTACTTAGGCTTTATTATCCCTATAGTGTCTAGCCTATTAGTAGTGTTACTACACGTTAAAGCACTTAGAGGTCTACTATACTACTAACTTTACCTTAATCTATATCCTGCCTGCTATATTAGCTATATTTTATAAGAGGTCTATAAGTGTCTTAGCTACCTTATTAAGGGCTGCTAGGGTGTCTATATTATTAGGAAGTGTCTATATTATTTTAGCTACTTTATTTATATAGCGCTTTACTGCTTTTAGACTATTAATAACTACCCTTATTCTATTTATCTCTAGAATATTAGCAGTTTATAAGATAGTTATAACTAAGGTAGCATAATCTAAGCCTATATATAGGTGTTTTACTATCTACACTAAGGCTCTTAGAAGATTAAAGAAAACTAAGTTAAGTATATTACCTCTATTATATATAGGGGCTCCTAGGGGGCTAATAAGTATAAGGGTATATTCTTCTGCTTATTTAGTAATCTGTTTCCCCCTAAAGTTATAGGGGTCACCTAGTTACTATAAGGGGTACTAGGTATTAAAGTCCCCTAGTACTACTACCTTTATAGGTAGTGTCTATAAAGTTAAGGTGTTAAGTATTTATATTATCCTAGGCTAGTAGTACACGTTAATATAGTATATATTATATAAGATAACCCTTAAGGTGTCTCTTATAAAGTGTTTATTAAGAAGGTATATATCTATAACCTAGTGTATATTTCTAATATATATAAGGACTTTAGGTTAGGTGTTAGTGTCTCTCTAGCTAGTTACTAAAGCATAAAGCTAGTAGTTAAGGTATATCTTTATAATATTTAGATCCCTATTAATTAAGCAAAAAGGCTTCTATATTATAATAATATCTACCTTATTATATTTAGCGTTATTTAAGGTAATATTATATATTACGCTATATCTATATATATTAGCTTAAAATATCTTTAGTTATCTTATTATTTATAGTGTAGAAGAGGAGGGGATTAGGGTGCCTAGCCTTAGGGTAGAGGTAGTTCCTCCCTTTAAGACTATTTCTATATCTATACTTATCTTAAAGACGTTATATTCCTATATATATAGGCTCTTGTCCTTAGTAGTAAGCTGTCTAGAGGGGCTTAAGTCCTCTTCCTTAGGGGGTTACTAAGGTGTCTTTTAGTGTCTTTATGCCTTCTAGTAGAGCTAATATCCTTTTTATTAGATACCTTAGCGTTATGTTTTTAATAGGTAGGTAATTTCCCTATAGCTGTCCTTCTTAGGCTATAGTAGGTAGTCCTAGTAGTTACTTTTAAAAAGGCCCCTATAGTTAATATATTATTTCTATTTATAGTATTACTAGCTGTTATACTTACTTACTAGCTTACTATACTATTAATATATTTATACTTTATAGTAAGGTTAGTTAGTATACTAGTTAAAGTAGATAAGGCACTAGATTAGTTAAAATCTATTTTATAACTATTATAATAGTATACTATCTAGGAGTTAAAAGGGGTAGATTATAGCTTCTAAGGCTATAATTTATATCTTATTCTTACTATTCTTAGTCTATCTTATAGCGTAGTGCCTTATTAGTTTATATCTAGTAGTAAGGTAGATTTCTATTTATATTATCTTACTAGTAACACTAATCTTATTTCCCTTATAGTTATAAGTATAGCTTAGGACTCCTTTAACTTAATAAAAAGTCTAGGTCTATATTCTATTAATATTAGTTACGCTAAGCTATTTAGATAGCTTAAAGTAGTAACTAAGTATAGTCTATTAGATTCTTTTACTTATTAAGGTAATTATATAACTAGTTAGTACCTTAGTTATCTTCTTAATATCTAAGACTTAGATCTTATAGATATAAGTAACGTCTTAATAGATAATAAAAAAAGGGACCTTTATGTCTAGAATATAGATAAAGATATGTCTATTAAAAGTAGTATTATATTATTATAATCTAGCTTATACGCTCTCCTTACTTCCTATAGTTTGTTAAGTGCTATTTTTCTCTATAGCTCTCTAAGCTAGGGGCTAAGGGCCCCCCTAAAGGCTAGGCTAAGTTAAGGTTTATCTTTTTTCCTTATTCTATATAGCAGCATGCTACTAGTAGGCTGTTTTATTACTAAGGGCGTTAATAAGTAGGTTAGCGTAGTAACTTATAGCTTAGTTATATTACCTATCTTAACGTATTACTTATAGTGTCTACTAGAGGTTATTAATAAGGGTATTACCTATATATCTATAACTATTATTAAGGGCTATAATCTTACTAAGCTAGTCTTTAGGGGTCTTATAACTTACGTCTATTATTAGTCTATATATTAACATGTTAATCCTAAGGTGCTCTTTTAGGTTAGCTAAAAGCTACACTAGTATAGAGCCTAGCAGTAATAATAAGACTATAATAGCAGTAGGTAAAAAGAACTTAACTCTCTTACGCTTTGTTAGGGAACCTTCTATAACCTTAGAGGGGCTAGAGTTAAGTCCTACCGCGCGCGCCAGCGGCCGTAGGCCAGGCCGGCACGGCGTGGGAGTGGCCGGCCCATAGGCCGGCATTTTTAGGGGGGGGGGGGGGGGGCGTTACGTTGCTTAGGTCCTAATGGGTGAGGATATGGCCCTTAGTTAGACGACCGTTGGAAAATATGTCTAAGCTCATAACGAGTTGGCAGCATAAGGTTGAAACTGCGGCTACGTAACCAAGATTACCACTACACAGGGATGAAATCAAGAACATAACCAGCATCCTTTCTGTTTTGATGGTTTTGTATCACGCATGTGGCCAAATAGTTAGTTCGGCGCGTTAATTGTCAAGCAGAAAAAAGTATCGAATGTGGTGCCCGGCATCGTGGTGTCCTCGCCGAACTGACAGGGATTTACGGAGATTCGAATGGTGAGAATAGCTGAGCGGGGGGGGGGGGGGCGTTACGCAAGTAATATATCTGTTAATGTTTTGAGGGCTTAGCCGCCTAGGAACTAACAGTTCCAAAACGTAAGGAATAAAAAGGAGGGAAGGTTGCTACTAACAGTGGGTATCTTGTGAAAACCTCAAAAGTGATCTAACGTTAACGTATATAATAAGCGAGCTGGACAGCATTATGTTCATAAGCCGCTTCAGGGCTTACATCACGCAGGCCGTAGCCCCCTTTGCGATTTGCTATCTAGGCCCCTCAAAGCAAGAGACCACATTATCCACAGAGTGGGCGATAGGTAGGAGAACGTCCTTTCGGGCTTCATATTGCTTAGCCTCTTCATCAAGGGCTGCGAGGACACATCTAGTAACTGTCCCAGTCAAGGTCAAGGGGGGTTATATTAGAGGCGTCAGGCGGGCTTCCCACGAGGATAGGCCAGGGCCGCTGTGCCTCGGTATCGCGACGTAGTTTGGCCCTTGAGGTTGGGAACGGCTCCGGAGGGGGTCTAAAGCCTTGATCGGGGTCGGCTGGAGAGGCCAGCAACGGTCCAGGGCCCGCGGGAGGCTATGAGGACATCACGGGAGGGCACTTCTGTTAAGGACTTCGGTGAGGGTTCACTTTTTCACTAACAGTAGATGCCAAGAAAAATTGTAGTGGGGTAGTAGTGTACGGTTAGGTTTAACTCATAATACTAACATGGATATACTATGTCACACAAAACAGGTTTTGACTAGATTGCATATTACGATATTAAAGAAGCAATCATGTCCAAGCTTAGGGCCCACGTTCAGTCGATCGTTTTCTAATTGGCTAGGCTAGCAAGACATATCTTTGCTTATACATAATATGTACCTGTAGTGTCCCATCTAGGAATCTACATCGCGAAGGGGTATACGAATAGACTATTTTAACTTAACACAGACTAGCCCTTATCCCAAAAGAATCTCTTTAGTGTGCTGTTAGTAATAATGAACAATGCTTATACCTTAAGCAAGCTTGTTGTTGTGTCTCCCATCATCTAATCACATACCCTCTGCTAGGACCCATTAGCACATTACGGCCAGCAGCCATAGTTTGCCATACCATTGATGCTCTTGAACTAATTGCAGGACAAGAGCACGTTTCGTTTGTGGGTTTAGCCTACCGGTAGATACGGAGTCTGTCTCCACATCATGCGGTTGTGCGGCACATACTTGTTCTAGGACGACTCGTAGCCTAACGAACCAGCACGTTCCTCCAACACGACTTCTCCTTCAACGCTAAAAAGGTGACACCGTCAAGGATGATAGGGTCAAGGACCCCACTGACTTCAAATTAGAATTTGTGCTCTTTTTTGGGGGTCCTATTTTAGGACTCCTTTTGCATATTACGACATTCTTTTGCATATTACGACATTCTTTTCTCTCTAATACCTGTCAGAACTTTAGGGCCTTTTGCTACATCTAGTAGCTCGCTTGTACTATTGTTTACATGTCTATCCCAATATTACATCTTTAGCGCAAACTCTCAGCATGCGTCTCTATAAAGGTTAAACCGCCAAGCCACTCGTTCACACAAACCTGCAAGAAAGAGCATAATGTTGCCCTCCTCTCTTGTTTCTCTTCTCAGCCTTGCTGCTGCTGCTTCTGCAGGATCTGGCCATCCTCACATACTCGACGCCGACGATGTCATTATTCTTGGCCGTGACGGTTACTCTCAAGTCATAAAGCCTGCGGCCTATAATGAAGCTCTCAAACACGCCGTCACGATCACTCGCAGTCCCGGCCCGGGTCCGGGTCCGGGTCCGGGTCCCGCTCCCGCTCCCGCTCCCGCTCCCGCTCCTGCTCCTTCGTCTTTGCGCGGCGCAACCAGCACCTCCAACAAAGCCCGGCGCGGCTGCGCACAGAGCAGCGAAGTCCAGATTCTGTCGAACACTTCTTTCATAGACTGGGACGTTGCCATCTCTCCAGTTGTCTCGGCGGCCGGTACCAACAATACCCAAATAAGCATTGGAGAAGGGTATGCAATCTCAAACCAGCTCAAAATCAAAGAAAGAGCCAAACTCAGCAGCAAGGGTATTATCAAGCGGACTCTCGATTTGGCATACGATGTAAAGTGGCAAACCTCCCAGGAAAACACTTATAGATATAAATTATCAGGGGACATGTACGGCATCATTGTCAGCCAACCCTTAGTAAATCGTATTGAGGGCGCCCTGCTGAGTGGCTGCACTGAAAATCCTGATATGGAACCTTTCGAAATCAACTTGTATACTAGCCAGAGCTTCGGTCAGCTGCATTGGGTCAGTGGTGTCATTCGACTGTGTGTTAATGAGACCTACCCTATTCCATTTTGTAATGGAGAGGGCTTTCATCAATGAGCGTGACTATTAGGTAGCAAGTGCCCAGGCACCAAAGTGTGTTAACGGAATTTATTGCGCGCATCCTATGAAACCCAGAGTACCACAAGCAGAGCCATCGTTAGGTCCAGGTGGATGCGCCGTGACCGTGCGTCCAGTCGGAAATCCGTTGATGCCAGTACCGTCACACCCGTTTCCAGTCCAGTTCTGAAAATCAGAGCACTTTAAAGATATTCGTCATTAGTTTTCTGTTTCCTTGTTCTTATGTACGTATGACAGTGAGAAACTTACACAATACGAGTTTAAGCCTGCAGCAGCACAGGTTCCAGTAGAGTCTGCAACGCCGTGATCGCTGCAACATAAATCGCCATTTTGAGGCGCAACAGGCACAGGCGTGTTGGACCTCTGCGCGGAAACAGCGAGTGGAACCAAGAAGAATATAAGAGAGTAGCGCATTTTTGTTCTGTATAGCTTGAAATGAATTAAGAAAAAGAAGTGGTGATTATTATCCCTCGAAGACAAACAAATGTTGTAAAGCGGGCTGTCTACCTATTTAAACTGGCGAAGAGGCCCTAGAAGAAGTATACAAATCTACATTAACAACTAGGGACAAGAAGGATTAAGGGGCTAGGTGGGTCAAGATTCAAACTCAGGATTACCCTGGGTTTGGAATGTGTAGGAGGATGCCGTTCCATCCAAAATTATTTCGTAACTCCATACGGTAAAGACCGTGCTCCTTGAGTAAAGCCTCGGCGAACCCGAATACATACTAAGACCCCACCCCGTGCGCCGTATGAATAGCAAAGTTGTTAGCTAACTCTTCTTTACACTCCTCCTATTACAAAGTGATTTAGTTTGCTTACATTGATTACTTAACTAGGTTTCAAGAATAACGCGACGTAGCTCTCTAGGTCTCAAGGTGAATGTAACATAGGGTTGTATACTAACTAAAGGTTGCGACCCCAGTTCAGGCAACCGTTCTTCAGTTCTCGCGATCCGTTCTATCAGTCTCCTTTTGCCACTACCAATATCCCTCAGTTCTGAAATTGTACTAATATTGAGCTTCAAGGGTTTGATTTTGCATTCGTCAGTCAGCTTAGGTTTGGTTACGTGATAAAGATGTTAGGAATCTCCACATAAAGCACTAGATTTATACACAGACATATAACTGCAGTTAAATAGTACACATTATTTGAACCTGATGGATTCAAAAAGCTGATTTAACACACAGGCAAACTGTCCACTCTACTGGAGGTAAACCAAGAGAGCTTCGCTGGCAGCAACTTCAAGCACCGCCTGGCCTTCCAGGACCAATGTCTTCTCGAAGGTCTCTGTGCCACCAATAGTACACGTTATGTTGTTGAAATGCTGCTGGCCAAACAAAGCAGCATCCCCGCGGTCCTGTCTCGCCTCTGCGCTCCCAGCAGTGATACGTTTAGATTGAACAAGCGTTGCACTCAAATTACTAAGGGTAAAGAGCTCGGAACTTCGAATTCCTGATCCATTGTAGTAGTTGGAGTTATACAGCAAGGCACGCAGGGGCGCGCCATCACTGTCGAATGTGACATACGCAGCAAACGCCAATGTGCCGTCATCGAGGGCTGCTAAGTATTTAGCGCCCGCCATGAAGGCAGTTGCCGCGTAGGCTCCGACATAAGGCGTTCCTATTGAAGAGCTTCCAAAAAAGCTATAGGGGCTATTGCCAATCGTCCCCTGGTGGAAGTAGCTCCTGCTGACGTTTGAGACTGCAAGACGTACAGAGTAGTCCATGACCCAGAGGGCTGCTCCGAAAGTCGGAGACACACTGGCTGCGCCGCCTCCCGCGACTATTGTAACTTGTTAGTTATTTCCCACCACAGGTAGAATCCAATTACCTGAGTTGGTCTCTCCAAAGACGTATGGCTTGTGAACTGCAAGTGCGCTGGCAATATCGGCATCAAATCTGGTTGTATCATTAGCTAGCTTGTAGCGTTTCACGTCTAACTTACTAACAAGTGGATGTTTCTTGCAATATTTGCATGCGACATCAGGCTTGTGACTGTGCCTCCGGGGTAGTTGTGGTGCGAGTAAGTTCTGACATAGTCCCTGACCGTGCTATTGCTGCTCCCGATGAGCTCTTCGGCACCCCATTGCGGCGGTGGGATGTTAGAGTTTCCAGCCTGTATGATGCTTTTCCTACCAATGGCATCCCCGAAGGCAATTGACCAACTATCTTGAGACTCTGCGTCCGCAGCAGGGCTCCATGTACCCGACGCGATGGGCTGTACTCCATGCCAGTCTGTATACCAACCGTCAATTTGTTTCGTACAGAGCAGATGCCACTGTAACTGCTTTCATCTTACATTCAGGCTCGTTTCCGAGCTCAATGGCGTACAGATTGGCCATTTCCTGTACCGCGGCCTTGCCGGCTGAAATTGTATTGTTGATGTTGTTTCTGCCTCTGTTGAGGCCAAGGGTGACGTTCCCGGCGTACGTTGCGGCTAACTTGATGAAGTTGGGACCAAACGTGAGATTCGAGGGCGCATCCGCTGCGTCCGAAACCGAGTAGACGACATATGCCGACGATGATGCGTCATACGACGCTCTGTCTTGAGTAGTACCGCCGATCCGGATGGGAGGCCAAGTGCCGGTCAAGTCCTTTAAGTTGGACAGACACTGCTGTGTTGCGGTGATGTTATCGAAGTACGACGGAAACGTAAAGAACTCGAAGCTGGGATTTTTAGTTCCATTACAGGTATCCAGATAGACGAAGGGACATGCTTACGACAAGCCGACGGGGGCGGGCTCAAGAGGCGCATACGAGAGGCTGTCCGCATTCACGCTGCTTGGTATGGTGAAGTTGACGGCGGCAGCAATCTGAGCGGCTGCCACAAGATATGCCAACAGGGAGCTGAACACCATTTTCGCGAGGCTACTTCCTGGAAGACAGTGAGCATGCGTATTCTCGTCGCAATGAGCGCGATGAACGTGATATGAGTAGGTATGAGAATGCCGAACACCCGCAGTGCACCAATCAAGAGCTAGCGATTGCCACGCCTGTTCCTAGCTGCTGCATAAACAAGCTCGCACCTTACAATTTCCCTCACAACTATATGCATTAACAACGTTCACTTCAGGGAACCTACCTGGGGCGGCCACTCAATCAAGGCTTTACAGCCTCTAAATAATGATGTAAATGACCTGTAAAGGCCTTCAGTACCCTTTTTACTTATCTATGTCCTGCGCATTTCCTCCCCTTTCAACTCAGGACACTTATGAACACCTATAAAAACTTCACGTTCTTAAATTGTCGGATAGCGTACTAGACTTTGGCGAGTTCCTCCAGGAGCGTTCCTATCCATAGCGTGCGAACTCTATTTCGTCGCGTGAATTAATCTGAGACAGACATGGCTGTGTCATACCAAAAAGTCCTATTATATTCGCGCATCCACTATACATAGCTACAGCCTCCTGTTTCATATAGTGGTAATTAGTAGGTATTCCTAGGGTATGTAGTGTCATCAAGCAGGTGGGGATTTTAAAACTACTGTTTCAATAGTAGTAAGGTTTCTACTTACGCTGTTAGAGACTACCTATACGAAGCTAGGGTTAAGACTACGTATGCTGTTGCAAATTGAATAGGCAGATTAGTACGTACAGACACACTCGATCTTTTGATTATAAAAAGGTTCGACAGCCTGCCAAGAATGCCAAGAAATTTAGAATTCCACACTCCACCAACACAACTCAACAATAACAAGCTGGCTCGTTATCAATCTCTATTTTTCCTACCTACACTTTTAACCAAGAATCTATCTTTTCTTTAAGCCAACCCTACTTCCAAAATGAACTACGCCGTTTTTCTTAGCGCTTTGATGGCAGTTGCTGTTGCCGCTGCTCCTGCTCCTGCTCCCATTTCAGCAGACGGGGCCCCGCCATGCGTAAGTCTAGCTCTTAAAATATAACTATCTACTTGAATACAACAAGCTTACGCTAGTCTTAGAACGCATACCAATGCCCAGGCGGCGTTGGTGAGAAATAGAGACAATGCCGTAGGCTAGGCAGATAGTAGATAGCGTGGGCAATGATCAGATACCCCATAGGCACGTGTCTATTCACGTGCCCAACAGGTATATAGACCATCGCCTCAAGGCCTCATATCGACGGAGGTCGACAACCAACAATACACTATCATCACCTATCTTGTCCTGTGTTAATTATTCAAGTCCTTGTTATTGCTTGCCTTGCTTCACTGCTTTGCTGTTACGCTTTACCTTCGCACTGCGTCACTTCACGATACTATGGTATATCTGTCTTGCACTATTGCAGCCTAGCTCCTCCTGTTAGATCCGTAACGGCTGGCAGGAAGGCTGTGTCAAATAGAGATGGTTAATACAATCAATACAAGGGGAGCAGATTAAGTGACAGACAGGCATATGCAGTGCTGGGTCATCAGTATTTAAATAGCAATAAGGGTCACATGACGTCTGTCTCACATAACCCAGGGCTAAGCAGATCGATTATTATGATATTTCGGTGCAAACTTCTTATAAATATGCACCGCACGGAGAGAATCTAGCTGGTTGGCTGGTCCCCATTATTGCTGTTCAAATACCAATGACCCAGCACTGTAGCTAGCTATTCCGAGCTGACAGTCTTGGGGTAGCTGTGTGGTTGATGTGCGATTGGGGAAGAGCAGGGAAAATTGCGCTAGGTGGTAAGGTAGCTGATAAATTGCGAGTGTGGTTTTAGTATTCCATAGCTGACTAACAGTGTGTATAAGGCGGTCAACATAGAGGATAACTTAATAAGTGTCTATTAATCAATCCATAATAATAACGACGACGACAGGGAGAAAGGGATATTTGGGGGTATAAGACCCCGCCCCCCATAACGGGCCACCCCCCATAACAGGCCACTTCAATTATACGCATTTTTGCCACATGCTAACAATTTGGAAAATAATAGAGATTCTCATACAAATAAAAAAATATATACATTACAAAGTTACCTCTATTAATACCAATTCTTTTGCTGCCTCTGCTACCAGCAGTGCCTTTTTAGCATCTGCTACTGCTTTAACTGCCTTTTCAGCTGCCTTCTTAGCTGCCTCCTTAGCCTCCTCCTTAGCTGCCTTCTCTTTTGCTATAATAATAGACTTTATAGTAGTAAAGTAAGTATTTAGATCTATTATTACCTTACCCTTCCTCTGCTTCTTTATATAATCTAGCTAGGCCTTAAGTGACTATATCTTCTTGCTGTTCTCTACTAGGGTAAAGTTTATATTATCTAGTCGCTTTCCTACCTTTAAGAAGAGCAGTCTCTAGGTATTATAATCCTATTCTTTATTACCCTCCTAGGGGTCCTATAGACTCTAATATCTCCTTAAGTCTCCTAACTTTTAAGGGGTCTAGACTATAAACTATTAGGGTGTACTAGGCTCTATAAGGAACCTAGGATTCTAAACAGGAGCTACTAAATTATTAGTATTAGTAGCTAGGTTTATAAACTTACTTATTAGGGGCTAAGCTATATTAAGTAGCTATAACCCTATTACTAACTACCCTACTTATATATTCCTTAATATAAAGGCTTCTATAAATACCTTAAAGTAATAGCAAAAGAAGTTCTACTTCCTAATAGGTGCAGCACTAAGATCTAAAGCTATTATTATAACTTCTCTCTTATATACTTACTTTAAGGGAGAGAACACTAATACGTTAAGAGGCTAGGTAATATAGCTAGTATAAGGTAGTAGGTAAAGTAAGTAAATATCTTACTAAAAGTATTCCTATATAAAGTTATTAGATATATAGCTCCTATACCTATCTATAATAAAAAAAGTCTTAGACTTATATTTCTTAGCCTTAGCTACTGTTACTAAGATAAAGATTATCTTAAGCTAGTTAAGGCCTATCTTATTAGAAGTCTAGCTATTCTCTAATAATATAAACTACTAATAGGTAAAAGGTTTAAGTTTAGGAGGGAACTACTAGTGTTATATAGAAGCCCCCTTAAAGATAACTAGAGGAGGAAGTCTTTTACTATCTATAGAGATATACTTTAGGATACTTATCTAAGTGCGTCCTTTAGGAGCTTATATATATATAGTTTGCTTACTAGACTTACCTAATACTAAAGACTACTAAGCTTCCCCTTTAGTAATCCTAGTCTTATCTATATTCTATTAAAGGTATTATAGGATATCCTTAATAATAGGGAGTATAAGCAGGCAAAAAAGCTCTTTAATCCTCTCCTTAGTAACATACTTAATTTACTAGGAGCTAATCTTCTTAGCCTTAAGGGTCTTTATAAATAGATTTCTTTATAAGAATCCTTCTATCTACTTCCTCCCTAATAGCTAAAGATCACTGCCAGCTTTAAGGACTCTCTAGGCTATCTCCTTAACCTGTAAATAACTTAGTGCAAATCTAAAGGCATCTTAGGCTAATACCTAGTTAACAAGGCGCTTTTCTTAGAGCTAACTAAGCTGTTAATGGGCTAACTTAGCCTCTTGCCGCAAAGTAGCACCTTAAAGACAGCAAAAGAGTGTAGATCGTGGTATACCCCATCAGCAGGCTGCTTTACAATAGCCGCTACCTTTAAGGACTTCGTTAATTGCTTTCTGTAACGCCTCTTCAGTATAACTAGGCATTATAAATTATTTAGTATTTTTAAAAGAATTAATTTAAATTTTTGTTGTTAGGATATTTTGCTTTATAAAAGGTAGTTATGTCCCATCATTATAAAAAGAGGGGTAAATAGCCAATGTTAATACGTGGCCCGTTATAGGGGGTGGCCCGTTATAGGGGGTGGGGTCTTATGTATTACATGTATACTCTGGATATGCAATTCTTGTGTTTAACACGTCTATATTCGGATAGTCTTATCTAATATGCGTCAGCTATTAGCCAAAAGCTTGCTTTCCGGCCATAGCTGCTTACTAAAGAGCAGCAGAAGCTAGGTAAGTAGGAACTAATTGATTAAATGATTAAATTAATATGAAATCCCACTACCGCCTAATCCAGTGCCCTATGTTATGCCTAATAGGTCGTAACACTAGACTAGTTTATATAGAAATACTACTACTACTCAGTAAGCCGGGTATGCTGTAAGCCATCCTCATGCAAATAGGTAGCCCATAGGATCGCTTGACTTCAGCCCTCCGGCCTAATCCAGGTCAGCTCCACATGCGCACACGTGTCCTCATACATACCTAGTCAGACACCACAGCCTCCCAGGCAAAACACGATAACACCCAACTTCACCCTTAGTTTACCAGGACACTTCGCCATCCATTTTTGCTGCTGGTAACATGCTTTCCCATGATATTTCGGCTATGATGATGGGGAAGCTTGGCGGCGGCTCGGACCTCTTTGGCAAGGAGACTGAGACGCGCCTCCCCCTCCTCTTTAATAAGGTGATGGAGGCTCGGCCAGCTGCGTCGCAGAGTTGGCTCTTCCGTCTTCCACCAGAGATCCTTGGCGACATAACGGACTTGGTTGCAGATGAAAAGCCCTCTCTGGCGTCTCTCGCTCTTGTAAATAGTGACTGCAGACAGCTCGCCCGATCCTGCCAATTCGCGGCGGTAACCTTCGACTACAGCCCAGCATCTCGTCAACTTGCCAAACTCCTCTCAACAGAGGCCGCCTCTAGAGTTCCTCAGTCGCGCGGTCGAATTGGACCATGTATCCGACGCGTGAAAGTGGCGTCAAACCCTGGCTGGCTCGCGGGTTTCCATGAAGAGCTCTATGACTCGATTTACGGAGCCAACAGAGCCGAATTCACCGATGCTGTAAGAGAGCACATTGGTTTACTGCAAAAAAAGGCCGAGATGGAGTACTTGGTCCATCACCAGCTGCCCATTCTCCTTGGCATCGGAGCGATGCCAAATTTGGAGGCCATTTCCTGGCTCGACAGACTGTGCCAGAGTCCCTCTTTATTTATGACTCTCGCTGGATCTTCCGTTCAACATATCAAATTTCACGGCACAGTAAGCGAAGAACTTCCAGAGGTACTAGACCAGCTTCCTGCACATTCATTTCAACAACTTCGGTGTTTGGACCTCAGATTCAACCTTTGTCAAGATAGTCAACACAAGGTTGAGGAGGTCACAATTACAGATTGCGATATAGACACCGCCAAGGCACCCGACAACGGAGATTCATTGGCAAAAAGGAAGCCTCAAAGCGACTGCCATGTCATCGCAGCGCTTATCAAGCGGTGCGAGCAGAGTCTTGAGACACTAGTCTTGCACAGAATGTTCTTCCCGATGAGCAAGGCTGAAAAGAGACTATCATTGTCAAGCCAAGATATCAACCTCCGCAGTCTACGAACTCTCAACTTGTCGGACTGCGAAGTGGACCTGACCGCTTGGCGTGTCATGCTCTGCCCATCGCTTCGCCATCTCTCCATGCCATGGGACTGGGATGAATCCTTCTTCTCTTGCGAGACACTTCGAAACCTCGACACCTTAGTTATTCCATTCCTAAAGGAAACCCCGGGGAAGCCCTCTACTGTTAAACCGTTGATGAAGTTCCTCAATCGCCACCCGCATATCAAGAAATTATGCCTGGACTATGCCACAGACGCCCTCATTGACGATCGCCTCCTGCCCTGCTTGTCCAACGGTAATTGGGTCAATTTGATCTCACTATCGTTGACATGGGCGGGGCCAGGCATGGATGAATCGACTCGGCCGCACATTGCCCGGGTGTCCGAATCTGCACTCGCCGCGATTGGGTCCTTGGAAAGCCTCGAGCAGCTCAGATTGACCGCAGGACAAATCTCTGGCTGGCGTCGCCAATGGCTGATTGACCATGATGCTGTTCGAGAGTGTCTCAAAGGCCTCAGGCGATTGAAAAGACTCGCCATATCCCGGGATACGTACCCGGTTCCATTCGGCCTGCAAGAGCCGGAGTACTACTACGAGATGAGATTCGTCGATCAGGAGGACCGCAAACTTGCCAAGAAGCGGAAATGGATAAATAAGACCGTGCCGATTGAGGACTCTGACAGCGAAACCGTGGATGAGGAGGGTGAAATTTGGGAGTACGCACACCGCTACAAAATGTTCAAGCAAGCCGAGAAGTACGCCGAGGTGATTCCGACACTGGAATGGATCTACTGCGGCGAATGGCCGATGAAGTTCGTGTGGGACCGGGCCGACCGGCAGACGAGACGTAAGGTTGCGTGGCCACTGGCTAAGTCACGGGATTCGTGCTGGTCGTATTTACGTCGCACGTTTGGCATGGGCAATGAAGAAGATTAAAATGTGGCCGTTATTGGGCCTGCGAAAGACGTATTGATGGGGACGGTGCTGGTCTTGCTGGTCTCGCCAAAAGGGGTGTGTTAGTCTCACCAACAGGGGCACGGAGAAGCCGCGAGCGCCAACAAATACAGCAAGTTACACGTAACCATGGCTTCAAGCAGAGACAGGTCGTCTGATCATCAGCTAAGGCAGCCAAGGCGTACGAGGAGGAGAATCAGGGAACTGTAAGTGCCTGGCCTGCACGAAGGTGCGTTTGCATGGACACGCACCTTTGCTACTCTTACCGGGCAGGATACAAGGCCTTGGCTAGACTATGATGTATATATATATATATTTATGCATCATTCAAGAATAGTAACTTGTACAGGGTGCCTAGGAAAACTATGCTTACTTTATGACCTGGCTCGCTACTATCAACGCAGCAGATATGGTAGTACTCAGATCTGTCAGGTGCATATAAAAGGCAGCTGCCTCCCGCGCCAGTCCGCCAACGAATTCCATAAAACATGTCAGAGACCAATCAGATCATACTTGAAACATGCATCCGTAATTAAGAGGCTGACGGAAAGAGAGGAACAGAAGAAGCGACGGCGGTAGGCAAGAGGCAATGCCACAATGGTCGCCTTACATGTACTCTCGGCTGCCTGTTAAGCCCATGTCATGTGATGGCAAAGAGTGGCGGTGCCTAGGCGCAAGTATGCTTAAAGCATCCATCGGTGCGGCCGGCGTGTTCAGGAACGCAGGCAGAGGGGTTTACCCTCTTTAGGAAAAACAAAGTATATCTACCTGTCATCTTCTAATAGTGCGCTGCCATTCGCCTGTCAATACAGTGCTCAGCTGCGCCCTCTGTATTTCCGCTCTAAGCATTTGACGTCACCCTCGTGAGGTTGTTGTGCTCCTGTATAAAGGACAAGCGAGTGCCCTATGACAACGATGAAGCATCATTCGCATATCGCAACTCATCACGGACACTCAGAGACATACACACACATACACACACAGATCGGGAGAGCAACCCCTATATAGTCAAAGTCAGCCCAGCCAAACTCCAACAATGTCCTTCATCATAGACGAGAAGCCCCAGACACACCTCGAGGTCGACCCGTACGACCATGACGTCATGAGCGGCGACTCGGACTCGGAGGTCCCGCCCGCCTACGACGACGCCTTCTCCAAAGCGCCCTCCACCGTCCAGCTCCAGATCCACGCCGTCGGCTACGACTACGGCCAGGCCCTGACCGGCAACACCCTCGAGAACATTGCCGTCGATCGCGTCGAAACCGGCGAGCTCGCCTACACCTCGGTCCGGCTGTCCAGGTCGTCCAACTCGTGCGCCCTTGTCCGCGGCCATGACACCAGCAGGTCGCTTATATCCACCATCTACCGCTGGGGCCCCGGCCGCCCGCCGCGCATGCGCGTCTTTGCTGGCCCCGCCGGCGTCTCGGTTGACGACGCCATCCACAACGACCATCTCCCGTGCGAGCTCGTCAATGTCAAGAGTCGCAACGTGTTTTCCCGCACGCAGAGGTTCGCCACCAGCTTCGGCACCTTTGAGTGGCGCTATGCAGACCGCGCCGAGCGCAAACAACCCGAGAACAATGCCGACTCCCTGCTCGTGTGCGAGCGGACGGACGGCGGCGGTACAGGTAGCAGCGGTGGCAAGGCAGGCAAGAGAGGCGTGCAGGTGGCGCAGCTGGTCCGCAACGAGGCGATGCGCACACCTGGCACGACGAGGTGGATGGGCGGCAATGGCGGGCGGTTGGCGCTCGACCTGAGCGGCTGGGCTGATGCGGCGGCGGCGGATGGCAAGGGTGCGACGGCGGCGCAGGGTGTTGAGGCGTTCTTGGTCGCGAGCTGTATCTGCATGCTCAAGAGGGAGGCGGACCGGTTTAAGGACAATGCGATTGCTTCGGTGGTGTAGGTCTGTCTTATGGGCGGGAGGGATCACTATTGGTGGGTGGGTATACCTCAAACCTGGCGCATGGAGAAATGTGGAGTGGCTGTGATTGTGAAATGTTGGATGAGGCAGTTCGCGACCGCACGAGACCTTGCGACATGTTGTGTCGAACATGTCGCGAAAGAATGAATCTCGGCCAACAACGCACATATACCCATGATAGGGGCCGAGGTATCAGACCAGGGCCAAAAGGGTCAGGAGACAGTAGTGCTTGATGGGAAGATGTAGTGGCTAGTGATGATAAGGGCATCCAAATGAAATGTTCTGCTGTAACGAAGTTACCTGATCTCATGTATTAAAAACATTTTCTCCGCATTACTTTCTTACATCGTGAGCCTGCGCGCCCCCAAGCGTCTTGGACGCAGTGGGGCGCAACTGTTCACTTCCTGCACTTTGTGTTTGGCCCTTTGGTAGACCTGCTGGCCCGGTTTTCCCTGCTAAGTCAGCAGGGTTGGCTTATCTATGGGAGAGCGGACGGGATCCCAAGTTTTCCAATGGGTATGGTCGTATGTGGAAGTCTTGTGAGATGAAGTTGATTATATATTGGAAAGGCCGAAGGGATGACCTGATATGCATGCGATACCGTAAGGCAGACTCATCCTTTTTTAATTGCTGTGAAAGTGGGTGGCTGTGCTTCAAGGCAGTACTATCGCCCGTCCTACATACGACCATACTCACTAGAAAACTTAGGATCCTGTCTACATAAATATTAAAGAATAACATTACAATAGTTAAAAGCAGCTTCTAGACAGCTTTTTATCTGTTAATTATATTTTGTAGTTAAAAGACCCTTTAGTAGTTGACAATTATTTTGGTTTCTTTTATTGGAATAACTTATCTTCCTGTATAAAGAAGTACTTATCCCATTGAGTGCCAAGTGACCTCACATGACCCCAAAGTGGGTCTCTACAAGTAATTACTGATAGCTATTGGACAGTTAGCCTAGATTGTGGTACTCTTATTGGTCAGAGGATATGTGAGGTCACCTGGCACTCAATGGGATAAGATATCCTGTAGCTAGGTGGCTGTATTGTGAAGCTGGAATAGCTTTGTGTGGCTAGTAATTAATAGTAGTGGCCGCCTTGCATGTGGTGTATTACCCGCACAGACTACTTAGGATAGGTGTTTCTACCTATCCTCCGATTCATGCATAGTTTCTTAATAGGACAACTACTTCATTCTCAAATGACTAGACGCTGCGGTTCATCAAATCATGTCTATGTGATGTGTAACTCTATGGCCCCCTTGTTAGGGTAGGGAAATCCATCCCAGAAATGCAGCCGACATTTATTCAGCTGTATTGCCTATTTCAGCCTACTAGCCCACAGGGGCAGGCGCAGCGAATAACACACTACCGTAATGCCTAAACTTCGACAGGAGAATCGGGATATCATTTTCATGTGAAGGTCCTGTCTAGGCCGCTCAACGTGAGGGTCCTGAGGGATCACCTTCCGTGCCGCAGACGCAACTGTCGATGGCACCTTCAGCCTCGCACCTTACTTCCAGGACACCCTGTTCCATTTGTTAGACTTCTGGATGTGAACACCGGCAATGATAACTGTTACGTACGGCTTTCCCACACTCTTGGGCGCATGCAGGTCTACAGGAATCATTCTGAGGCGCCCGACGTACGGGCTTTGAACCTGAGGGATTACCTTGGGTGCCACAGACGCAACTGTCGATGGCACCACTTGCGAAGCACCTTGAAGAGAGGACACCCTATTCCGTTTGTTAGATAAAAAGCTTCAGGTTTCTGGATGTGAACACCAGCAGCAATGACAAATATTACGTACGCGTGCTCCACATAGTTGACCGCATTTATCGTCACAGGCATCCCGAGGCAGCAGACCGTTAGGGTCAGTAGGGCTTGCGGCGGCCAGCGCGCTTGTCAGGGCAATAGCCAGCGAGATGACGCTGAATTTCATGGTCGCTTGCCTGCTATGCAGTCGTGTCTTTGTATTGATCTTGTCTATGTCCCAAGCCTGTAGGCTAGGCGTCTTAATTGTAGATAAAATAGTATAGGTTGCAGGAAAGTGAAGAGAGAGGGAAGTAAAGAGGTCTACTGATGATTGAGTTAGTCGATTCTTCAGCGCCTAATATATACACATACATACATAACACACGTGTCGCAAAACGACGACGTTAGTTACAGGTAGTCATTAACACCTTATATCACTTCGTGACCCTTAATCCGTTTCAGACTTTGGGGTTGGGTATATCTCAGCTGAAACCTAGGCGCTATAGTCTCTTTTCTACATGTAACACATTGGTCGGGATTTTTTCTTATGCACGAGTCGGAATTCTTTTAATCTCTCGTAGTGATCAACACTAACATACTACGTGTCGCTTATTTATACCGTTTTCGAACAATGCAAGTAAGCCTGGCTCTCAGCTCAATATCGCACAGCAGTATACCTGAGGCCAGAGCTTATGAAATTCAATATAGCTTGTTGTTTCTATATAGTATTACACTACCAGGTGCACCTAAGTAATAGCTTGTTTCTGAATTCACAATGTCGCGCGGAAAGATTATGTCGCTTGGCGATATCTCTACGCAGCTGGTTGGCTGATCGTGAGACGACATAGTCGTTTTCAATACAAACTATATTTTATATACTGGTAGATGCCTACAGATTATAAACAGCTGTATAATTATATTTAGTGCTAAGATATACCTAATACAGCAGTCTAACGTCAATGTCTCGCCCTCTTATAGTAGCATCACAACACAAAGCGTTACTTTCAGAGCTTGCTTCAATCTTACCCCCTTGTTCGTCCCTACATGACACCAGACCCCTGCGCGGCGTCCCCGCCTGAGACTGACCCGCCACGCCGGTTCGTCTCCACGTAGTGTCGTCTTTTGTTTCTAAAACTCCTATTCTTACTGACTGTTTTGGAAAGATCAAAGATAGTGGAACTGTACAAGCACCTAGGTACTATGGGGGTTAAACCGTCCTTTCCTAACACTAATACAACGTGCATGAGCCATCGCGTGGGTTTGTGGCCTGCACTGATCCAGCGAGTGCTGGATTGGGCGGCAAGATGTGCATTTAGACGGCCTTTATTGAATGAGTGGAGAAAATATGAATTCATCAATTGGCAACCTCTCTTCGTTTCCTACCGGCTCTAAGTTGTTCTTTAAGCAGCCTAGCGAATACAGTACCACATATCAAGTGCAGCTGTTAGTCTAGCCACATCAGGGTCGGAAGATTCTTCAGCCACCCAAGCAACAAAGCCGTCACATCGGATAAGAAGAGCAGAAATACCCAGTCTAACATCAGAGTCTGCATTCAGGTACTCCACGGGTATGTCGCACTTGTGTAAATCGATTACCGCCTTCAATTTTTGGTCTTTTCCAAAGTCTAGGAGCAAGCCCTGCCCCTTTTCTAGCTTCGGATTGAGCCTCGAACCGTCTGTAAAGGTGAAGTCTGGGGCACTGTGCCCGACGAGAGGATGCTCGTCTGCATCATCGCTCAGCGAATATCGCTGTGAGAGGCCCCAAACTCGGTCGATAAAATGGTTCACACCATCGTCCGTGTCGATTAGATCGCTCGCAAGCGCCCGTAAAGCCCGGCCTGTGGGAGTCGGCTGCATCGTCGCAGCTTGTGCCCGGTTCCAATCAAGGACCGAAGCGCCAACTGGGTGGCGCTCTTTCTCATAGGTGTCAAGCAGTTTGGAATGGAACAGTCCATCCTCGCTACACTTCTCTCCCTGGATAGTAGCAGCCAGCTTCCAACCTAGGTTCATCGCGTCACCTAAGCCGGCGTTCATGCCCTGGGCGCCAAACGGGGGGTGGATATGCGCAGCGTCTCCGGCAAGCAGAACGCGACCTTCTCGGAAGTTTGTTGTCTGTTTTGAGCGGTCTGTCCACGTCGAAACGAGATGGATTTTAGTGATGTGGACGTCTGTTCTGTTGAGCACACGTTCAAGGACGCCTTGCATGTATTCTTGGGTAAGCTCCTGTTTCCGTGCCTGGCTAGCCCCACCGTCAAAGTCCAGCAGGGCGAACATTCCAAATCCGGTGAATATGTAGAAGCCAGTCTCGGTAGTGTTAAAGCCCATCTTTAACTTTTCTGGGTGATCGAGATCGCAGCGAAGGCTGTAACCCGTGAGGGTTGGTTCGCTCCCAACGAAGTCGAACCCAGCGGCTTTACGCACTCTGCTTCGACCCCCGTCGCATCCGACAAGCCATCTGGTCCGGAACTGTTTGCCGCATTCTGTTTCGATCGTTAGACCGCTGTCGTCTTTCTGGACGATGTGGTCGAAGCCTTGCCCGCGGAGAATCTCAGCACCTAGGCTTTCTGCGCGCTCGGTCAAAATGGCCTCGATCTTGTCGATAGTTGTGGGTGCAGGCATAAGTGAAGGTCCCGGGAGACGATATCTATGCCGGGCAAGGTCGAGCTTGTGTATGTTGAGCGGGATGCCGGCGAAGTGCCCGCCAAACCTGTTCCCACCTTTCTCCTTCGGCGGAGAGTGGGGCCGATTGGAGAGGTCAAAGAACTTATCGAGCAGGGCGCGCCGATGGAAAGTTTCAATTGCCGATGTCTGGAGACCACGGAAGCCGAGCGGTGTGGTTTTCCAGGGGGACTCTGGAATTTTATCGCGCTCAAGAACGAGGACAGCAGTGCCCGCCAGGCCGAGTTCGCAGGCGAGCAGTAGGCCGACAGGGCCGGCTCCTGCTATAATAACGTCGTGGAGCTTTGTCATAATGGCCAATCTGGAATTCTTATATGAATGAAGTTGCTGATCGCTAAGTACAGACAAGCCTCTTCTTTTTGCCAAGACTTCGATTTTATATACGTCTTCCGATTAGTGTGTTTAGGCCACCGGGCTAATACGGAGTTTCCGAAATGTCCGGATTCGGAGGAATGTCCCATTGTCACGGAGATAAGCACAGGCCGGCGGCCGGGCAATCCTTATAGGCCTAGCCTACATATATGTGATGTTTATATGCCCCTGGGCATACGAGTACTGTAGGATAGTGTCGAATTGGAGGCCCCCGGTGGGTGTGGTCGTATGTGACAATATGTATGCAAATTGATGGTTAGATAGGATTCCTTGGGAACAGACCAGACACAGGAACTGATGAGACACAGCCAACTGGTTCACGTGAGATCAAAATGGACCAACGCCGGTGGTTTGGACATTCCAGCAAGGCCCAACAACATCGAGCCCGTCTAAGAAGTGCCAGTTCACGATGTGCAGTTCTTGTTTATGGGTCCTCATGTCTCTATTCAATACTAGAGGACGTGCAATAAAGGCAATGTTCTACAAGGTTAAATGGAGAAGTGAAAACGGGCACAAGCGCCGGCAGAACACGAAGTAAATAGAAGGAAATTACCAGATCCACCGCGCAGTCGTCACAGCCAGCGCATCTCGAGTGTTTCTCATATACGCATATATGTTCTTGAAGAAGGCCACCCACAGTCCTCAACTCCTCAAGTGGCCGAAGTTCCGTAACCTCTCTACTACGCTTTGGTAGTTATCACGGTCGAACACTGCCGAAGACGATTAGCTAGTACCTAAAACCATGTAAAGGTGAATGGCAGGCCCCACCTTATTGAATTTCAATGTGCTCCCTTTCGGCATATCGAACTCATCCCAAAGCCCTCCTTGTATTCTGCATCTGACGAAACTTCGCCCGACGGCGATGTTGGTTGGGAGCTCATGTCCCGACACAAGCGGCTGGGTCTCGGCAACCTCATGATCTGTCTGAGGCGGCTGGGGTTCGGTAATCTCATGTCCCGGTACACGTGGTTGGGGATCGGCCGGTCTGTATAGTTGCAGGGCAACTGAAAGGTGCAACGCAGCTTGAATCAGTATCCGTACTTTCCTAACCACTTAATGGTATTGGAGTGTAGAGTGAAAGATTTGAACATACCGGAAGACTCTGGCCGATTCTTGATGTAGTTGCTAGTCATCAATACACATACGAAAGTACAAACAGCATACAGTACTGGGAGGAAAAGGTTTGATGGGCAAATGGCAAAGCATCCTAATGAAGGAAGCCATTCATACGGCATACTTTTTGCCAATGCAGGAATCACTCCCGCCATCTTCGAGATGTTCCCCTCTGTTGTGCCAACCAACAAATTTGGAGGTTGACGGGTAGACAGGCCCACTGGATAGAAGACAGAGGACAAGAAATCAAGGTCATAACAATATTAGCTCTCTAGGAAATCTCCCCGGCCTTTATAGGCAGAGGAGATCACGTGAATCCAGGCTCACCCACGGGCATAGTTCTTCTCCTTTTCAGAAAATGCGAACCACCAATTTACTCTGCCTTTCCGCAAGGCAGACAATGTCACGCACTGAGGCTATCCTTAAATAAACCCCTTGAATACACATCTCAGTTCTTCATTGGCGGTGAGAAGCCAAGCAGAGCCGGGAGCCAGTAACAAGGCTGGGTTTTGAAAATTTTCCAGGTTGGTTGAGGCCTGTCGGAAATGACCGCACCAACACGGTAAGTTCCAAGAACGAGCAACGCAACGTTGGCCAAACGGTGTGCCTTCCGTGTAGCCCGGATATCCACCCATGGGTGCAAGTGTTACAAAAGCCCTGGAAGCTGAGTCCAGGAGAGGCGTAAAGGAGGGTAGGCAAAGGGGAGTTGGCGTCGCCCCTAGTATCCATCAAAAGGATGGTTTTAAACACACTCATTGTCTTCTATTCCAATTTCCTCCTCAGTTTCCCTTCCATCTCTTCTTGCAATTCATCTGTCATCATTGTGACTCTTTATGCCCACACAACATGAATTCCATTAACAACCCAACAGCCGTTCCAAGAATCACCACCCTTCGACAAGAGCTCAACTATGGCGATGGAAAATCGTTCCAATGCCAGGCCTTTTACGATGACTTGCGTGCCTATCGTAAGAAGTTCGTCAGCAGTACTGGTCTGGAAGGCAGTCTTCTCCATGATTGGAAGTCGCGAGATCATCAGACTGCGCTAGGGGAGATGACTCGAGCATTTCTTCAACGGGATGGGAACGGACATCGATACTGGCCAGACGACGAGACGTCGGCTCATTACAACGGTTTGAGGTACTCCTCTGACCACGCAAAGTAAGCTCACGAATATTGTCATTCCGCATCCTTGCCATCTGACGTTGGTCTAGGATCAAGCGCCTACTGAAGCAACTATTCTTTCGACTGAACCTTCAGCAGTATCGCAACACCAAGTACAAGAAGAACAAGTCCGAAGAGGGAAACCAACAAAAACGGAGTGGCAAGACTCCGAGTGACGCGATTGACTTGGACCATATCGCTGAGGGACCATCGAACTTGCTTGATTCCGACCCAGAGGACTCTCCAAGGTACGATGCCACAATTAGATCAGTCAACATTTGTCATACTTACAACACTGCCAGGTCTGCAAAGAACCCAAACACTACAATCAGTTCCGATGTCAACACTGCCGATGTCAACACTGCCGATGTCACTAATCCCTTACTGCCTGGCTCTCAACATCATCCTGGCTCTACGTCAGAGCTTGGGAAAGACCCATACCATGTGTCTGGAAGCCCAGAGCCAAGGTTTGCTCTGCAAGTACCACCTCAGCTAGTTAGTGATTTCTATAGATTCACAGCACATTACGTCGACATAGTACTGACTCCAACATAGGGGCAACCGATGTCCGGAACCATGAGGGCTCCGCCGGGGCAAACGCGTCGATCCGTCTCCCACTCCGAGGATGAACCGCGAGCCAAACGAGCCAAAACAGGCGGCTTTTCCTGTACTTCCAAAACAACCTCTGTGTCGACAGAGCTCAACGGGGATCATGCGGAACTGTTTGTCAACAGATATTCGCCGCGTCGCAGAAAACAACGGCTCTTCCCTGATATGATACCGATAGAAGAGGCATGCCGATCACCCAAGAGCACTTCAAGCTCAGCTGTTACTGGAGACGTCGAAGCGTCCGGCCTTGATGCCGAATCCTTGGTCAATGAGCCCTCAACAGCCGTCCAACCGCCCGTACGCCCGCCTCGACCAACGGTCGAAGATGTTTTCGACGAAGAGAGCTTACGCAGCTACATTAGCGACATGGTCAATAGGCTGAACGACGAGTCGGGGTTACATACAACCGAAGCGGCCTTCCAGTCAACGGCCATCACCACCGCGCCGCTCGCGCTAATGCTCCCGGACAAGGCAACTTTCGCACCCCCTTCGCTCGCATCCCCTACCACGGGGGATGCCCCCTCCTCACGTCCATCGCCGGCTCTTGCACCTCCCCTTGCACCTCCCACCACCACGAGAGACGGACAGGAGAAAGGTGAGGCGGCCAAGGAAGAAAAGGACGCAAGCATGGGCCCGCCCGCCAACAAGAAGCCGCGAGTCGATTTCGTGTACCGCGTGATCACGCGGCAGCCGGCGTATCGGGGCGACCCCTGGGTGCCGACGGGGAACTTCCGAGACAAGTCCATCTCTGAGCTGGAAAGCGAGCTCCCGCTACGGGTCGAGGCGGCCGACCTGGTCGCGCTGCGGTTCGTGCTGCTCCACGTGGGCACCGAGACGCGGGCGGAGCAGATCGTCCCGCGCGGGCACGACGAGAAGTTCGCCGCGGCGAAGCGCTACTTTGACGGGGTCATCCGGAGCTGCATCGCGAGGACGGCGGGCGGGGGCCAGGCGCTGATCGAGTTTGAGATCGAGGCGATGACGGACGAGAAGCCGGTGGTGGACGACGCGTTCGAAGAGGCATTCGACTGGTGATGTGTGGCGACGGTTGGGTTCCTTTGTCAGTTTATTTGTCTGGTATTGCTTGATTTGTGTGAATATGTAAGCCTGTGAATCATCATGGTGAAGAGCGACTGTCGTCAACAGTCAGACATGAATATGTCCTGCACTCGGTGGCCCCGGTTATGGTAAGTTTGATGCCCGGGAAGAATGACGAGGGCCTAGTCAATGGCCGCAGAATAGTCATGAAGGATGAAAACCTCCCCTTGGTGGGCGTGTGAGCTGGCGCTGCAACTGCAGATCTATCCTTCGAAAGGCGATGCTTGAGATGTGGAACAGATAGGGAAGTCACCGGGAGGTTTTTGCTCGATCAGGAGCGATGTCAGTTTTTTTTCTAGGTTTTATTTTTCCTCTTCTCTCTTTTGTAGGATCCATGATGGCTTAGGCTGGAAAATGTCATGGTGTTGCCAAGATAATCGTGGTGCAGGAATTGTAGATTATAAGCATCACCGTAAAAGGGTTGTTTTTAGGTCCACGACTGACTTCTTAACAGTCTCATTTGAATTTTTGACTGCGGAAACTGATCTGTGCTTGCTGTGTTGCCACTGCGGCCGTTATCGTTGATTACAGCGGTTGCGATATCTGCATTCTGCATGCAGCATGATGCGACGGTCTTGAGCTAGGCTGAGGGTTGTGGGGGAAGCGGCTTAAAGCTCTGCCCATGGGGAATATGATTGATAGAAAAAAGCATTGTACTTTGTGTATGGGAAGCCAGTATGTATCCGTATTGTTGGGGAAACTCTTACGACGGAACAACATTCCAACATCCTATGCGTCACCAAAACAACTTGGACTGCGCATTCTCAGCTAGTGGAAGAACGACGACGCAACCGGATTTACTTGAACATCTCCCGTCAGCGCCGAGCCCCAAGCGCCAGCCCCGCTAGCATGTCTCTGCCACGCTTGAGGCGCTGGCCAAGGATGCAGATCCGCCTTGGTAACTGCGGCAAATCAGCCTACAGTTCCTCGGCGCAAGGCCCAACTGCTCCAGTGGACTGGAGTGGGACAGGAAAATAGATGGTGTACGGTGAGCCGAAGGCCCACGCGACGGCCAGGGTAGTCGATCAATGTACTGACTCTCCCTGCCTGCAAACATCGAGCGGCGCGAGTACTGCATGCCCTCTATCCAGTCCCTTTAACGGTCCCATGCGAGATGAGAAAGTATACCGTTAACAGAGCCGTTTCAGTACCGCAGTCGTCGCATTCGCAAGAGGGGACGCGAGCAGGACAGAAGCGAAGGGCAAGGCAAAGCAAACAAGCAAGATCGGGATGGGATGGATGCCAATTCCCTGTTACTTGCCGAGAAGCGCCAATGCTGCCTAGCTCTATAGCTTTCCTGCGGGCCGCATCAGCCCAGGAAATCTCATTATGCCTGTCGGTACCACAGAAGGATGAGCCGCTAACCACATCGTGTCGTGGATTCTCCTTGTCACTCGGCGCGTCGTAAACATAAAGACGGCTGGCTGGCCCATTCAATCGCGACAGGCCGCCGGGAGAGAGACCGCCCGCTCGACTTGTTTTCTAGTCTTATTTTTTATTTTCTTATTTTTATTTTGGAAATCATTCCAAACCTCGCGTCGCGCGCTTCGTCTCAATGGGCCGCCCCTTTGCTTCAGCGGTCGCGCGGGCTCTGGCTCTCGCCGCGATTGCCGTCGCCGCCCCGGCCGGCTCCACCCCGCTCCGGAGGCAAACCTCCGGCGACGAGGCGTGCGCGGAACTCGGCCGAGCGTACGATGAGGCTGCATTGACAGACTCAACAGGTGAGCCATGCCTGTTGCTTCCTCTAATTTCGAAGAAATCTGCATCAAAGGTTGGGATCGGGATCGCGCGAGAATATTTTGCTGACGGCGCACGCAGATAACGTGGTGGTGAAGCCCTCGGTGGCATACCGGTGTCTGAAATCGATCCCGGTAGACGTTGAGAGGGACGTTGCGCTTGTCAAGTACCTCCGGCCGTGGCTCGAGTTCCAAAGCACCATCGGGATCTTGCCCAACCCACCGGAAGGGTACATGTACCCGGGAGTCGACATCTTTGGCGGGTTTGACAACATCACCCGCTCTCTCGAAAGTGACGGATACGAATCGCAGCTGGACTTCGCCGTGGACCTTTACAGACTGATCAACATCAAGCCTCGCGATGGGCACTTGTCTTGGTCATCCGCCCTGAATGTCTTGATCAACTTCTCAACCCCCGCCCTGTTTGTGTCGATTTCAGAAGACGGCGTCAAGACACCAAAGGTCTACCTCTACTGTGAGATTGGGCGAAACTCTGCAAACGTGATGCAACGAGCGCTGACGCGAGGCTAGCCGACTACGAGCGAAGCCTGCGGCAAGGCTACAGCGCATCGGACGTCAAGTCCTTTGACAATTCGCCCGTCGTCGACTACCTGCAGCAGCGGTCGGCCGACAACTCGCGGGACCAGGACCCCGATGCGGCGTACAACGAGCAGCTTTACAGCGCGGCCATGGCCAACGTCGGCGAGACCGCCGGCGCCACAAGGTATTCCCACACGACCCTCAACGACGAGAGCGTCATCGAGTTCACCAACGGCACCAAAGTGACTGTTGCCAACACCGCCCGCATTCTCCAAGATTTCTCCGGCATCGGCTCCGGCAGCGACGTGCACTACCGGTTCGAGGTCCCCGGGGACGACGGCAGGGCGGAAGTGAGACTGAACACGTCTTCGCCGGACTTTTCCCCCGAACTAGAGGGTTACCCGACGCCCTTTGTGCTGCACGAGGATAGGTATATCAGCGGCTACCTCTTCGACGGATCCCCGCTGGAGGACACGGCCGTCCTCGCCGTCAACACGTTCATCACACGGAACATCAGCGGGGTTGAATCTAGTACGGCCACGGATGACCCCATCGACTTCTTCAGGGTTGCCAGCGAGTTCGTCGAGACCAGCAGGAGGCAGCGTAAGTCTAAGCTCATCATCGACCTGCAGAGCAACGGCGGGGGCCTGGTGGCCAACGCCGTCGCACTCTACGCCATCCTGTTCCCCGAGGCCGGCAGGGAGACGCACATGAACATGCGCGTCCGCGCGCACGCCGCTCTCAACTGGGCCGGGACGACGTTGGAGGAGCTGGGCGAAAATCTGCAGAGGATGCCCTACCCAGTCGGCTTTGCCGGCTTCGTCGACGGGGACTTTCGGAACTTCACCAACTGGAAGGACTTTTACGGCCCGGACAAGCTCGGCGACGACGAGTTCTCCAACATCGTGCAGCCGGAAACGGTGGAGATCGGCCGCACCGGCATCCCCGGCGTCTTGGAGATCCCAGAGCCGTGGTTCAGGCCCGAGGACACGGTCATCGTCACCGACGGCCACTGCGCCTCGGCCTGCTCCTACGTCGTGGGCATGATGATGCGCGAGCTCGGCGTCCAGGTCCTCGCCGTGGGCGGGCGGCCCCTCGACGCGCCCATGCAGGGCATCGGCGGCACCAAGGGCGGGCCCGTCATCGCACTGCAGCCGTACCAGAGGCTGTACCCGATACTCGCGCTCTACGCCGAGCCGCCGCCCGACGACATCGACGTGACGCCCTTTGTCTGGCCGTACCCGCCGCTGGCCGGCACGTCCACGAACACGTGGACCGTCAACTCGGCCAACATCTACCCGGACGACGACCTCGACGGCACGCCCGTGCAGTTCCGGTACGAGGCGGCGAACTGCAAGCTGTACTACACCTGGGACACCGTGACCAACATGACCAGCCTGTGGTCGGCGGTGGCGGATGTCAAGTGGAACGGGGGCAAGTGCGTGCCGGGCTCTACCGCGAACGAGGACGGCACCATGGGCACGTCTAGGCCTGGGTACTCGGACAAAGTCGTGTCAAGCTTCAAGTGGCCTGCCGGTCCCGGTGACGTGGTCGGGGCAGGCAGGTCCAATAACGGCGGCGGGGGCGGCGGTAATGGTAGCGGGGGCGGCGGCGGAGACGAGAACGTTGCCGGCTCGCTCCGCGCTGGTGGGAGCCTATTGTCCTTCTTGATGTTCACGATGGTGTTGGTGTTCGTCATGTAGTAGTACATGAGAGACGTGATGGAGGAGACGAAGTGGAAAAAATGAAAAAAGACCTCCAAAATAAACTCGAGACTTGAGTCCAATAATCCAACGTCTGTGCGAATCATGCCTCCATTACAAGTTAAAGAAGACACTAACAAGCGTGCTACCAAAGCACGTTGTCATCAACAGCTCCAACTGTGTCACTATCGTTGTGTATTTGCGCGACTTTGAGAGGAACCCCGTCTTGCAGATGCACACAAGTTGTCACCGACAGGAAGCATTAGCGACAGAAGGGGAACCATTAAGCAATTGACGGGCGAGGTGATGCACGTGGAGAGGAAATCGAGTCGTCTTCCCTGAAAAATCATCCTCCAAGAAATGGAAGCATAGTAGCTGCATCTTCCCGGACACAGCCCAGGTCATCGTTAGAAAACATTCCGTCTCTTTTCTCGTGAAGTTTCGGATCTGGATCCAGAAGCTTTGCCAACAGGGGTTTGTTGAGAACTAATGGCCAGAGCAGCCATTTGTCACCGGCCAATTCTCACGATGGACCAAATGCTGATACAGACGTGTGCCCACAATTTCCGCCCATGGTAAGTGGCGTGTTGTGCATCTGGGACGACGTCGCCCAATACCAGAAAAGCCCTCGCGACCCCTGTACTATGCGCGGCTGCGGCGCGGACAACTCGTATCTGCAGCTTTCAACCGAACACTACCGGCCTGTATGAGTCGTCGCGATTAGGGGCCTACGAGCTGAACGAGAAAGCGGTTGGGGGTGAGTCAAGTGCAATTTCGTCTAGGCCCGCGCGCCGCTTTTTTACCGTAGTGGCCGTGTGACCATCTGCGATTGATGATCAAGATGCGGTTTGCTTGATTCCATAGCATGAACAGGGGGGCCACTTGCGTGTTTTCCCATCGCATCACGAAAAAGGCCACGGGCCCCGTCCTCTACCTGGAGGGTGGACGGCTGGAGATCCCTGCCAAATAGTCCGGAAACCACTGAACCAGAGAGCCAATCTCCAATGTTCGAATGACTTCAAGGGTGTGGCAAGGCAGCAGCCACCTCCGCCCGGGGGGGGGGGGGGGGGGGGGGGCGTAGGACCAAGTGCAACTCGCGAAACTTCCATACCTCTACTTCCACCCATTGCAGCCCATGAGGCACTTGAGCCACTCGTAGCCGTGTAGGGTCCACGTAAAGCCGGAACAATCGCCAACTTAGACGCTGCAGTCTGAAGCAGACACGCCAAAAGACACAGGAAGGAAGAGTAATCCAAGCAGGAAGCAACTGGTAATAGTGCTTACAACGCC